CAGTAAAAATGAATGAGGTATTACTGATGCATGCTCCAACATGGGTGAACTTTTAAATCATTATGCTAAGTATACAAAGCCAGATGTATGGTTCCATTCATAGGAAATGCTCAGAATAGACAACTCTGTAGAGACAAAAAATAGATACGAGGTGTCCAGGAAAGAGTAAGGCATGACTCCTAATGAGTACAGGGTTTTGTGGGAGAGAAGCGTGGTGACAATGTTCTAAAATTTAAAGTGGTGATGGTCACACAATACTATAAATATATCAAAAACTACTGAATTATAAACTTGAGAAGGGTGAAATTTATGACCTGAATTGTATCTCAATAAAACTGTTTTTTTTTAAAGTGAGGCCCAGCCTTCTCAAATTTGCGATGTTAATCTCCACGCAACCTCATTTATACTCACAAAAATTGTGAAGGAAGGGAACCTGGGTCCACACACACTATAATGAAGCAGGTTTCCTGGATGTGGTTGCAACTGGCCCAGCCAGAAGATTGTTCCTGGCATTTGACCTGCTAAAAAGCCAAGGAGTACATGGTCTAGAGTTCAGTGCAGAAATAACCCCGGTACATATAAAGAAACCACTCCTGCCGGAGGGGCGGTGCCCTGGTGGAGCTGCCTGTGCCCCACCCACCGTCCCATGCCTCAAACCCCTCTCAGTTGTCAGCTGCCGCTGGAACAGGTACTTCTGGAAATTCATATAGCCGAGGAAAGGCAAAAAGAAAGAAGAAGCCAACAAAAACACAGGAATACGTCAGTTGACTTGGGTCAATGGCATTACGAACTACCCCCGGAGAAGCCTGGACATGTCTTCAGTGCCTCTGTTTTCCTTTCTGCCCTCCTCCAGTGCCCACTCCATCCAAAGTCCCTTTACCAAGCTCTGTGACAGTGGATTTCCTAAGTATCTAGAATCTACCTGCTCTCCTAAGGCTCACTGCCTCCCCGTTTCAGGCTCTGTCTGCCTCCTCCCTGCTTTCCCTACCTCCAGCCCAGCCTAGCTATAATCCACTGGGCAGAAGCCCCATTGGGTCTGTTCACATCCCGAATTTGTGCAGAAAATGCACATAGCTCCATTGGGCTACCCAGTCCAGAGCAAACACGCCAGGCCTTTCTCACTCTGTCATCCAAGTTCAAAATCCAAGAGAGGAGAGTTTCAAGAAGGAGCTTGGGAAGTTACCCACTGGGGTCAAGCTCCACGGAGAGGTCAAATAAAAGAACAAATATAGGTGGAGTCTCTGTTTTATGAGATTTAAAAAAAGAGAAGCAAAATAAAATGGCACTGAAGTTGAAGGTGGTTTTCCAGTTGCCTTGTTACTTTTTCAATGTGGGACTGAAGGGGTGGTGGGAATTGCTTCAACAGAATCACAGCACATTTTGCCCTTCTCATGGCCTGGTGCATGGAAAAGCCTTGGAAATTATTAGCTGCTGCTATTGATGTTGAGGGCACCCACGTGCCTTCAGAGCCACAATCTTAAATGCTCAGCTTCTGAATGTCTAAAATGAACTGCTGAGAGAAATGTTGCAGATCTAAAAGTTAGAAGAAAGTTACTTTATTAAATATAATATTTTAGAATATAGGTTTTATAGAAAGTATTTTATCTTAGCTTCTCTAGAAGCTGAACTTAGGAGAGTCCCACGGTCAGAGGGACTAAGCATTCTGCCAACAACTAGCCCCACCCTGCCAGCCAGGTCAGTGAGCCACCCCAGAAGCAGGGCCACCTGCCTCAGTCAAGCCTGCAGATCACTTGCAGCCCTGATGAACAGTCTGCGGGCAACCTCCTGAGAAACCCAAACTGAAACCACTCTGCTACCTCCCAAATCCCTGACCCCTATGGACTGTGAGATAACAAATATTCATGGTCTGTTTAATGTACTAAGTTTTAGAGTAATTGATTTTGAGAAACAGATAACAAATACAGCCCCGATGGCAATCAGTTATTGGCTATGGGATGCTGAGGGAGTGGATAACTTCCTAGCACGGTGGCTTCTGCTCTGCCAAGGGCAATTCTTCAGGAAGCAGGCAGCTGCTGTGAGCAATACTCAGAGAAGCTGGGAGATGAGTGCATCCTCCTGGGCAAGGCACCAATAGCATCCACTGGGGGTGTTTATCATAACTGTGGAAATATTTTGCACTTCTTTCGAAGGTCCCAGCTCCTTAGTGTGTGTAACCAGGAGGTACACAACTAGAACTGCATTCATGAGGCAGCAGCAGTGGGAAGCAGTAAGGTGATCTAGAGACACTTTATTTATTACTCACTAAGTCCTGAAAAGTGCTTGCAAATATAGAAAGTGCAGGTAGAGATGATCAATAATAACTGACTATAGTGTCTTCCCTTCATTGCTATTCAGGTCTCGCTTTCCAATAAGACACTTTATAATTCATTCCTAAGTGTTGGAAGTGGGAGAGAGAGAGAGGGAGAGGTGGCACAGGAACGAGGTCGGGGGGAAGAGAGACTACGTCGGATGACAATGTCTCAGTTGTCATTTCAGGTTCTGGCTGCTCTCTCCACTGTACAGGGAAAGCCACCAAATAGAGGGCAAACTGCCCCCAGGTCTCCCCAGAACACCCCTTTTCCTAATCCCTAGGGGTAAGTGCAGGAGGCCCTGAGCATCTAATGGAGTCAGACACTAAGTTAAAACACCCAAGAGTCCCAGTTTCTATGCAGCCTGAAGAAAAGGCAGAGTGCTATTTCCCGACTTTGGTGGCAGTTGAAAAATGAAAAAGACTTGTGGGTGTGGGGCAAAGGCTGCCCCAGAATGCCCAAACTTTAGCTTCAATAAACCTATGATAGCCATAACAAGACAGTGCTGGGGCAGAAAAGAGAGTCATACAGGGTCTTTTGCTCTGGCAGAATCATCCTGGTTGAGCGACCAAATAGTCTACTCCCACCTGCCTCCTCTGATGTGCATATTTAGTGACACCATTTGGGTTTCTCCAACAGTCTTTCATATGTGTGTATTTAGAAAGAAGGATCTGGTCACCAGAAGCTCAGATGCTAATAACTCTTAACAAAATGCATTCACACTGAACAAGTGAACACTCAACCTAACAGAGCACCTGTGGCCCTGTGCTGCTAGGAGTGAGGTGGGTTTCTGCAGCGCTGTTTGCCATTCACCATCAGCATCAGAATCAGCATGAGCTTAGTGACTGCTTGTTGCCTGGTTTGCAATGATAATGACAATGATGGTGATGATGATGATGATTATGACGTAAATGAGCCCAGACCAGTTTTAGTGCTGCCTATTTTGAAATTTAAAAATCCATAAGGACAGGAACTGAATTCAGGTAGCACTGGGCTACAGGCAGATGACTGGTGACTGCTTGTTGGCTAGCTTATATGAATTCTTACGATGACCCTGAAGTAATTGATGATGATGAGGAGGAGGGGGAGGAGGAAGATCTGGGAAAACATCACCTGGCCTTCAGTAGCTAATACATAGTAGTAATGAATGATTTTCTCTGGGCTGGAATAGGAATTCATGGTATGGACATGGAGAAGGAGGCTCTAGACCAAAACAGATAAGATAAGCATGGTCCATTTTCAAGATATTGTGAAGAGTACAGGTTGAGCAATCCAAAAATCTAAAATGCTCCGAATTCTGCAACTTTTTGAGTATCAACATGATGCTCAAAGGAAATGCTCATTGGAGCATTTTAGATTTCAGATTTTCAGATTGGAAATGCTCAACCAGTAAATATAATGCAAATATTCCCAAATCCAAAATCTAAAACACTTCTGGCCCCAAGCATTTCAGTTAAGAAACATTCATTCCATACTGAGGTGGAGGCTAAGAATCTTGAATTTTATTTACCAGGTAAGGAAACACCATCATTCCTAACCTCATCAGTACTGACATTTTGGAACAGATAATTCTTTGCTGTGAGGGTCTGTCCTGTGTGCTGTGGGGTGTTTAGCAGCATCCCTGGCCTCCACCCACTTGGCGCCAGTAGCACACCTCCAGTAGTTACTGTTTAAAGTATCTCTGGACATTACCAAATGGCCCTACGGGAGGTCAAGCACCCTCGCTGAGAAGCACTTAGCTAAGACAAACAGGAGACACCACAGAGCAGTCGACAGAGGACAGCCCTAAGCAGAAGAAGAAATATCAGGCTGAAGGTGGTTCCTGCAGGGAGAGAGACGGTCCTCTTCCAGAGAAAAGAGCTGTCACGACACTAAAGGAGGACCCAGAGGCAGGACTTCAGAGCAGCAACCTCACAGAGCCATGATTCTGAAGCAGTCTCAGTGCCTGCTGTCACCATCTCGGACGCGGCAGGCCCCACTCACCTTGGCTAGAGCCGCACCTGACTCACCCCAGTCAGGGAGATGCCATTGCCCTCCTGAGGCTCTCTCATTTGGAAAGCACCTTCTTCAAGGCATCCAAGGGAAGCCAGAGCTGCTCTTGAGCAGGGCTTTGAGATGTTTTCGAGAAGGCCAGGTCCCTCCCTCCACAAAGGAAACACCCAGGGAGTAGAGAGGGAAGGGGCAAGCCCTCCCTTGCAGCAGCAAGGTCGACCCAAGCCGGAAGTGGAATCCTCCAGCGAAGCTGCCCCAGCGACCCAAACAGGAAGTGGAATCCTGCAGGGAGGCTGTCCGGAGCCCCTCTGCCTGCTACAGGTCCCTGTAAAAATGGTAGAATAGGCCGGGCGCGGTGACTCAAGCCTGTAATCCCAGCACTTTGGGAGGCCGAGGCTGGTGGATCACGAGGTCAAGAGATTGAGACCATCCTGGTCCACATGGTGAAACCCCGTCTCTACTAAAAATACAAAAAATTAGCTGGGCATGGTGCCGCGTGCCTGTAATCCCAGCGACTCAGGAGGCTGAGGCAGGAGAATTGCCTGAACCCAGGAGGCGGAGGTTGCGGTGAGCCAAGATCGCGCCATTGCACTCCAGCCTGGGTAACCGGAGCAAAACTCCGTCTCAAAAAAAAAAATGGTAGAATAAGTTCTAGAAAATGCAAAATGTGATTGAAGGCCATGCGACATTTTAAAACTACACCTTGGTTTCCAAAGAAACAATGCTATTATGAGAGACCCTGCCTCATTAGCCTCGGTTACTGTCAGCATGTGTCTGAGCACAATGCCCCGTGGTTTTATGTTGGACAGCAACTCAGCTGAGATGCCGCCTTCTCTTCCTCAATCGGATTGAGAATGACGGCTTCACCCGGGGCTCTGAAGCAGCTGGCGTCTCACTGAGACACCTAGATCCAGAACAAAGGATCACCAGGATGAAGCTCCACCACTGCACAGCTGAGGAATGTGCATTGCACCCAGCGGTGACTGGGGCTCGGGCTCTGGAGCCAGTGTGGCTCCTCACAGGCTTGTGTTCTGGAGGGACTGAAATCTTCTCCCAGCAAATGGTGGACAAGGTGGGGTCCCTGGAGCAAAGAGCAGCATGCAGGGCTGGGCTGTACCTGGGGTGTCAGTGCCCCCTGCAGAGATTAACTGGGCCCACAAAGGGGACTCCCTGAGGCATCTAATAAAAAGGGTGAAATAATCTAATGAGTGCAGCCACACAGAATGAGCAGGTATAGGGGAGAGAAGGAATTCACGGAGGTGCTGGCACGAAATGGGGCAGGCTTTGTAGGGCTCCCATAGCTTCACCCTTAGGCCCAGGGCAGCTCCTAGGGCCCCAAGCCGATTTTGAGCCCCCAGCAAGACAGGGAGCAGGGAGTCCCTAGAGCTTCAGTGTTCTGATATGAAAAAGTAGGATAACGAGGCCTAACCACAGGTGACTGTGAGAACAAGGAAGAGCACAGGAGAAGGTGCTTCACGGGCCCTTAAGTGTGGAGCAGATGCTGGTTGTTACTGGCCTAATTCCATATGCTTTACAAATGGTACTTTCATTGTAATAAAGCATCTGCATTTCTATGGGAGAAGTTCTAGGGTTATTGTAACTCCTGATAAGAAAATAGTATGTCTATGAGAGAGCTTGACCCTAAAGCTTTCAAACAGTTTGCAAACAGGCCTAGGCTCCCTGCCAGAGCAGGCCGGGACTCTCCTGGGATGCCAGGCTCTGGGGCAGTTTCAGAGACAGCAACCCAAAGCCATGCCAACCCTCTTCTAAAGGCACAAAAATCCCTGCAGGCTCCCGGGCAAACACCCAACTGACCCTCAATGTGGGGACCAACAGTGGGAGGGAAGCTATAACCTGACTCCAGACTAGCAAAGACAATGAGCTGGAACCCAGCTGCTTTCTGCTCTTCCTATTGGATCTGGTCCATTCAGAAAGGCCTTGGCAGCACTCCGAAGCCACATCTTCTGTGGCAGGTTGTCGGCAAAAACAACGGTGATGACCTTCCCCTCCCACATGGTTAATGTTCCTCTCCTCTCAGCATGAGCAGGGATCTGGGGTGCGTCTGTGACTTCCTATGACGCATGGGATCAGCAAAAGTGATGTCGTATATCTTCCAGCTTTGCTTGGAAGCTGTACGTGACCTTGTAACTTCTACTGTCTTGAATGGCCCTTGACATCCACTTCAGGGAGCTCCCTCTAGAGCCCTTCATGAAAGGCCGCATGAAGACAGAGGCTCTGATACCATATTAACCATGTCTTTTTGTGTATTCTGATGCTTCGGTGTCTAGGGCCTTGCTTACTTTGGCAGGCCTGTCCCACCCAGGGTTAGCCATTTCCTAGAGACAGCAAACAACTTGCCCATGAGTGTGCTTTTCAGACACAACCTAACCAGTCCAGAGCTCCTGCCCCAGCTACCTACTTCTTCAGCCTTCCACAGGACTCACACACTCTAGGCCACTATTCCTCTGCCCTAATCACTCCAGGGCCAGGAACCAGACTACTAGGGACAGCCCCTATGCCCAGAGCATGTGGAAATTACTCACACTATAGTAGCTAACCTTAACCTGGTTCACCTTGCCTCACTCATTCCTTCCCCTGGAAACCACAATAAAGGCGCTTGCCCATGTTTTCCCATCACTCCTGCCTTCTCAGTGACCACAGTGCCTCCCTATGTGCTCCTGCATGGCATAGTACTTTTCCTTCTCTTGGGATCTGTGAGTCACAAACTGCCTTTTCAGTGGTAATCGACTCTTGACCTGTTGGTCTCTCTGCACCTGAAGAATAATAAGACATATATGTATATATTTTTAAAACAAACTACAATTTATTTAATTAAGCATAAAGTTACTTTCCCATTTGTCAACAACCACAGTAGACCTGGTGTCCTGGTGGAGGAAACATCATCCTACGGTCCTGTTCCCACCGAGGTGACAGGAACCCAGTGTCAGAAGGAGCCCTGTGAGGATCCGGTAACCCACCACAGGTTGATTCTCCTCTTTCATTGGTACTCTGACGATACAGAGGATTCCCTGGGCCTCTTGAGCCTCTTCCTTTCCCCCCAGGAAGCAAAGCTGAGAGTCTGAGTGGACCCTCCAACAGATTTGGAGGACAGAGAAAAGCTCTAGTTTCACATGAAGGTCCACCCATTGGTGAGGGACCGTACAGGGAATATTCTCTGCCAAATGCCCTATTTGGAACATCAAATGCATCAGGATCTTTTCCTAAGAGTTTAAATTTAAACTCTATTTCAGTTAATTTTTGTCTGCTGTGGGCATTTTCTTTCCTTAAATCATTGAGGTTTCCCTCAGCAGTCCAAGCTGCCAGCTGATCACGATGTGCTTTTTCCTCATAGGCAATGGTCCACCGTTGATAGTGATCAATAGTTCTCTTGAGTTCTTCTTCGAGATCTTTGGCTCGCTTTCTGTAGGTCTCCAGCTCCTCGGTGGGATGAACGATCTTTTTGTCTACTTTAGAAAGTTTCTCTTCTTTCTCTAACTGGCTGTTCTCCTGTAGTGTTAATTTCCTATAGAGTCTCATTTCATTTTCTTGATAGAACTGAGTCATTATTTTAAGTTTCTGTTGAAGCTTCTGATTCTCACTTTCTAAATGTGTGTTTTCTGACTGCAAAGATGCTTGTTGAGTCTGAAGATTTTTAGTACACTGTGTAAGCTCTTCCTTTGTTTTTTCAACTTCAGATAACTGAAAATCAATTTGGTTTCTTTCTCCTTCCAAGATTTTCAAAGAAGCATTTATTAGCAGCATGAATCAGTTTCTTCGAAGCTCCTTCTGGAGGATGATCTGAGTTAGCACCATCTTCTGATTCACTGTTCATTGGTAATTTCCAGTTCTCATCTTCCATTATGTCTTCTCCAAGCACAGCAGCCCAGTCTTTCATCTTCAGCCAGCGTTCCGTCAGAGTCTCGATGTGATTGTCTTTATCGTTTAGAACTTGCTCTGCGTGTGCTCCGGAGTCTTCCAATGTTATTTTTTGTTTATTAAGTTCACTCACTTGTTCTTTCCATACTTCAGCTTCTTGCAAAAGCTGTTTCTGGCTTTCCTGAAGTTGAGAATTTTCATTCAAGGCATCTTTTATCGCTATCTTCAGTCGTTCTTCATTCATTTGAGATATCTTGAAGATGATTTTGGCTTCAGCTACTTGTGATTTGAGGGATTTTGACTTATCTTCTAGAGACTGTATCGTTTTTGAAATATCTGTCATCAGTTGCTTTTGTTCAGAATGTTTTGATTTCTGTTCTGTTAACTCTTTTTTGAGACCAAGTATCTCATCCTCAAGTTCATCATTGGACCTGCTCCGCTTTTCACATGTTGTCTCCAAACTTCGTGCCTCTGCTGCCTCGTCCTCAAAGCTGGCCTCCTTTAAAGATGACTCTACTTCACAGCATTCATGCTCTTTTTTAAGTAGGGTAAGGTTTTCAAGTAGTTTACATTTTTTGTCAATTAGTTCAGAAAGCGCACTGGCAAGCTTTTTCTCTCTCCTCTCATAAAGCCGACTCCTAACCGATCTCCAACTTCTCCACAAAAAAATGGGAACAGCAAAAACTCCAACAATAGCTGCCCACATCACGAATTCCCATGGAAACTCGTGGGAATTAGAATCTGTGATCATATTTTGAGGCAGTGCTGCCATAACCCTGCGTAGCTCCACCAGGACCAACCCAAAATAGGGCTGAGAGGTAGACCCGGGCTCTGCACAGCGCTAAGGCTGCTCTGATGGTCCCCACAGTAACTGGGGCAACAATAAGCAGCAGAGAACGCGCAGCCTTCCATTTGGAACCCAAATCCACCGGAGCAGACCACTGCAGAGCTGGCTGCGGGGGGGAGCTTGGGGCACACACAAGTCTCACAGGCCCATGCTGCCCACCCCGCCCCTGTGTTACACTTTACATCCTGAGGCAGCGCTAAAACCTATATTTTAAAACAATACCACATGGAGAGAGACTCAGGTGATCCAGCCTCCCAGCTATGCCCATCCCCCAGCTGACACCCTAGGAAATGTAGCCTTGTGCATGATCCCAGGTGAGGCCAGCAGAAGAACCTCCCAGCTGACAGAATGATAAGCAATAACAAACTATTGTTTTAAGTCCCTAAGCTTTGGGGTCACTTGTTATGCAGCAGTAGATAACTGAAATAGTTGCCACCTTATCAATTTGGTGTTTCAGTATTTGTGGTCTGAAATAATTAATTTAGGCAATTGACTAAGATTATGCCTCATGGTAAATTCTGATAGGTAATTTTATACGTAAAATACACATTTTCTTATTGACCTTTGCTTCATTGAAGAGAGATTTATTTAGCTCCTCCCAAATGAGACAGATTATGCTTTCTAGATTAACTCCTTCCAGGAAAGGGCTCACCTCTGCCTAGCACGATCCTCAGTATCTCATGTACAACAGAAAAATGCTCATCTCGTCCCCAGAAGGCCCAGTGCTGGCACATAGAGAGTGCTCCTCTTCCCTGTCCATCAACTGACCTGCTCTGTGTCCATTTCTGAAACACTGGCACTCCTTCAGCACGGATATGCACTGCCCTGCAGTGAGCCGTCATCTCCCCCAAGTGCATGTATCGCCAGCTCACCCGGAAAGCTCTCTCCTTCAGGAGAGGAACCAAACTACCCACAAAATATCCTTCATGTACTCGGTGTTCTATAAATATTTTTGTTTAATCGGTTTCAGGAGGTCCGGAGACTCTTTTTGTTTTTGTTAGTTTTTGCCAGACACCAGTTGGCTGTTCTGAAGCCGGCACCCATGTTGACCTGATCGTGGGTGCTCACATTGAAGCAGAGGTCACATCTGCCATTCCCCTGCCCACAGCCTCCATTGACTTTTCAACTTGTCCTGAGACAGAGCCTCCACGGCCCTCCATGCACTGGCCCCAGCTCCCTCTCCTCCCCACCCGCTCCCTCCCACTGCTCTGCTTCTGCCTCCTACACCCCCTTGTCTTTCCCTGAACACAGCAAGCCCGCTGCTGCCTCGAGGCTTTTGCACTTAGGTTTCCTCTGCCTGGACCACCCTTACTTCAGGCACTCACATGCTGGGTCCCTCAAGGGTTTGTTTGAATGGCACCTGTCACTGTGGCAGCTCCCACCCTCACGCCAGCCCTGCATGCTCTATCTCCTTTCCTTCCCTTGTCTTTCTCCCTATCTGTCTTCCTCCATCATGGTCTGACATGCCATGGATTCATTTATTTGTTGGTCATTCTGTAAACGTCCAAAAGGACTGAGATGTGGCTGTTTCCCAGTCTCAAGGACAGTGCGTGCGGCAGGTATTCAGTGACTATTGCAAAGTGAATGGACACATGAGAGGGAGGCAGAGCTCCTGGGACCTGTGTTTCCCATTCACGCTTGTTCTTTGTGCTGCTACCTGTGGCTGTTCTGCAAACAGCCTTCTCCGTGTCACGTGGGGGCAGCAGCCTCATTGGCACCTGAGCCATGGCTGGCACATCCTCCACAGAGCTCCCAGCCCACAGTGTGTTCTCGGGAATCTGATCCCTTACTAAAGGCTGTGGGGACTAGAGAGAGGGTTTGCATGTACACTCTTTGTCCACATTTTCAAAATTTCCCTCTAAACATCTTTCTCTTTCTTTCACTGAGTTCCTACCTAATCATTGCCACCTTGTTTCCCTAGGACCACTTCAAGAGGCCTCTCCAGTGCCTAGACCCAATAGGCAATGCTCTGCAGCTCCACGTGCCCCAGACATGCGGGCTTTCCCCCAGAGCAGCACTGACCTCACTGTCTGCCCACTCAGCCCTGCTCTTCTGCCCCTCACTGCCTTGTAAGCTCAAGGGCAGGAACAATGGCCCCTGTGTCCAGTGCAGTCCTGGCATGTAGTTGACATTTAATGAATGCTCACTGAATGGATGAATGAATACATACATGAATGAAGCAGAAAAAATACTGAGGAATCAGAAAAGGCAGACAGATGGAAATGACATAGAAGGAAGTTCAGAGTTAGAGAATTTACCCTTGTGAACCAAGTATTCTGCCTGCCATTCAGGACCGATAGGTGTCCACTAAACACAGCTTTCCAAGGACAGGAGTTTCACAGCTTCCCCTCTTCCTCTTCCTGGCCAGAGCCTGTTGATTCAGACACCAAATAAATAAGTAGATGAGTGGGCAAACTGCATTCTCAGGGTTCAGTCTGTGCCAATGTTGTCCTAAAGCTAATGCTTCATGTGGAATGCAGTTGAGGTCATGGGGTTGAAGAAGAAACGTCCTCCCCCTCCTCTTGGACACTCTTTTCCCCCAAGGGGCAGTGTAAGAGTCTTCAATCTCTTCCCAAAAAATTCTAAGGAGATACATTAAATCTAAACAAATAACTAAGGAGCTCAGTGAGGCAGTTTGCTTTTACCAGTGGCATTTTGAAATTTACCAGGAGGCTTTTTAAGAAAAGGTATTGGCACCAAAGAAATGGGAGGGGTGCTCCTGAAAGGGGCGATGCAGCAGCATGAACCTCGTGGAATGACTGTAATTATACTGTCTCCTGCTCTCTAAGCCAGTGACAACATGTGCTTAGAGAGCTCTTCCGTGATGAGCAGACACCTCATTCCTCTTTTCCTGGATTTGCAGCTGCATTGCAGAGGCAGCTTAAAATAACCTAAACCCAGGCCAGGCTGCAACTGATGTGAGACCCTCCAGGCTACAGAGCCCAGGGCAGCACCACATAGAGTCTGCAGCCATTATGCTGCATGTCCTTCTGGGAATGCTAATGACCAGAGGTTTGGGACAGCAAGGAAATACAGCCTACCCTCCTCATCTATTCCCTTTTCTCCTGGAAGAGATGTCTGCAGGACAAACATCTGGAACCTCTAGAAAAGAAACACTGCTACACAAGCTCTAAAGGTGACAAATAAAATCACCACAGCCTGTTGTCACCAGGCAGGCCTGTGGTGATCAAGCAGCATGGCTGGGATTTGGGGTGCATTTGGGAGGACCCAGGCAGAAAGAGAATGGCAGAGGCTGCCAGCCTGCTGCACCGCTGCAAACACACCAAGAGAGACAGACAGGCAAAGCTGACATCTGTCAGGGAACAATTAGCTGCCATCAAGCCCTTAGCCTCTGCTCAGCCCTCTGCAGGGTGTGAATGTTTGCAGATGTCTTTCTGTTCTAACACCGTCTCTTCTTCACACACATTGAGAAAATGGAAGCTGAGAGTACATGCTGCAAGAAGTAGTCACTTGATTCCCAAGGTCAGTTTAGCCCAGGAACAATGACCCGTTCCACAGGTGCTGTGGGCCAACACACGCAGAGTCGGATTGTGTGACTAGTCATATAACACCTCATTTAGTCCCTGAATAATGCTATGAGGTGGGTCATATTCAGCTCGTTTCATGCACAGGGAAACTGATGCTTAGCGGGCTGAGCAGCCTGTCACCAAGGTGGAGAAAGCCAGGCAAGTGGAGTCCAGACAGGTATGGCTGTCACACTGGAAACGCCGGTGCTCTCCTGCTCCCCTTGCAGGTGGAGACTGACTGCAGCATCTCAGGCCAATCCCAGGGAACAGGAGGGGCAGCTCCCACATGAGGTGTAGGGGGCTGGAAGGGACATACCTCTTGGGGACACAGCGCTGATTCCTGGGACTCCACACTTAGCCCACCTGCCACCATGGTAGGCGGGGGCTGGAGCTGTGAGTTCAGCCTCTGACTCTGCTATCTGGGCAAGTCCCACCACCTCCCTGAGTGGCAGTGGTTAATTGCACTGCCCGAGAGCCGGCCATAGAGCGTATTAGCTGAGAGACCCTGGCTCCCGAGTGTGGCCCACAGAGCAGCAACCTCACAGCACCTGGGCCCCAGCCCACAGCTACTGAGTCAGAATCTGCACCCCAGCAAGACCCTGATTCCAGGGACGCATGTTAGAGTCCAGGATGCCTTTCTGAGGCCCACGCTTGAATTCCGGCTTCAAATCCTGGTTTGGCCATTTAGTGGCTGTGATTCCAGCTGTTGCTTCATTACTCTGTCAGGAATCGATTCAGGTTTGTGGGCCTACATCTTATACAATCTGGAGTATTTTCCTTAAGAAAAGAAGGATGTAAAATTACAAATACAAAATTAGGAGCAAAAGTGATGTCTGGAATGTAAAGACTTTGCCGCCGATTACAAATATCGAAGAGCTGACAAGAACCGAAAACACGCAAACAATCCAGATACCTGATTTCATGTTTCTATCAACCAGTGCACTTCTGCAACACTTTATCCTTATTTTGGGGCCCTGATGGACTCTTCATCTGGCTAGGATTTTATAAAAGATAATTCAGGCTTTCCCTTAACCAGGCTGATAGAAATGTTTCACTAGGAGAGTTGGAATGTGTAGAATATTCCCCTTCACGAGTAGACATACTCAATAGATGGAACACTGCTATCGCTTTCTGCCCTCAAAATACAACAGCTGCAGTGAATTGTATTTCTTGCAACTGCCATTGAAGAAGAAAAGAATCCATGATGTGCTTATAAGCATATAGGCCTCATTAAGTACATTCCTGACAAGAGAGGGCTTTGTTGATGAGAATCGACTCTGCTAACAGTTTTACATGTCAGATAATTGGGAGAATTCTCCACAGTAGCTTTGGACTCCATGTGCTACAGGTCTGGGGTTCCTCTATTGTTAATGTCCCGCTACATAGATGCAGAGACGCCCCTGTCACCATGCCCCTGGGTGAGTCAGGAAGTGGACAGAGGGAGTAGTCCTGGGTCCTGGAAGCCATTCCTGTACAGGGAGCACCTGATACACAGGAGTGGGAGCAAATCATCAGAATAGATCTCGCTCATTCAAATAGTTGTATCCCCAAGTCAATGACCTTTTCCCCTGAAAATCACTGACGCTTGACACAGGGAACGTGCATGTGCTGGAGGGAACATCGGCAAGAGGAAACCTGTCTTAACCAATTACAAGTGAAATATTAATAACCCATTTTACAAAACTTCCAAACACATGACCAAGAGAACGCATGGCTGGGCCCTTCCAGAGCCTGACAGGGGCCTGAGCATCACAGAAGCCTTGAGGGCGGAGCTTCAGTGAACGGCCCAGTGAGTGGCCTCTGCACTCTGGTGTCAGTTCTTTCTCCATGAAATGGCGGGAACGATAGTATTTTACATGTGGGCTGTGTGAGCTGGGAGAATGGGTATGTAAAGGGTTTCTATGTACCTATCATGGTGCCTGGCACATATTTACTGTTCAAAAAGTGGTGGCCGTCATCAATGCATTCTTCCCTTGTTGAAAATGTCTTATTTTAGTCTGTATGTTAGTCTAGAGAAAGGAGCCACATGGAGCCAGGCGCCAGCTTGGGTTTGGCCCTTCCAGCCATCCAAGCATGGACCCAGCCCAGCTCTCCTTCCTAGGTTTGCATCCCAGGAGGGCCTGGCTCCCTGGGGTGCCATTGTCCCAGAGCTCCTCAGGGTCACCTCAAATCAGTTACCCAAGAAATCCTTACATTTCATCTTTTCAATCATCCACCCAAAATATATTTTACCTCAGAGATTTTTCTTCTGAGAATCCTCTTTAAACATACTCTTTCCTCTTTCAATTAAACCAGCAAGAATTCAAATGCCCTCCACCTCTTTCTTCCCTTCCACCCCCTCCACTCTTCCTCCCCTTCCTCCCTTCCTCCCTTCCACCCCTTCCTCCCTTCCTCCTTCCACTCCTTCCTCCCTTCCTCCTTCCACTCCTTCCTCCCTCCTCCCTTCCACCCCTTCCTCCCTCCTCCCTTCCACCCCTTCCTCCCTCCTCCCTTCCACCCCTTCCTTCCTCCTCCCTTTCTCTCTTCCTCCCTTCCCCCCTTCCTCCCTTCCACCACTTCTTCCCTTCCTCCCCTTCCTCCCTTCCTACCCTTCCTTCCTTCCTCCTTCCACCCCTTCCTCCTCCTCCCTTCCACCCCTTCCTCCTCCTCCCTTCCACCCCTTCCTCCCTTCCTCTCTTTCCTCCCTTCCTCCTTCCACTTCTTCCTCCCTCCTCCCTTCCACCCCTTCTTCCCTCCTCCCTTCCACCCCTTCCTTCCTCCTCCCTTTCTCTTCCTCCCTTCCCCCCTTCCTCCCTTCCACTCCTTCCTCCCTCCTCCCTTCCACCCCTTCCTCCCTTCCTCCCTTCCTCTGCCCTCTGAGCATTCCCGCACATGATTCTCCAGCCTCTTTCTCACTGCATCCTCAGGTCTGGGAAGCAGAGTGACTCCCCTGAGGTGATCCAAACTCAGGTCTGTCTGGCTCACCAGTGTTTTATTCATTCCCTTATGCAGAGGAGGGGAAGTAAGGTCCTCTTAATACTAACCTGTGGGCTAAAGCCCTAGTTCCCCACCTGCTGACCAGGAGGACATTCCCTAAAGAGCATGAATGTGACTTATGGATGCCAGCCCACCCACCTCCCAGCCCCACACGGCACCTGCAGACATTGCTACTGGGAGAAGTCCTAATGTGTATGATAAATTCTATTGTTTGCTGAGAACGAGGGCAAGGAAAACATGGCCACCAGCTCCTCCCTCCCCCCATGGAAAACTGCTTGGGGCTTTCTAAAGTAGCAAAACAGTATATGTATATCATACACCAGTTAAAACAATTCTTTAAGCCCGGGGTATGTGACTCTGCCCCTGTGGCTCCCTCACGGAGAATGCTTTCTAGTTTGTCTATATTCAGAGGTAAGCAGGCACCAGCTGCCTCACTAATTTATTTTTGTTCCATGATAAAACACAGAACACCTGTTTTTTTTTTTAATAATAATCCCCTGTTCAGTGAGAATAAATTAGTGGGTGAGCGTCTGCTCGAGGCCCTCAGCCCGGAATGCTCTTAGCCCCCTGAGGCTCTCAGCTCAGAAGGCTGTTGCCCACCCCGCCATAGTCCCCCACTTTGCTGTTCTATCTGGGTGTCTGTTCCTTACTTCCTTCAGTGCCTCTGGGGTGGGGGTCCCTACAGCTGAGCTGGTCTTGGAACAGCACCATGGAGCTCCACAGGGCAACTGCTCCTTCCTGTAAGTGACTTGCCAGTGGGTCAGTGACATCCAAGGTCTCCTCTTTCTCAACAAATGGCAGCAGATTGGTGGGTATGTAATGCTGCCAGATTGAGGGCAAGTTTTACTAAGCTTGAGTAAGGGACTGGGGGCAGCTGGGGACAAAGAGGAGTTTGCCCCAGAGAGGGTGATCAGGGAAAGAAAGACAGGGAGAGTGCAGAAGCAGGAATTCTAGAGGCAATCATATAATTCAAGAACAAAGATGGACAGGTACCCCTAGGTTCCTGAATCCCCCAATCTTCTCACATATCCAGGTACCCTCCCACACCTGAGACAATCCAGTCGGCTGTTTTCTGGGAGATGCTAGGGAAACCCACCTGCTGCTCAGGACTGGTGTCCCCAGTGAGCCCTGCGGTTTAAAGACAGTGGTCCTCAGGGCTGTGCAGAAGAGCTCTGTGCTAAAAGCAATTCTGCTACTTGCTAAGTATGTGCTGGGCAAATTACTTAACATCTCTGAGTTCACTTCCCTGAGCTGAAAACACGTTGATGGGGCTTAAACAAGATGATGGAAGTGCCTGCAGCAGCACCCGATAGATCACATGTCACAATCCTGGGTTGACCCTGGTCTCTGCCCCAGGGAGTTCTGAATTCTCATGTCCCAAACTGCAGACTCAGTGCCCTCCGAGAATGTTGCCCCTCTCCTCTCACCTCTAGATGTTTGAGTAACTTCTTCCTGTTTATTGAGAGATCCACCCAGTGTCCTCTTGTTCCCTTCTGTCCCTCTGGGATTTTCTTCCATCAATTTTTGCTTCCTTTTTCGTACCTGTCACCTGAGCTTCTAAATATTGATCTCTCTTCATCCTAACAATATTTCCGTGCCTCATCCCTGCTCAAATGTGATCTTCCTTCTTTTTACCATCACACTTCTCAAAATAATGATTGGCATTTCTTGAATGTTTCTCTCGAAGGTCCTCTGTGAACTATTAGTGCCAATTCCAGCCTTGCCTCAGGGTCAGCACTTCCTCCTGCTGCCTCTGCACCTTCAGCTCCATCCTGGAACTTTCCTGACAGCCCCTCGGTCGTCATCACAACTCATCTGTATCATTTAATGCAACTGACACTTCCCTCTTTAAATATCTTTCTCAATGTCTGGATATTTTGGAAATGTACACTGCAGTATAAGGGGGTGGAAAGACACGATGTCCGGGATTTACTTTAAATTACTTCAGCAAATAAGAAAAGGAAAAGGAGGAATAGAAGAAGTAAAAATGATACACAAAATCTTGACCATTATTTAATTCAAGATGTTCGGGGTGGGTATATGGGGATTCACTCTTAGTCTCTGTATTTCTGTATACAAAGCATCAACATTTCCCATGATAATTTTAAAAATTATTTTTATTTAGTAAGTGTTTGGAACAAGGTCTCGCTCTGTCATCCAGGCTGGAGCACAGTGGTGCAATCACAGCTCCCCGAAGCCTTGACCTCCTGGGCTCAACTGATCCTCCCACCTCAGCCTCCTTGGTAGCTGGGATTACTGGTACATGCTACCATGCCCGGCTAATTTTTGTATTTTTAGTAGAGACAGGATTTCACCATATTGGCCAGGCTGACCTTGAACTACTGACTTCCTGATCTGCCGGTCTTGGCCTCCCAAAGTGCTGGGATTACAGGGGTGAGCCACTGTGCCTGGCCAGAATTTTATTTTTTTATATTTAATAATTATTGGTATTATGATCTATTTCTTGTGATAAATTATGTTGTACTAGTAATTTTAACAATTTAATCCAGAAAAAATAAAATTCTATGAGCAGGAAATATAAATTTCCATTTCGATACTTCTTTTTTTTTTTTTTTTTTGAAACGGAGTGTAATGGGCCGATCTCGGCTCACTGCAACCTCCACCTCCCGGGTTCAGGCAATTCTCCTGCCTCAGCCTCCTGAGTAGCTGGGATTACAGGCACGCAGCACCATGCCCAGCTAATTTTTTGTACTTTTAGTAGAGACGGGGTTTCACCATGTTGACCAGGATGGTTTCGATTTGTTGACCTTGTGATCCACCCGCCTCGGCCTCCCAAAGTGCTGGGATTACAGGCTTGAGCCACCGCGCCCGGCTCCATTTCGATACTTCTTTCAGCAGTATGACAGAATGACCAGTAAGACTTTTAAGCATGAAAAAGATAACTGGGATAAAATTCTATCAGGAAAGTAGAATGAAGGTATGATTTTATAAAGCATGTCTAAGAATTTGAGAGAAGAAATTTGGGTGTGGTCACTGACACATGAAATTAAACAAAAACAAGTAGATCATATACCTACTGGTATTTTGAGGGAGTGTCACTGCCAAAGAAACTAACATTGGATGTTCCAGCTTCTAAACAACTTTCCTGTTACGGGCTGCATTCCCCAGCTCCTTTCCGCCACTCCCAATCCACATATTGAAATCTAACACCAGTAACTTATAATGAAACTGCATTCGGAGATAAGAACTTTAAAGATGCAATTAGATCAAAATGAGGCCTTTAGTTCTGCCCTAATCCAATTTGACTAGCGTGCTTTCATAAGAAGAAGAAATTTGGGAAAGCGGGGCGGGAGCGGATAGATGATTTTCAGGAGGAAGGAGAAAAAGCATTGATGTAAACTTATGATTTTTAAGACTTTTTTTGTGAGTTTGTGTGTGTGATGGACGATGGCGGGTACCATATCACCGTACTGTTCAGATTCAACTGGATCTATTTTACTTCTGTCACTATTTACAATTGCACTTTTTTAAGTGCACTTTTTTCAACTACTTAAACATTTTAGACAGCTTCTTGATGTGCAAATCCAGAATGGGGCAGGGTGGGGTGGGGATGGGGCGTGGGTGCAGACGCTTGGGCAGCGCCAGTTTCGTTAGAATCCCTTGGCAGCGGCCGCTGTGGCCCAGAGAGTAGGAAGCAGTTCCTGTCTCACGTCCACCTCTCGGCAATGTGTGAGACCTGTACCAGAAACACTTCCTGTCTCAGTTTAGCTCATCTGTAAAGCTGGGAGACTACTGCCTTGCAGGGTTGGAAAGAAAAGAGACAAGTGCAAAGCAAAGGAATCCCGACCCAAGGCAACAGGACTGGGGGTGACTCTGTCGGGTCTCCAAACTCCCTGGCGCCTGAGCCTGCCTCGCGGTGCACTGTGCGGACGAGTCCCCTGGCCATCCCAGCCCCGCCCCGCCCCTCCTCGCCCCGCCTCGCCCCGCCTAGCCTAGCCCCGCTCCGCCTCAGCCCCGCCCCCGCCCAGGTTTCCCCGCGCGGCTCCGCCCCGGCTGTGGGGAGGCTTAGCGGCTCCTGGAACCTGGATGCTTTCCACAAGCTTGCTGGCCCCGCGGAGCCGGCGGAGCAGGTATGTTGCAGGGGCTGGCCTTAGTTCTTGTCCGAAGCCGCCTCAGGGCTTCGGCAGCCGTGGGGAAAGAGAAGGAATGTACGTCCCGGGCGATGGGGGCTGCCCAGAGGAGACCTAGCGTCCCGGGCTGCGTGGGTGGAGCGTCCCGGGCGCGTTGGTCTCCATGGCAACGCCTCACGCGCTGAGCTGGGTACGGGTGAGCGTCCCGCGGCCGCCTCCAAGGGCGGCCCTAGAGGAGATGGAATTTTCCTAGACTTGGAGGCTTCCACCCTCTGGTGCCACTTGGGCGGGAGGGTCGCGTGCCCTCAGTTCCCGGCTGGTCACCTCCGACCCCAAGTCCACATCCGTCTCTCTCAGAACCCGGTCCTCGGGTGTCTGCAGCCTCCCCTGGCTGTGGAGCTGGTTCCCAGTCCCCTGCAACCCAGTGGTACCCACTTCCTACCCTGACGTGAAATTATTCGAAAACAACCCCCCTGCTCACCCCATTAAAAACAACAGCGACAACAAAACTGTATTATGGCCTAACTGTAGCATAAAGGGGAAATAGAAGGAAAGCAATAAGAAAGTACATATTTCAATCTTGGCACTACTTGAAGAAGGAGAGAAGTAGACAGTAGTGGCGCCTGGACAGTCGCCGGAACCCGAGGGCAGCAAAGGCAGATTGTTAGGTCTCCAGGACCAGGAACAGCGTGGCCGGCGGAGGACGTGATTTTCCCAAATGGTGAACAGTTCTTGGTAAACCTCCAAACCAAAGTGCAGTCAAGCCTTGATTTACATGTAGTTTCATTCCTAGAAAAAAAAAAATCAGTGGTCATTAAAGCTGTGCAAAAATACTTAGCATTTCCATGTAAAATAGAGTTTGGTTCTAGCCGCAGATAATTACAAACAGATTTTTCCACGCACATGAATTACGGGAAGACTCTCCAAGGTGGTGGGGCTGCGGGGTAATCCTTTATTGTGCGGACTGTCTCTCGAATGGCAGAATCCTAGCATCTCAGGCCCCATCCACCTGGCAACCGCATGCCCCTGCATCTCTGGGGGAAACAGCCTTCCCACCCTCATAATATTTCCCAAATTGCCCCTAGGGGGCAGTACGTTCCCACTAAGAAACGCTGGACTGTAAAAGTTCCTAAGTTTAAGGACATACCGGGTGTATAGTATCTTTTATTCTCAGAACAAACTTGCAGAACAGGTGTTGTTATTCCATTTTAGAAATTAGGAAAGTGAGGTTTTGCTAGGTTAAGTGACTTAGCCAAGGACACAGGGCATAAGTGTATCAAAGCTGAGCTATGACCCATGTCTGACCGAGAAACTGTCTCATTTCGGTTGTTACCTGTGGCCACAAGGTAAGTTATTTCTCTGTCTTGGCAAGGCTGGGAGGAAAGTTTTAGCAAAGCGAGTTCTTTAACACTTTAGTCATCAATTTTCTGACTTTGTTAGTCTTATGAGACATGCGTGATATATTACTGTAATTCCAGGAACCTCAGCCCATCCGAGACCATGGATAAGTACGATGTGATTAAGGCCATCGGGGAAGGTGCCTTCGGGAAAGCATACTTAGCTAAAGGCAAATCGGATAGCAAGCGATTTCCCTTTGTGTCATAAAAGAGATCAATTTTGAAAAGGTAAAGTTAAGAAGTTCAAATATCTGTCAATTTTCAGTGTGATATTGAGCTAGCTTTTAATCCAATATAAACAGGGAGTTTGTATCTTTTTATAATTACAAATTTTAAGCCATAATTGATTTTTGTTAAGTCAGCCTCCTAAGTCCATTGTCCAAACAGCAACCAATGATCTTATTTTTATTTATTTATTTATTTTTTGGAGATGGAGTTTCGCTCTTGTTACCCAGGCTGGAGTGCAATGGCGCGATTTCGGCTCACCGCAACCTCCGCCTCCTGGGTTCAAGCAATTCTCCTGCCTCAGCCTCCTGAGTAGCTGGGATTACAGGCATGCACCACCATGCCCAGCTAATTTTTTGTAGTTTTAGTAGAGATAGGGTTTCACCATGTTGACCAGGATGGTCTCGATCTCTTGACCTCTGTAATCCCAATGATCTTATTTTTAAAAAGAGGCTGGATGTAGTGGCTCACCCTGTAATTCCAGCACTTTGGACGGTCAAGGTGGGAGGATTGTGTGAAGCCAAGAGTTTGACATAGCCTGGGCAACATAGCAAGACACCAACCCTATCCCAAAAAATTTTTTGAAATTAAAATAGAAAATCAGATCACATCTCTGTGGCTCCTGTGACCCTCCTTAGGGTGCCTTGCAAGGCCTTGTGAGATGCCACCCTCCTCTGTTGCCCTGACTTCTCTGGTGCACTTCCTCTCTCCTTATTCAGGTCCTCTACAAGGGATTTTCTGCAAACATCCTAGCTAGGGTAGCCCCCCAGCCACAGTCACACCTCATCACCTTATCACACTACCCTGGTTTTTTTCTTTTTCTTTCCTTTTCTTTCTTCTTCTTCTTCTTTTTTTTTTTTTGAGACGGAGTTTCACTCTTGTTACCTGGGCTGGAGTGCAATGGCGCGATCTTGGCTCACCGCAACCTCCGCCCCCTGGGTTCAGGCAATTCTCCTGCCTCAGCCTCTTGAGTAGCTGGGATTACAGGCATGTGCCACTGTGCCCAGCTAATTTTTTGTAATTTTTAGTAGAGATGGGGTTTCACCATGTTGACCAGGATGGTCTCGATCTGTTGACCTCATGACCCACCTGCCTCGGCCTCCCAAAGTGCTGGGATTACAGGCTTGAGCCACCGTGCCCTGCCCTTTTTTTTTTTTTTTTTTTTTTTTTGAGGCGGAGTTTCCCTCTCATTACCCAGGCTGGAGTGCAATGGCCTGATCTCGGCTCACCGCAACCTCCGACTCCTGGGTTCAGGCAATTCTCCTGCCTCAGCCTCCTGAGTAGAGGGATTACAGGCACGCGCCACTATGCCAAGCTAATTTTTTTGTATTTTTAGTAGAGATGAGGTTTCACCATGTTGACCAGGATGGTCTCGATCTCTTGACCTCGTGATCCACCCGCCTCGGCCTCCCAAAGTGCTGGGATTATAGGTTTGAGCCACTGCGCACGGCCCTCTCCATTTTTTTTTTCTTTTTTTTCAGACAGAATCTCTGTCTGTCACCCAGGCTGGAGTACAGTAGCATGATCTCTGCTCACTGCAACCTCCACCTCCAGGATTCAAGCAATTCTCCCACCTTAGCTTCCTGAGTCACTGGGACTGCAGGTGCATGCCACCTTGCCTGGCTAATTTTTTGTATTTTTAGTAGAGATGGGGTTTCACCATGTTGCTCAGGCTGGTCTTGAACTCCTAAGCTCATGTGATCTGCCCGCCTTGGCCTCCCAAAGTGCTGGGATTAAAGGTGTGAGCCACTGCTGCTGGCCTGGTTTATTTTCTTACTAGCATGTATAATGCTCTGCAATTACTTTGCTGTCTTAATTATTCACTTGTTTATTGTCTTCCTCAGTATGCAGAACAGTTCCTGACACGTAATAGGTGCTAAACAAATTTACTGAGTGCACTGAATGAACAGAGGAAAATCACATGTAACTTTTTGTCTAATGATTTTGGAAAATAAATATAGCTAATTAAAAATTAATCGTTTTTGCTAACCCCACCTTAGTGTTTATGTCACCCTGTCTAGTGATATGTTCATTTCAAAATATATTGTTATATAACAAATAAATTGTTTTTAGAATTAATTTTAAGGCAAGTCTTGTTGGTTAGATTCTAGAGAATTTATAAATGACAGTCACATAAAAGGTTCCATACAGAGTGTGTGCAAAATGGACTACCCAAGTTACACCATGTGAATATACTTAATGCCATTGAATTGTGCACTTAAAATGGTTAAAATGATATAAATTTTATTTTACCACACAAAAAAATTGCAAGAAATCCTACCCAAACTTAAAGCTCATGGGTATATGACTGGCTTCCAGGGATAATGATTTATTTCCCAAAATAGGTCTAATTTTTTTTTTTTTTTTTTTTGAGATGGAGTGTCACTCTGTGGCAGGCTTGAGTTCAGTGGCACAATCTCGGCGGCTCACTACAACCTCTGCCTCCCTGGTCCAAGGGATTCTCCTGCCTCATCCTCCTGAGTAGCTGGAACTATAGGTGCGCGCCACCATGTCCAGATAATTTCTGTATTTTTAGTAGAGACGTGGTTTCATCATGTTGGCCAGATGGTCTTGATTTCTTGACCTTGTGATCTGCCTGCCTTGGCCTCCCAAAGTGCTAGGATTACAGGCATGAACCACTGTGCCCTGTCCATCTTTTTGTGAATCCATGGCATGTTCATAATAATGTCCTCTTATTCTAGTGGTTCGCCATACCTTCCTTCCCTGACATTATTCTGCCCACTCTCTTTTGTTTACCTGACTGCTCTTCCTCAGGCTTATCTCTTTCTTCAGCCTCTGTATGTCTCCAACCATATGTCCTTTCCTGACCTTCTCTTTCTGTACATTGTCACCTAAACTGCCCCACTTCAGTGTTTACAACTAAGCAGATCACTCTTAAGTCTCTGTACCTGACATCTTTCATTGCCCTAGTTCTGCATTTCTTCTGCCAGCTAGATAATTTTAGGTAATGTCTGTGTTAGTAATCTATTGCTGTGTAGCATACTACTCCAAACTTAGTGGCTTAAAGAATAAACATTTACCGTGGAGATCCTGTGCGTCAAGAACTTAGGATGACAATCATTGAGACCACCTTGGAGGCTAGGTATCACAATTGCACCCCAAAACAAGTATTACTAGCGATTCTTCATTGTTGTAAGCAGACCCACTTCACATCCTACTGCTGCGCTGTGATGTCAACAATGTGTTTATGGTAGCCAGGTTCAACACCTTGGCGTCATTTGTGAGCTTATTCCCTCTCCGCATTCAGTCATTTGCCGAATACTGTTGACTCTTTCTCTTCCTTGAAGTTGTTTCAGTCCTTTTGTGGATGCCTTGGGTCACTTGGATCCTTCAGTCACTTTCTCATAGCTCCAGCCCAATTTTGATAATGCCCCAGCCATGCCCCTAAACCTTCACTGGGACTGAGGCTGTGGAGGAAGAGTTGCCTAGGTTTGACTACATAAATTAGAAAACATTTGTATGTCAAAACAAACACTCTAAATAAATTAAAAGAAAACTGAAAAGGTGCCCAGGTATTGACTTAATGGTGTTAGCCTTTTATCAAATCAATAAAAAGATAAAATCTGTATATGAAGTCATCACAGAAAAATTTGAAGCTCATTAGAAAACTAAGAAATTGGGAGTTTATTCAAAGGAAAACCCCATTAACAGCTAGAAAACACATGTCCAACAGTAGGTAATTTGTTAAGTGATTTATAAAAAACTAAGTGGCTGTTAGAAGTCATGTCGTAGGTGAAGCGTTGACATGGGAAAATTTTAATGTTTGCAGTGTTTGAGAAAATAGTAAGTATAGGACGATAGAATCTTTTTAAAAATATATTCTCCATGTATCTGTATACCTACAGATATGTTCATATGTGTACAAAGAGAAGAGACACACCAGATTGTTATTATTGAGAAAGAAAGTGGCATTTGCCTTGTACATTTTTTTGAGACAGAGTTTCATTCTGTGGTCCAGGCAGGAGTGCAGTGGCATCATCGTAGCTCACTGTAACCTTGAACAAGCCATCCTCCTGCCTCAGCCTCCTGAGTAGCTAGGACTCCAGGCATGCGCTACCGCACCCAGCCGATTTTTAATTTTTTTTAGAGACAGGATCTTGCTATGTTGCCTAGGCTGGCCTCAAGTGATCCTCCTGCTTTGGCCTCCCAAAGTACTGGGATTACAGTTAGGGGCCACTGTGCCTGGCCTGCCTTGTGCTTTTATGTTGTTTCATTCTTCAGAGAAGTTTGAGAGCCTCTCTGATTTGCTCCAAAATTACGGCTCCCATCACATACTCTACTTTTTTTTTTTCCCCACACTCCAGCCTCTGAATTTGCTTACAGGGCTGCTTCTCCCAAGGTCCCTTCCTGCGGATCTCCTAGCATCAAGATCCCGCTTGTTCAAGGCTGAGCTTCACCATTATCTCGAGAATCCTCCCACTCTCAAGAATTTCTCCTTCTCTGTAAACCTTCATAACTTTTTATTGGAACCTCTGTTAGAGTCCTGACTGCTTTCTTTCTGGACATGCTTTGGCTGTTTATTTTATGCCTTCTCCTCGTTATTTAGCTGGAACATGCTCTGTGAGGGCAGAGGCCATGTGCGATTCGTTCTGGTATTCCACACGGCACCTAATGCTAATGCTTGGTGCAGTAGGTATTCAGTAAATTCTTATTGGATAGATGATTCACTGGACAGATGCTTTCAGGCCCTCTTGCTCTACTTTGAAGCTGGTATATACTTAGGAATTGTAAACCCATTTTAATTCCATGTAAAGAGAAAATATTTGAGAGGTGACTCTCCATAAAAATACACATTACTTCATTTCATAGCATCTCTCCCATTCTTTAGTATAATAAAAAATTGACTATATTTTTCTAATAGAGCACCAACTTTTTAAATAACTTTCCTCATGAACTACTCTTCTCACCATGCCATAAATAAGTAGAATCTTATGTTAGCCCTCATTATTCTTGTTTTTCCATATCTGTGTTATCAAATTTGCCAATAACATCTGTGTCACAATAGTAACATTTATTACTTCTTTCTTTCTATGTATTCATGAAGTTTTCCATTACTTCTTATCTAACTAAGTGTGCACTTCTTTTCTCTAATGCCTCCCTACTCCCTACACTAGACCCAAGAACTAAATTGGTTATCTTCTTACAGGTACCAAAAAGATAATATTTTCTCTCATCATCCTACCATTATCAAGCATGTTCTTTTTCTTCTGGGCTCAAATTAAAGTGTTTTATCTCTCCTTTATTATGAAAATAAAAATGTTCATTGTAGAAATTTTGAAAACAACCAAAGACCAGAGAAAAATAAAAATAGCATATAACCTCTTTCTTAATCACTATGAACATTTTCCTGAATTTCTCTGTAGACCATTTATAATGTGTAAGTATACTTTATAAGTTATTAGAGTGATTGATGTCATGGTGGATATACTCTTTTTTTTCTGAGATGGAGTGTGCTCTGTCACACAGGCTGGAGTGCACTGATGTGATCTCAGCCCACTGCAACCCCTGCCTCTCAGGTTCAAATGATTCTCCTGCCTCAGCCTCCAGAGTAGGACTACAGGTGTACACCACCATGACTGGCTAATTTTTGTATTTTACTAGAGACAGGGTTTCAATATGTTGGCCAGGCTGGTCTCAAACTCCTGACCTCATGATCCTCCCACCTTGGCCTCCCAAAGCACTGGGATTATAGGTGTGAGCCACCACATCCTGCCCAGATATACTTTTTTGCGATAGTATTTTACATTAGCAATATATCGTGAATATTTCCTCATGTCAATGTTTTTATATGATAAATGTTGTCTTATAATGATAGTAAATGTTCACACTAATGATAAAGGGACCACCCTACAGGGTGTCCAGTATATGTCACACCATCCTGGGTGTTTCATACATTTAACTCAATGTAATCCTCACAAGCACCCTAAAAGATAGCTCTCATTACTCTCACTGTACAAGTGAAAGGGCCGAGGCTAAAGAGGTTAAGCAGTTAGCTCCAGGATGCACAGTCATCAGCAGATCCATCTAAGTCTTTCTCAGATCTTTCCACACTAACGCATTGCCTCCCTTGATTTTTAATGACTGCATAGCATGGTAGCAGGTTAAAACTACCATAATTTAGCTGGGCATGCAAGTGCCCGTAGTCCCAACTATTCCAGAGGAAGAGTGGGGAGGATCCCTTGACCCCAGGAGTTCAAATCCAGCTTAGACAGCATAACAGAACTCTGTCTTAAAAAAAAAAAAAAAAGTCAGCAAAACAACACCTGTAATTTTTTTAACTGTTTTTCTATTTTCAGATAATTACATTGTTTGGTTGTTTTTCTTGGTTATGATTCAATAACATTTAATATGTAAAGTATGATTCATTTTTATTAAACAATACTATGTATATATACTTACCTATGTATGCATGAAATAAAAAGCTCTAACTATTAACAATAGTTGTCCCTAGGGAATATAGTCTTAGGTTGTTGCAAAAGTAATTGCATTTTTGCCATTCAGAGTAAGGTTACCACCTATGGACTTTCATCTATGGGCTAGATGAGAAAGAAAGAAGGAAGTTTCACTTTTACCTTATTCACTTCTATTTGACTTAAAACAAGTATGCATTATTAGAGTAACTTAAAAACTAGCAATAAAACACTATAACAAAGGCTTTTGTATGAGAATGCTTCTGTACACTTTTTATTATCTTCTTTGAATAAGTTTCTAGAAGAATTAGTAAGTCAAAAATAGAAACATTTCACTCATGCCTGTAATCCTAGCACTTGAGGTTGAGGCAGCTGGATCACTTGAGGCCAGGGGTTCGAAACCAGGCTGGGCAACATGGCGAGACCCTTCTCTACTAAAAATACAAAAAATTAGCCGGGTATGGTGGTGCTTGCCTGTCATCCCACCTACTCAGGAGGGTGAAGTGGGAGGATCACTTGAGCTCAACGGGTGGAGGTAGCAGTGAGCTAAGATCGTGCCTGAGCACTCCACCCTGGGTGGTAGAGCAAGACCTTGTCTTAAAAAAAGGAACATTTCTTCAGCAGGATACAGACCCCCCGAAAAAATGAACATTTTAAAGGTTCATATTATGTATTGTAAAATTGCTTTCCCGGAAAGATTTTATCAATTTGTGTAGTTTTACCAGTAATGAGTGAGTGTCCATTTTGCTACTTTCTGGCCAATAGTGGCTATTGACATTCTTCTCATCTTTGCCAATTTCATACATGAAATACTACATTACATTTTGTTTTAGTTTTTATTTCTTTTTTTTTTTTTTTTGAGATGCTGGAGTGCAGTGGCATGATTTTGGCTTACTGCAGCCTCCACCTCCCAGGTTCAAGAGATTCTGATTCTCCTGCGTCAACCTCCCGAGTAGCTGGGACCACAGGTGTGTGCCACCATGCCTGGCTACTTTTTTGTATTTTTAGTAGAGATGGGGTTTTTGCCATGTTGGCCAGGCTGGTCTTGAACTCCTGGCCTCAAGTGATCTGTGTGCCTCATTTGGCTTCCCAAAGTGTTGGGATTACAGGCATGAGCTACCACACCTGGCCAAATTTTGTTTTCGTTTTTATTTCTTTGATGACTGCATGAGGTTGAATATTTTTTCTATTAGTCATTTTTATTTCTCTTGTTTTTTTCGAGTTGACTGTTCTTGTACTTTGCCATTTTTCTATTGGGGTGTTTACCTTTTAAAAAATTATTTGCCATCAATTTATATATTATTATAAATATAAAATCTTTGTCATATGTGTTACAAATATTGTTGCCTAACCATTAGTTTGCCTTTTAATTTTGTTTATAATATTCTTTTGAATAAATAGTAGTTAGGAATTTTTTAAGTTGCTAAATCTATCCAGCTGTTTCGTTTTGAAACGCCTATGTACTGACTATACAATTTAAATTGGGGCAGGAAACACTGAGCTTAGAGAGGTTAAGGAACTTACTGAAGGATCCTTCAGCTGGGATGCAGTGAAGCTAGAATTGAGAACATTAATTTTAAAAAAATTCTTAAGTCTAAATGAGAATGTGAAATTTGGCCAATGTTGAAGACCTCTAATGGGTGGAGGCCCCATGGACACCAGAAAGGTGGGGCAGTCAGGGGCTGGAAGTCAGGGTAGAAATGACAAGTCAGCAAAGCATCAAGAGTGAGAAAGAAAAAGTAGAAATGAGGCGTGACCACTGGCACTGGCACCACACCCCTTGAAAAGTATTGTCTATAGATGAGAAGTAGAACAAGAAAGAACAGCTAGATACATCTAAAGCGAAGCCACACAAGACAATTTCTATTTGAAATTGAAAAATGTAGTCATCTTAATACAAAATTTTACTGGCCTGATTTCTGTATAAAAACAGGCATAAGATATATAAATATCTGGCATATGACACGTTTTCTTATTGTAGATTTCATTTGTTTCTTCTCATCAGTGATTACTCCTGGAATGTTGCATTTTTATAAAGAATTCCTTTGCTCCTGAAAGACAGATATTAAAATACCTTTCCTCCATATGGCTAGATAATGAACACAGTACCATCAGTCCAACTTTTAATATAGCAAAACTTCACCGGAAGTATTTATTTTCTTGATGATGATTGTTGACAACCCATTGATTAGATATAGGGTACTCTGCTAATTCTAGAAATCTTTCCTGCCTTTGAAAGATTATTTTCAAAGTGACATTAAAAAACCAGTGACATTCTAGAGAATTTTAGATGGAAATTAGCAGAAAGCATGTTCTTGAAACCAAGTTACCTCTATAGACTACTCTGTCTCTTAATGTAATTTAGATGCCCATACAAGAAAAAGAAGCTTCAAAGAAAGAAGTCATTCTTCTGGCCAAGATGAAACATCCCAACATTGTAGCCTTCTTCAATTCATTTCAAGGTTTGATTTTCCGATATTCTTTAAGTATTTTTATAAAGCATAGGCATGTGGACATATGTAAAAAGATTTGTTCCTAAGGACTATGTATAAATTAATTTTTGTAAATGTGTCATTTCCCCATTTACTCAATATGGAGTTTGAGACATCCTCGTTATTTCCTCTCAAGTTTTTATAGACAGCTTTCTTATGTTTTCTTGTTTTCCTCCTATCCTTAATTCTCACTCTCCCAAAAAGTTAATGACAGTTGATTAGATTCTTTGCTGTAGTAACAACCCCAGATAGTAACTAACAGTAATACACACCTGTTTCTCATTTACATCACATGCTAGCTATGGTGGGCAAGGGTCTGGAGTCTGGGGTCCAGGCTGAAGGAGCAGCTCAGATAGGGAGTTAGCTATTCTCATAAGCAAGAGAGGAAGACGCAGAGCCCACCACACTATCGCTCTCAAAGCCCTGCTGGTGTGTGTGTGTGTGTGTGTGTGTGTGTGTGTGCATGTGGGTGTGCATGCAGGTGTGTGTTGAGGGGTACTCTGCTTACATGAAATCCTGCAGATTCTTAGGCAACTGGGGCTGTGTAATCCTCTTGCAGAGAGCCAGCAAACAGCCACACATCATAGCTTGGTACACTGCCTCATAGAGGGGGAGAACTTCAGGGAAGGAATTCTCTTTCTCTGTACACCCGAATACAGTTCACCTCTACCATCACTCTAGTGATAAAAATAAATAATATATGAAGGGGCATTTGTCAGACAGCATTCCTTCACTGAACTGATACTTACTGAGTGCTTACTATATGCCAGACATTGTTCTAGGTGTCAGGAATATAGCAGTGAACAAAGATGAAAATCCCTGTTTTCATGAAGTTTATATTCTACTGGGAAGAGATAGACAATAAAAAAATATACAGTATGTCAGGTATGTCTTAAGACGTGACAGGGCTGTATGTACTGACAGTTTTATGAGGGGTCATTCCCTACCCAGCCCCCAGCATGGGGCTGTTTTAAGAGTGGTTAGTAGTTCTTGGAGCAGCAGTGTTAACCTCAGTATCTTCAAGCATCATCAGTGGGGTAAAAGCTAGGATTATAGGCAAGAGCCACTGTGCCAGGCCTTTGATTTTTTTTAATATGCATTTTAGAATGAATTATAATTATTGTTTAATAAATGTTGGAACTTGACAAATAAAAAGGTTAGCCAGGCGTGGTGGCTTACACCTGTAATCCCAGCACTTTGGGAGGCCAAGGTGGGTGGATCATGAGGTCAGGAGTTTGAGAATAGCCTGGCCAATATGGTGAAACCCCATATCTACTAAAAATACAAAAATTAGCCAGGCATGGTGGAGCATGCCTGTAGTCCCAGATACTTGGGAGGCTGAGGCAGGAGAATCATTTAAACCTGGGAGGTGGAGATCACAGTGAGCAGAGATGACACCACTGACTCCAGCCTGGACAGCAGAGCGAGACTCTGTCTCAAAAAAAAAAATGGTTATTTGGTACCCTCAGTTGTTTTGAGAGGTCAATGATACATGAGCTTTACAGGTCCGGAAACTACTGTCCTATAGTGGACCTTGCACTTTCTTTCTCTTTCTGGGGTATCCTTTTTTTTTTTTTAATCAAATACTATACTTTAGGAGTAAACACATCCCACCTCATAAATTTAAAGTGATCTCTCTCACCTATGCTCTGAACCCCTCTAAACTCTTACTGGCCTTATCATACATTCACATGGCATTTATAGTGCACTGTATTATTATGTTAATATTATGTTCCAATCCCTCAATGAGATTGGAAGTTTCTTGAGAAGAAGAATTATTTGTTATACCTTTTATTCCCTCCTTCGGTGCTTACTTTTTAAGCAGATGGAAAATTTGAGAGGATAAATGATTTTTCCAGATACTTCCAATAAATATAAAATTACCAGTGGCTAATGGGTAAAATACTTATTTTACAGCCAGATAATGCTAATTGACATAACTGGTTTTTTTCTTTTTATTTTTCTTCTTTTTGAGAGGCCCACACTGGAGTGCAGTGGTGCAATCTTGCACCTCCACCACCCAGGTTCAAGTAGTTCTCCTGCCTTAGCCTCCTAAATAGCTGGGATTACAGGTGCACGCCACCTCGCCTGGTTAATTTTTGTATTTTTAGTAGAGATGGGGGTTTCACTGTGTTGGCCAGGCTGGTGTCAAATTCCTGACTTCAAGTGATCCACCCGCCTTGGCCTCCCAAAGTGCTGGGATTACGGGCTGAGCCAGTAGTTTCTTTAAGATGGCTTAGTCATGACAATCCTTGAGTGTCAGTCAGTTTCTTTCACCAAAAGCCAGTGTAAGATTGAGTGAGCTGGAGGTTGATGAAAGGAAATGAGATGAAATCCTTTCTCTTCTGTCTCATTATTCTGATTCTTTCATGGTTTTGAAATTGCCATCCCTTCATTGCTGTGGCAGACTTTTAATGACTGAGCTTCAGTGATAAGAAACATCAGTTCTCCTAAAATGAACACATTCCTGAAAATAACTGATCTCTAGATATTAGGGCATATCAGGAAGCATCTTCTTAGAACCCTTCCTGGATCTCCAGTCTGACTTGCATGCACTTTCTCCTCACCCTCCAGCCTGCAGACTTCACAGCAATCCTCACCCAGTGCTGAGGGAGCCCCAGCTAGACTTCGCCTCCTTAACAGTAGGATGGATGGCTTCTTTGCTTTTTATTCCTACACAGCATTCCTTGTTTTTGCATGTCCTCAATAGAAGTTTGTTAATAAATGAATGGATCTGTGTCTTAAAGAAGAGACGCGGAAAAATTGAAATATGTGAAAGAAGCTGCATGTTTTGCAAATCAGAAGCAGCCAGGGGTTGACGCTGCCAGGTTCTTGATATCCAGGGAAAAGTTGGTTTAGGTTTTAAAGAGTAGGATAGCAAAAGATAGATATTTGGCAAGAGATTCTGGCATTTAGTGGATACTACAGAGGAAAATGTTAAAAAGATTAACAATTGCTTATAAGCCTGACTTTGTGGCATACGTTTTGTATGTGTGTGTGTGTGTGTGTGTGTGTTTAATCCACTCAACAGACATTTCGGCCTCTTTGTTGTGCTAACTACTGTTTTGGGTACAAAAGAATGAAGTGTGGACAAACAAGTTAGTAGAAGTTCTTTTTTAACAAGATCCCAGCTGGTGGTTGGTTGGCTAATGAAAAAGCTGGTTAAAGCAGAAAATCATCTGTTTTCATCTATTCCAGCAGCTATAACAAAAATGCCATAAACTGAGTGGCTTATAAACAACAGAAATTTGTTTCTCACGGTTCTGGAGGCTGGGAAGTGCAACATCAAGTTGCAGGCAGATTCAGTGTCTGGTGAGGATTCACTTTCTGGTTCATTGATGGTTTGTCTCTTTGTGTCTTCACATCGTGGAAGGGGAGAGGGTCTCCTTGGACATCATTCCATTCATGAGGCTCCAGGTTATCACTAGTCACTACAGGCCTCTCTAGTATGTTCAAGTACCTAGTCACCTTCCAAAAGCTCTACACCTCCTAATACCATCGCCATGGGGGTTAGAATTTCAACATATAAATTTGCGGAAGACAAAGACATTTAGACCGTAGCAATTATACAAACATATTTTAACATAAGAAGACATAATCATCCTTTGAGTAGAAATGGCTGGGAAAAAAAAGAAAAGAAATCTAAGGAAATTACAAGCATTTGTCAAAGGATTGTTTCTTTTCTTTAATATGGAGCAAGTGTTTGTGGATAATCTGTCCACAATCCTTTTAGAAGTTTTCCAGTTATATTTCATTCATCCCATTCAACATTTAGGTCAATAGCTATTTTTTTTAAAACTATTCACTTTTACCGAGTCTTCCAAAATATTCAGCATAGCTTTTGGAAAATAATCACCTTTCATTTTCTATTCATATTTCATCAGTTTATGTTACAATGACAAGAATAAATGGTATAAACATATTGGGAAAAAACACAATGATCTTGGTAGGATTCAGTTTAATTGGTAGGAGCAGAGGTACTTGGACATACTAGAGAGCCTTGTAGCCTAGTGATAACCTGGATGGGGCAATAACAATGGAGAATGTCCTGTAATCTAGTGAGTGGTTTAGGCAGAGGTCGGTTATAAGAGTTTCTATTGTATTCAACAATGTAGTTGAATAAGTGCCATATAAATATGGTGTTATGCCCAAATTCAAGAAGGGGCTGTTAATTCGTCCTAGGTTGTTATGAAAGAGTCACAGCTGCTATTCTTACAGCAGATTTCTAATCTCTCAAATGAATGTATTAATAAAAATAGCCAACATTTCTTAAACTCTTATTATGTGCAGGCATTGCTTTAAGCATCTGACATGGATTAACTCGTTTAAGCTTTCCAACAATCCAAAGAAGAAATTTCTATACTATTATTTCCATTTTACAGATGAGGTAATGAGACAAAGAGAAATTAAAGTGACTTGCCCAGAGTCACAGAGCTAAGAAACAGAAATGGCATAGTGGGATTAGAACCCAGTCCATCTTGGTTCCACAGCCAGAACATGACATGATGATAAATATGTGAAATCCTTCCAGCACCAAATGATTTCTTTTCTTACAGAGAATGGCAGCCTGTTTATTGTGATGGAAGATTGTGATGGAGGGGATCTCATGAAAAGGATCAGTAGACAACGGGGTGTGTTCTTTAGTGAAGGTCAGATTAAAACTTTGAATTTGCTTTTTAATTTTATGTATGTGTGGCAGGGGGAGAATTAAATGTGTAATGTCATAAGTAGTAGACTATGTTGATATAACGCACGTGTTTTGGTAGAGAAATTCAAACCATAAAATAGTGCATCAATGTTCATGGTAGATTCTGTCCAGAACAAGTTTCCAGTTGAACCGAAACTGAATTGTTTTTTAGAGAGTGAGATTTTCTTGAGAAAAGATAGTCTATTTGGACAATCTCATGTATGATGCCTCTGAGATAAAACTTAATGTTTAAAAAAAATCTGAATGTGAGTGTTCCTGAGCCATTTAACATATGACATATTTATAGCTTCACTGTTTTCTCTTTAACAATTTGGTGCTCTGTTTTAAAATAGATATCCCACTTTGCTAGAGAGGATAGAAGCTTGTCTTAGCCATGCCTGTTTAGTTTCATTGGTTACTAAGAGGGGGAGACAAAAAATGAAGAATAATGGCTTCAATTCCCACTTTCTCTTTGCATAAACATATTTCTCTTCTATTCTCCAAGCCTCCTTGAAACCTTCTTGGGAGTGGTACTCATAAAGGAGACAGGTTTGTGTGTTTGGAGAGGAATCTGAGTTAGTGCCTGTGTGATTGATGGTAAGGCCATTGCCTCAAGCAGCACATAGAAAGGCCTGCCATCTTCCCTTTGGCCATTTGTTTCTTTGTTCTAGTTTAGCATGTAAGAGCATCATGCCTGTATAATTTCCACTTAAAATTGAATATTTTGAATACATGAAGGATTAAAGAATCAATATCTCTAATCTCTGTAACATTAATCAAGCATTCTTTGTATGCTCATTTGTATTAGATATTAAATTCCATATTCATAGAAGCTCTCCTTTCTTATCTAGGTATTATTTTGCCACATTTTATAAAAATGCTTCTCATGACAAAATTTTTAGTTATCTTTCTTTTTGTTAGGAATGAACTAAAATTACAACTGAAGATTAATGTCTGGAATATAGCTTTATTCCTATTATTTTCCTCTTTCTGTATAATTTGGCAGACAAAGAACCAGTGAAATTTTAGAATAGTTTAAATAAATCTCTATAGGCACAGGACATATTTTCATAAAGAGGCTCATGGCCAACAAAGATAAAATAAAATCATGACTTAGAAATAAAATTAAACTTTAAAAGTAAAATATTTATTGGTTTTATATTAGATATATAGACATTTCATTACGATTCCTAATAACCTCACAGATCCCGCATTTCTTCCTCTTTCTCTCCCTACCTTCTTTCACTGTAAAGGAAGAACCAATGGTGCCCAGGTTATCAGGAAACAGGGCTGCTGTGTACTATTCCTGATGCAATCAGCATCCCAAGGTTAAGTAAAAAAAGAAGAAAATCATGAATGGCATGCCTCTTTCCCTTGCTTCTACTTGATACCAGTGTTATTTGGATTACTTTTCTGTGCCTTCATTTTTCTAGTTGTAAAATGAAAATAATAATATTGTAAAGTGTATCTATTAAATACACATACACTATGTGTGTGTGCGTGTATATGTCTGTGTATAACTTCTTTCTTTCTTTTTGCATGTTATCATGAAGACATTTCAGTGACTACCAGGCTATTCAATGGCTTTGTTTTGTGTTCTCTCTATAGATCCTCGGTTGGCTTGTACAGATTTCTCTAGAACTAAAACATATTCATGACAGGAAGATATTACACAGGGACATAAAAACTCAGGTAACAGCTCAGAGAGAAGACTAAGAGAGAACTCTGATCTCTTCTTGAAGTGCCTCAAACAACATGACATTTTCTCCATTTGCAGAACATTTTTCTTAGCAAGAATGGAATGGTTGCAAAGCTTGGGGACTTCGGTATAGCAAGAGCCCTGAATAAGTAAGTATTTTGAAAAAAATTTTTTTTTCTATTCAAAATATCCCAAGTATGTATTTTTAGGTATCATGGATTAAGAATATATTAAAATCTTGATTGTCCAAATAATTTTAGGTAGCTTTATGTCAGTGCAATAAATCAGTCAGATGGTACTTTGCGATTAAAATTCTCAAGATAAATTGTGGCATAATAGAATGATGTTGCTAATATTCTGTAGTGTGATTCCAGTTCATCGACTATGGGATGTGACTAATACGCATAAAGCTAGTGAGAATTTAGTGAAACAGGCAGGTTTACACTTCTTAATGAAAAAAGTCAAACTCTGTAAAATATTTGAAGAAATTTATTCTGAGCCAAATACGAGTGACCACAGGACCATGCCTGTGACATAGCCCTCAGGAGATCCTAAGAACATGTGCCCAAGGTGGCTGGGCTACAGCTTGGTTTTGTACATTTTAGGGAGACACAAGACATCAATAAGATGTACATGGGTTTGGTCCAGAAAGGCAGGACAACTCACAGCTGGGAGGAATGGGAGGGAGCTTCCAGGTCATAGATGGATTAAAAACTATTCTGATTTATAGTTGGTTGAAAGAGCTTATCTAGAGACCTGGAATCAATGGAAGGGAGTGTGTGGGTTAAGATAAGGAGTTGTGGAAACCAAGGTTTTTGTTATGCAGATGAAATCTCCAAGTAGCAGGCCTCAGAGAGAATAGATATAAATGTTTCTTATCAGTCTTAAAAGGGTGCCAGACACTTAGTTAATTTTCTCCTGGATCAGGAAAAAGACTTGGAAAAAGAAGGGGATTTTCTCCAGAACGTAGATTTTCCCCATAAGAGAAAGCTTTGCAGGACTATTTCAAGATATGGGCAAAGAAACATGATGTGGAGTAAAATATTTTTATTTCTTTCAGACCTTCTGTCATGTGATATTATGCTAGAGTCAGGCTAGACTTTGGTATCATTGCTACGAAGAGTCTGCTTTGTCAGTCTTAAGGTCTGTTTAATGTTTTGTTTTGTTTTTTTTGAGACGGAGTTTCGCTGTTGTTACCCAGACTGGAGTGCAATGGCACGATCTCAGCTCACCGCAACCTCCTTCTCCTGGGTTCAACAATTCTCCTGCCTCAGCCTCCCGAGTAGCTAGGACTACAGGCGTGCACCACCATGCCCAGCTAATTTTTGTATTTTTAGTAGAGATGGGGTTTCACCTTGTTGACCAGGATGGTCTGGATTTCTTGACCTCGTGATCCACCCGCCTCAGCCTCCCAAAATGCTGGGATTATAGGCATGAGCCACTGTGCCCAGCCTAAGGTCTGTTTAATGTTAATGCTGGTCAACTGTGCCTGAATTCCAAAAGGGAGGAGAAAATTATGAGGCATGTCAGACCCTGCTTCCCATCATGGCCTGAACCAGTTTTTCAGGTTAACTTTGAAATGTCCTTGGCCAAAGGGAGGGTCCATGGGTTGTTTGGGGAGCTTAGAATTTTATTTTTGATTTACACATTTTCTAGTGAATAAATTGGTGCACCTGTTGGGAAGACAATTTGGTGGCAATATATATTAAGAGATTTTTAAATGTTCTATTTCTGGGAATTTGTTCCAAGGGAATAGCTTGACATTTGGAATAACGTAAATGCCTAAATAATTGGAAAATGGTTAAATTTAATAAATCTTGGCATGGCCATGTACCTGAATATATCATAAAAAACATTTATGGTTTTGAAAACTTCTTGATAACTTTGTTATACTAAATAAAGAAAATGGAATTCTGAATTTTAAATACATTGTGATCACAGTTATATGAAAAATATTGGTGGAAAAAAGACAGGAAAAAAGTATATCAGAAGTTTAACAATAGTTGTTTTGGGTGCTAAGATTCTGGGTAACTTTTTTTCCATTATTCATTTTTGTATTTTCTAAATTTTAAATCATGAGGTTGCAATTAGACAATCTCTTACATCAGAGAGATTTTTATAACATAACAATTTCATCTCTTTGTGTAGTGTTTAAGCCATAAAAATATGTTTTAATGTGTAATTTTTTTGGGAGGTGAATTGTAATTTTAAAAATCAACTGATTTTGTTACTTTATCAATGTACCATGTTTTTCTTCCTTCTAACACTTGTATGTACCAAATCTTGTGTTATCCATGTTCTCATTCTTCTTAAATGTCTGTGTCTTAAGACTTTTCTTAGGACTTTATCTCCACTAAAAAAAATGCTAATTTATTATTTAATATAATTTACTAGTTCCATGGAACTTGCTCGAACTTGTGTTGGAACACCTTACTACCTGTCCCCAGAGATCTGTCAGAAAAAGCCCCACAACAATAAGACGTAAGTTACTGACTCTCAGTTTAAAAGTGTCAGTAAAATCTGATGGATGACACTGAACGAAGATTCCAAAAACTAAAATTCAAATCTCTTCTCTCTTTCTTATGGTACTTTTGTAATTTCATTTTCTTCATGTATGAAATTGTTCCTGGACCAAACTGAGGGTTGGGCTGCTGTTTCTTGTGGCCCCATAATGAGATGCAGATGAAGTAGGGAGGAAGTGAGTTTTTATTTCTGTAACCAGTTATAGGGAGGTTTGGAAATTATCACCATACCAACTCAAAATTGCAAAGTTTTTCCTAGCTTATACACCTTTTAAGCTATATTTCTACGTATAAGGGTGCATTCATTTAAGGACATAAGTGATTAACTCCTTTTAATCTATAACTAAGGTCTGAGTCCTGAAGACCTTCTTCTGGAGCCTCAGTATGTTTACTTAATCTAAATGGGTCTAGGTGCTCGGGTGATTACCCTTAATCTTGTTTCATGCTAAATCATGGAGGTTTGGGGAGTTCCTTCAGACCCCTGATAAAACTTGTTTAATCCTAAATGGGTCCTGTTTGGAATTGCTTCATTATTTTGTCATGCTTTAAGACCCAGGAAAAACCTAGGCAAAACTCTTGATGGGCTTTTGTTACATTCCATAAGGAAGATATCAGGGCACTGGCTTTTTTAGCTTTCAGTGTTTAACTTCACCACTCAGTCAGTACTGAAACAGTTGTGATGGAGGCCTGCGTTAGTAAGACCTGGCCTGCCACAAAATGGGGATCCAAGAGACTATCTCTGAGCAGTGTTACCTGAAGCTTTCGAAGTTGTTTAGAAGAAAACCATTTCTCTTCCTTTAAAGATACAAGTGGTATAAAAAATAACATCAAAAATTGCCGTCACTGTGATGTCCATTTTTTTGTTGTATGTTTATACCTTTCAAGCACTGTTTAGTCTGTTGCAAGACAAGATTGAAGAAGACGAAGCAGAACACAGTGTGGTCTGGTGACTGATCGAATCCTAGTCTTGGCTCGGTTGCTAACTTGACCAAGTCAGTTGACCTCTGTGGGCCTCAGTTCTCTAACTCATAACAATGAGAATATTGACTAGGTAATCTTTAAGGTGTCTTCCAGCTTTAAAACGCAGCTAGTTTTTATGTGTGTGACATCAGAGTCTGGTTCTCAGTAGTAATTATTATTATTATTATTTTTTTTGGAGGTGGAGCCTGGCTCTGTCACCCAGGCTGGAGTGCAGTGCTGTAATCTTGGCTCACTGCGACCTCTGCCTCCCAGGTTCAAGCAATTCTTGTGCCTCAGCATCCCAAGTACCAGGACCATGCCTGGATAATTTTTTGTATTTTTAGTAGAGATGGGGTTTTACCATATTGCCCAGGCTGGTCTCAAATTCCTGACCTCAGGTAATCTGCCTGCCTCTCAAAGCGCTGGGATTGCAGACATGAGCCACCACACGCCGCCCTCAGCAGTAATGTTAATGTATACAGCAAGAAAAGGTGAAGAACTTTTGCTTCCTATAAGGAGAAGGGAAAGATTTTAACTTTTCAAAGCTGGCTGCCATTGAACAAGTTGGCAATAAGGAAGACTGAGTTCCCTTTGGGTTAATTGTCCTTTTGTTTAGGAAAATGCCCAAGAGATGTTTGGCTATTGGACTTTGAAAGAGATAAATGAAAGGCAAAGCTCAGATGGTAGAGAATTACAAAAAGAATAGTAAAAATTTATCTGCATAATAAAATAACAGAGGTTTTTTTTTTGAGCTATCCCCCGGCACCTAGGAGTTTGGCCTCAAGTTAGTCATGCAGGAATGCGGGTAGGCTGTGCTGGACAGAAAGTAGGCTGTTCAGAGCAGGGCGTGGTGCTGTGGTGCATTGTTTTGTTTCCTTGTACTGCTTTTCAAGAATTTGAATCAACATGTAAATAGTGCTGGATGTGGTGGCTCACACCTGTAATCCTAGCACTTTGGGAGACTGAGGGGAATGATTGCTTGAGTCTAGGGGTTCAAGACCAGCCTGGGCAACATTGTGAGACCTTGTCACTACATTAAAAAAAATAAATATTGAAAGGCTTTAAAATATGCAGAGTTGGTGCATCTGAAAATGAAAAGATCCTGGCAATAATCAGGTGGGTAGCTGCTGGCTCCATTAGAGCAGCAAACATTCCCTGGTTCACCGCAGTCTTCACCATGCCAAGTGGTCTCAGGGCTGCACTGCCCCCTCCCAACTGCCAGGTGGCTGCAGTACTGGCCTGAGCCCTAAGGGGCATATGAATTCTCTACCCTGGCTGCAGAGGGTGCTCTGGGGACAGAAGAGAAGTTTGGTTCTGTGGAAGCCCTAGAAAAGACAAAATTCTGTGTGGTGTGAAGTGGTCAGTGAGTTTCTAGAAGCTCTAGAAAGTAGACGTTTGTTTCCTGGGTCAGGTGCAGGTGGCTCATGCCTCCCAGCACTTTGGGAGGCCAAGGAGGGAGTATTGGTTGAGCTCAAGAGTTTGAGACCAGCCTGAGTAACATAGTGAAACCTTGTTTCTGAAAAAACAAAAAAATTATTAAGAAACCCCACAAATTTGTTTCCCACCAATCTTGCCATGTCTTGTACTTACGATCTATTGTACTCAAGCCCTTAGTGTAAGAGTCAGTCTCTCTCTCTCTCTCTCTCTCTCTCTCTCTCTCTCTCTCTCTCTCTCTCTCTCTCTCTCTCTCACATGCATGATGCATTGCTGCTAGAGGAGGCATTTACCTCACTCCTCACTTTAATGATTCCTTCTTGCTTTGGCTCTTTGACATTTACATTTCTCATTATACATTTTTTGATCTTTTAGATTTAATTGTGCTTTTTGTTCTACAAAATAACTCCTCAATTAAACCAATCACATATAAATATTTATGAAATACTAAATCTGTAAGGAGCAAAGCTCACAATATATATTTTAAGTACATTTTTTAAAATGTCTATCGAGAATCAGATACTGTGTTCATTACATAATATAACTTTGGTTCTGTCAAAAGCCTTGAGTAGGGCATATCTTTCAAAATCAACTCAATATTACCTTTTGAGTCAAAACAAATCCATGGTTGAGTTCTGCCTGCCTCCAAATTGCTCAAAATTTCATCAGATACATTTTATTTGAGCAGGAAACTGAACTAAATATTAAGCCACCAGGCTGTAGCAAAGTTTGTGTGCCTTTCTTCTACTAGAAATCCAACAAACTACAAATTTTATTTTTATTTATTTTACCTATTATCTTCTAATAAGAATTGATGATATATCGGAAAGCATTTGTAAAAACTGGTCAACTTATATAAAACTGTAAAGCAACACAAATTTAAGGCACTGTAAGGGTAGAAGCTTTTATTAAGAATAATGGATGTTTTCTTGGCTTGTAAACTCTGATCTTCTCTAGGGATATTTGGTCTCTTGGCTGTGTCTTATATGAGCTCTGCACACTGAAACATCCTGTAAGTATGCTCTTCATCAAACTAATCTTGAATTATTGGAATTGTAGAAAAGAAATTAACTTCTGGGAGAAAAATGTTAATGTTCGATTTTATTAGATTGTTAAAAATTATATGGATGAGCTACTTAAAATAATGGTAGATCTATATGTCCTGACATGGAAGGATGTCCAAGCAATATTATAAAGTAAAAAGTCTGAGTTGGAGAATAGTATGTGTAGCATATTTCCATTAAAAATAAATTACGTGGGCTTGACATGGTGGCTCATGCCTGTAATCCCACCACTTTGGGAGGCCAAGGCAGGCAGATCACTTGAGGTCAGGAGTTGGAGACCAGCCTGGCCAACATGATGGTGAGACCCCGTCTTTACTAAAAATGCAAAAATTAGCTGGGCATGCTGGCGTGCACCTGCAGTTCTTAGCTAGTCAGGAGGCTGAGGCACGAGAATTGCTTGAACCCAGGAGGTGGAGGCTATAGTAAACTGAGATCACACCACTGCACTCCAGCCTGGATGACAGAGCGAGAGTCCGTCTCAAAAAAAATTAAATAAATAAATTATGTGTGAATACATATGTTCGGCAAAAGGAAAATGTACATGGACAAAGTTTATAGGAAACCAGGCACAAGGTTTTAAGAGTCTTTTCCCAGAGGTCACGTGGATGTGCCAAATCCTCCAGCGCTGTTACCCACGACACCTGTGAAATGTGATCTATAAGAAAGCTCATCAGATATACCCAGTGCCCAGGGTTTTTACTGGGGACTGGTCACATAGGCACCTTCTACCTGGCATATATCAAACTTCCAGACTCCTGGAAAGAAAGCAGGTGTTCAGCATAAGCCATTTTGTTTGCATAAATAGCTGAGGCAAAGAAAACCCCTCTTAACATTCAGGGAATGGTGGAAATTCTCCTGAAATCTTAGTTCCCAGGCCAACTTTGTAAGCAGACCTTTCTGAGGATATCCTGCTACATCAACTCTTTTCTCCACAGCTGTCATTATTATTATTATTATTATTATTAATTATTGTCAAGGGTTGCACAGCTAGTGTCTGATCAAAACGTGTACCTCTTTTTTTTTTTTTTTTTTTTTTTTGAGACAGAGTCCCACTCTGTGGCCCAGACTGGAGTGCAGTAGTCTGGATCTCAGCTCACTGCAACTTCTGACTCCTGGGTTCAAGCAATTCTCCTGCCTCAGCCTCCTGAGTAGCTGGGATTATACAGGTACCCACCACCATGCTCAGCTAATTTTTTGTATTTTTAGTAGAGATTGGGTTTCACCATGTTGGCCAGGCTGGTCTTAAACTCCTGACCTCAGGTGATCCTCCTGCCTCTGCCTCCAAAATGCTGGGATTAGAGGCGTGAGCCACTGTGCCTGGCCAACGTGTACCTTTATTGCTACACCATGGTGTTGAATATTATTATGTATAAATAACTATTGGGTATATACAATAGAAGAGTCTCTGGTTTATGAAGCATTTTAGAGGAAATGAAAAATGTTTATGCTAATTTTAAATAGCAAGAGATAAAATTTCCTATCAGTATGACCCCAACTTTGTACAATAAAAATCATTTTTAAAAAAGATAAGAAGTTATAGCTCTGAATGGTAAAATTATACATATTTTCCCATGACTTTAGAACTTCCTATTCCTTCCAGTTTTTTGTTATGAGTAAGCATTATTTTGATAATAAGACAAAATTAAACAAACAAACAAAAAACTTGTTTTAAGTAACATGGCATTTCATTGAGTAACTGCAATATCTGCTCATGGAAGATTAGTTGATGAAAACAATTTAGGGTGGACCATAGTCCTTCTTTTTTATTTTTTGTTTTTTTTTTAATTGACACAGGGTCTCACTCTGTCACCCAGACTGGAGTGCAATGGTGTGATCATGGCTCACTGAAGCTTTGATCTCCTGGGCTCAGATAATCCTCCTGCCTCAGCCTCCCAAGTAGCTGGGACCACAGGCTCATACCACCATACCTAGCAAATTTTTTAAAATCATGATTTGGAGAGAGAAGATCTAACTCTGTTTCCCAGACTGGTCTTGAACTCCTGGGCTCAAGTGATCCTACTGTCTCAGCCTCCCAAAGTACTGGGATTACCCAGGAGCTTAGTGCTTCTGCAATTTAAAAACATTATTTTGCTTCTTGGTATATTTGTTACTTTAACACTTTTAAGATTTGTTACTTTAGTAACTTTTCTCTGATTTAGTATCATTGCTTCTTGTCCTTTCAGTTTGAAGTTAGCAACTTACAGCAGCTGGTTCTGAAGATTTGTCAAGCACATTTTGCTCCAGTATCTCCAAGGTTTTCTCGTAACCTACATTCCTTGATATCTCAGCTCTTTATAATATCTCCTCAAGACCGACCATCCATAAATTCCATTTTGAAAAGGCCCTTTTTAGAGAATCTGATTCCCAAATATTTGACTCCTGAGGTGAGTTGTGAGGTGGCTGTTTGAATTTTGGCAGAGATTTTGATTTGTAGGTCCTTGACACGTGTGTTTGGTTTTAGGTCATTCAGGAAAAATTCAATCACATGCTTATATGCAGAGCAGGAGCGCCAGCTTCTCAACATGCTGGGAAGATGGTCCAGAGTAAGTGTGACTTAGCCGTGCAATCAAAAGCATCTATTACACATGTGTCATACAGAGTAATGCAAGGAAATGTCACCAAACATATGGAAAGTGGACATTTGAAAAATACAAGCAGTATAAGCAGGAGAAAAATCATCTTGTCAAATGGCAGCTAGTGAGTGTGCCTGAAAGTTGTATATCTAGCTCATACATTAGCACCTTCCTTCTCATTAGTCAGGAAACCTTCATGAAGCAGAGGACATGCTGAGAGAGATGCTTGAAGAGGTCGAACCCAAACTTAACTTTTGTATAGGAAAGGGATAGAGTGGGAGAAGGTTACAGATAGACACAGATGATGAGATGAAACTTATTTTTCTAAAATAGGATAGACCGGCAATTAAGAATTCTGTTGCAAAGGACCACTGGAGCTGAAGTTAGGATCTTGGGGTCTAATTGGTAACAACGGGAAACTATGTGAAAGTGATGAAGTGCTCTGTGTCAGGGGAGGGGTGCATTAAGGAAGAGAAAATTACTAATTCACTTGAAGCTGTGAAAGTCAAAGCCCCAGGATTTAGCCGCAACTGAATGTCTAGACTTACAATATCAGGAGGAGCAGAAAATCTCTCAAAGAAATCTGTGATAGGGAAATGTTATCCATTGTGATCGAGATGCTAAAATTGAGGAAAGTTAAAGAGAAAACGAATGAGCTTCTTTGCCATTTAATTTGACTGACATTATTGTATATCAGTCTAGATTGAGAATGTTCAGAAAATAGATAAGTAGAGAATATGGGACAGTATATTGTCCATGTTTCTAGTATAGGTAAGATAGGAGAACAAAAACAATTATTTTTTTATTGAGGTCGGGTCTTGCTGTGTTTCCCAGGCTGGCCTCGAACTCTTGAGCTCAAACAGTCCTTCCACCTTGGCCTCCCAAATTGCTGGGATTACAGGTGTGAGCCACCTTGCCCAGCCCAAGAACAAATTTTGATGGAGATAAAGACAAACATTAGAAAATCTACTCATACCTTAATCCCAGCACTTTGGGAGACCAAGGAGGGTAGATCACTGGAGGCCAGGAGTTTGATGCCAGTCTGGCCAACATGGCCAAACCACGTGTCTACTGAAAATACAAAAATTAGCTGCACATGGTGGTGCATGTCTGTCATCCCAGCTACTCAGTTGGCTGAGGCATGAGAATGGCATGAACTTGGGAGGCTGCAGTGAGCTGAGACCCTGCCACTGCACTGTAGCCTGGGTGACAGAGTGAGACTTTCAACAACAACAACCAGAAAAAAAAAAAGGAGAGAGAGAGAGAGAGAAGATCTACTCATCAATTCCAATCAACATGGCATGAATGGAGTGGCCTGATAACCCAAGCTCTAATGACCGAATTTAATAACTTTTACTATTACCCCATATATATTGTTGCTGTAAATGTTAATATTAATTTCTGTTTTTCTGGAAAAAAAAAAAAAAAAAGGTGCTGTCATGTATTACTTGAAGTATGCAAAGGGACTCTGAAAAAATGGTTTTTTCCTTTTAAAGAAAATGCATATTAATTTTTCAGCTGTACTTCTCTGTGTGTAAAATGTCTCCCGCTAAAAATGTAGCTTATGTTTATACTCTTACAAGTATCAGTATTAAAGGTGTACAATTTTTAAAAAATTGAAGCCGTTTTATTTTGGTTAATTAAGAGTGCAAAATACAAAAAGTGAGATTCCAGGGAAAGTGCCCACCAAGATCAAGGATATCTGTGCCAATTAAAAGGAATGCAATATTGCATAGAAATGAATGGAGACCACCAGCTGGAGAGCAGAAGCCCAGATCTGTAAGTCATTCTAAACACTCCTTTGTGTTTTTAAGCTATTTAAAAAATATATATATATATATATTTATTTATTTATTTATATTTATTTTTTAATTAAGACAGTTTCGCTAGGTTACCACCAGGCTGGTGTGCAGTGGTGCGATCTCAGCTCACTGTAACCTCCACTTCCTGGGTTCAAGTGATTCTTCTGCCCCAGCCTCCTGAGTAGCTGGGACTACAGGCATGTGCCACCATTCCCAGCTAATTTTTGTGTTTTTAGTCGAGATGGGGTTTCACCATGTTGGCCAGGATGATCTCGATCTCTTGATCCACCTGCCTTGGCCTCCAAAGTGCTGGGGTTATAGGGGTGAGCCATGGTGCCTGGCTGGTATATTCCTTTTCTTTAATTTTTTAACTTAAAATTTTGTGGGTACATAGTTAGTATGTATAATTATGGGGCACATGAGATGTTTTGATACAGGCAAGCAATGTGAAATAAGCACATCATGGAGAATGGAGTATCTATCCCGTCAAGCATTTATCCTTTGAGTTATGAACAACCCAGTTATACTCTTCAAGTTATTTTTAAATGTATACTTAAGTTATTATTGACTATAGGCCATCTATTTTGCTATCAAACAGTAGGTCTTATTCATTCTAATTTTTTTAACCCATTAAAGGTATGGTATATTCTGACAGACCTACCTGCATGTGTTTATGAGGTACAAGCTCATTATTTGGAGTCCACAGATTTTGTACTTATTCTGTAATGAGTATTATAATGGTAGTTTGTTGGACAACTTCTAGTTTTTACATTTTATAAAACAAAGCTGTATGTTCTTACTAGTATACTTCAGGTTTAATTTTATTTTTATAACTGAAATTCTTATAATTTCTAATAAATAAGGTTTTTCTATATAGGACACATGAGTGACATAGCAATAGAAACAATCTACACTTAATTTTCTTAATTCTAACATATATAGGATTGGGAAGTTTTTATGATATAATAATTGATATTTCCCTAGTGATTCTTTGTGCTCATTTGAATTCATTTCAGCAGAGTGTTGAATCTTTTAGGTCATACTAGTGAAGTGCTTCTGGTATGTAAATGACAAAATGGCTATTATATTTTAATTAAATAATTGTATTTTTAAAGAAGGCTCAAGGTATAATTATAGAACCATTTGGAAGTATATTTACTAAGTGTTTACTTGATACATAGACATTTTAGAAAATGTGTTTGTATATAAACTTTTTAAAAAATCTATTGTTTAAGTTATTGCCCTTCATTTGATAAAGGGCTTAACTTATTTATTTATTTGAAACAGGGTCTTGCTCTGTCACCCAGGCTAGAGTGCAGTGGCATGTCTTAGCTCATTGCAGCCTCAAGGTATTAGTCTGTTCTCATACAGGCTAATATAAAGAACTAGTTGAGACTGGGTACTTAATAAAGAAAAGAGGTTTAATTGGCTCATGGTTCTGCAGGCTGTATGGGACACATCACTGGTGAGGCCTCAGGAAACTTACAATCATGGTGGAAGGGGAAGCAGGCTCATCTTAAATCATCTCTTCCAGAGCAGAAGGAGGAGAGTGAATGGGGAGGTGCTACACACTTGTAAACAACCAGATCTCATGAGACGTTACTCACTGTCAGAAGAACAGCAAGGGGGAAATCTGCCCCCATGACCTAATCACCTTCCACCAGGCCCCTCCTCCAACTTCGGAGATTACTATTCAACATGAAATTTGGGCAAGGACACAAATCCAAACCATATCATTCCACTTCTGGTTTCTCCCAATTCTCGTGTCCTTCTCACGTTGCAAAATACAATTATCCCTTCTTAACAGGCCCCCAAGGCTTAATATCATTTCAACATTAACTCAAAAGTCCACAGTTTAAAGTCTCACCTGAGACAAGTTCCTTCCACCTATGAGTCTATAAAATAAAAAACAAGTTAGTTACTTCTAAAATACGATGGGGGTACAGGCATTGGGTAAATTCATCCATTACAAAAGGAAGAAATTAGCCAAAACAAGGGGTTATTGACCCCATGCAAATTCAAAACCTAGCAGGGCAGTCATTAAATCTTAAAGCTCCAAAATAATCTCTTTTGATTCCACGTGTTACATCCAGGGCATACTGCTGCAAGGAGTGGGCTCCCGAGGACTTGGGCAGCTCTGCTCCTGAGGCTTTGCAGCTACAACTCCTGTGGCGGCTCTCACAGGCTGCTGTTGAGTGCCTGTAGCTTTTCCAGGTGCATGGTGCAAGCTGTCATTCAATCTACCAATTTGGAGTCTGGAAATTGGTGGCCCTCTTCTCACAGCTCCACTAGGCAGTGCCCCAGTGGGGATTCTGTGTGGAGACTCCAATGCCACATTTCCCCTCTGCACTGCCCTAGTAGCAGGTCCCTCTGCAACAGGCTTCTGCCTGGACCTCTAGGCTTTTCCATACATCTTCTGAAATCTTGGTGGAGGCTCCCACGCCTCAACTCTTGCACTCTGTGCACCTGCATACTTAACACCATGTGGAAGCCACCAAGGATTATGGCTTGCGTCCTCTAAAGCAGTGGCCTCAGCTGTACCTTGGGCCCTTTTAACCATGTTTGGAGCTAGAGCAGCCACAATGCAGGACACCACATCCTGAGGCTGCACAGAGTAGTGGGGAACCTGGGTCTGGTCCTCAAAGCCATTCTTCCCTCCTAGGCCCCCAGGCCTATAATGAGAGAGGCTGCCTCAAAGTTGTCTGAAATGCCTTCAAGTCATTTCCCCCATTATCTTGGCTAGCAACATTTGACTCCTCTTTATTTTTGAGAATTTCTACAGCTGGTTCAAATTCCTCCCCAGAAAGTGGGTTTTTGTTTCCAAGCTGCAAACTTTCCTAACTTTTACATTCTGCTTCTCTTTTAAATATAAGTTCCAGTTTTACATCATTTATTTGCTCACAAATATGACCACAGGCTGCTAGAGCAGCCAGGCCACATCTTGAACACTTTGCTGCTTAGAAATTTCTTCTGCCAGATACCCTAAATTATCACTCTCAAGTTCAAAGTTCCACAGATCCCTTGGGTAGTGATACAATGCCTCCAACCTCTTTGCTAATGCATAAGAAAAGTGCCCTTTGCTCCATTTCCCAATAAGTTCCTCATCTCCATCTGAGACCTCCTTAGCCTGGACTTCATTGACTATATCACTGTCAGCATTTTGGTCACTACAATTTTAACAAGTCTCTAGGACATTTCAAACTTTCCATCATCTTCATGTCTTCTTCTGAGCCCTCCACACCTTTGTAACCTCTGCCCATTACCCAGTTCCAAAGTCACTTCCACATTTTCAGGTATATTTATACAATACCCCACTCCTGATGCCAATGTACTATGGTAGTCCATTCTCATACTGCTATAAAGAACTACCTGAGACTGGGTAATTTATAAAGACAAGAGGTTTAATTGGCTCACAGTTCTGCAGGCTGTACCAGAAGCATGGTTGGGGAGGCCTCAGGAAATTTACAATCCTGGCAGATGCGGAAGCAGGCTCATCTTACATTCAGGAGGAAAAGAATGAAGGGGTAGCTGCCACACATTTTTGAACAACCAGATCTCATGAGAACTCACTCACTATCACAAGAAGAGCGAGGGGGAATTCTGCCCCCATGATCCATTCACCAGGCCTCTCCTTCAACATTGGGGATTACAATTAAACATGAGATTGGGCAGGAACACAAATGCAAACCATATCACTCGGTCTCCCAGGCTCAAGTGATCCTCCCACTCAGGCTCCTGAATAGCTAGTACTACAGGTGTGTGCCATGATGCCCAGCTGGTTTCTATTTTTTGTAGAGTCAGGGTCTCACTGTGTTGTTCTGATTGCCATAGCTATAGATTGGTTTGCCTGCCTTTTAACTTCACATAGATAGAATCATATCATGGCCAGTGCAGTCGCTCACACCTGTAATCCCAGCATTTTGCTAGGCCAAGGTGGACAGATCACGAAGTCAAGAGTTCAAGACCATCCTGGCCAACATGGTGAAACCCCATTTCTACTAAAAATGCAAAAATTAGCTGGGCATGGTGGTGGGCACCTGTAATTCCAGCTACTTGGGAGGCTGAGGCAGGAGAATCATTTGAACTTGGGAGGTGGAGGTTGCAGAGCCGAAATGGTGCCATTGCACTCCAGTCTGGATGACAGGGCAAGACTCCATCTCAAAAAACAAAATAATAATCATAAAAAAAGAATCATACTGTAAGCACTCTTCTGTTAAGATATCTGGCTTCTTTGGTTCAATATATTACATTGGAGGCTCACGAGGTTGCATGTATTCGAGGTTCTCTTTTTTGTTAATAGTGCATTGTACAAATATAGCACATTTTGTTTATTCTTCTGCTGATGGAATTTGGGTTGTTTACAACTTGGGGATATTCAGAATAAAGCCCTATGAATATTTAGGTGCAAGTCTTTTTGTACACATATGTTTTTATTTCTTACTACTTGTTTTATAATTACTTGTATGCACAAAATCATTTATTAAATGCTATTTATTAGCTTTTAATTTGTCTTACCTATAGACAAAACAAGTGAAATATAAGTGTAATTATAGAAGAGACTAAACAGTAGAGAAAAGAGCATGGTAGATAAGAGGAACAGCATGTGCAAAGGCCCTGAGGAGGAAACAGCTTGATGTATTGAAGAACCTGAGACCATGTGACTAGAGTACAGTGTTTGAAAAGAATAATGGCAGGAGATGAGGATGACTGGAGTCCAATTAAGAACAGCCTAGTAGGCCACATTAAGCATGCTACATTTTATCGTAAGTGAATCTGATGAATAGTTTTAGGAAGTAGAGTCATATAGTTCATTATTTTCTGTGGAGGGAATGCAAATATAAAAGGGGAACAGTGGTCACACCTGTAATCACAGCACTTTTTTGGAGGCCAAGGTGAGTGGATCACTTGAGATCAGTGGATCACTTGACCAACACTGTAAAACCCTGTCTCTACTAGAAATACAAAAATTAGCTAGGTGTGGTGGCAGATGCCTGTAATTCTAGCTACTGGGGAGGCTAAGGCAGGAGAATCACTTGAACCTGGGAGGCAGAGGTTGTAGTGAGCTGAGATTGCACCACTGCACTCCAGCCTGGGTGACAGAGTGAGACTTTATTCAAAAAAAAAGAAGAAGAAAAGAAAAGAAAAAAAGGGCAGGAGGGGAACCCAAGAAGCTACTGTACTAAATCTTCAGAGATATGGACATGCCATTAGGCTAGAGATGAAAAGACCTGGGCAGATGTGAAACAGATTTTGGAAGTAGAATTTGAACTTATGGCATCTACCTAAACAAATGAATTTCCATCTTAAAAAAAAAAAAGGACCACTTTAGGAGGTTGAGATGGGTGGATTGTCCGAGGTCAGGAGTTCAAGAAAACCTGGCTGAAATCTTTCGAGAAAACATGATGAAATCTCATCTCTACTAAAAATACAAAACTTAGCCAGGTGTGATGCCAGGTGCCTATAGTTCCAGCTACTCGAGAGACTGAGGCAGGAAAATTGCTTGAACCAGAGGTGGAGGTTGCAGTGAGCTGAGATCATGCCAGTGCACTCCAATGATCTTATTTTTAAAAAGAGGCAGGATGCAGTGGCTCACCCTGTAATTCCAGCACTTTGGACGGCCAAGGTGGGAGGATCGTGTGAAGCCAAGAGTTTGAGATAGCCTGGGCAACATAGCAAGACCCCCACCCTACACCCCGCCCCCAAATTTTTTAAATTAAAATAGAAAATCAGATCACATCTCTGTGGCTCCTGTGACCCTCCTTAGGGTGCCTTGCAAGGCCTTGTGAGATGCCATCCTCCTCTGTTGCCCTGACTTCTCTGGTGCACTTCCTCTCTCCTTATTCAGGTCCTCTACAAGGGATTTTCTGCAAACATCCTAGCTAGGGTAGCCCCCCCAGCCACAGTCACACCTCATCACCTTATCACACTACCCTGGTTTTTTCTTTTTCTTTCAGGTACCGTGAAACCAGGCACATTTATTTTAGGTCTTAATTCGTTATTGATAACGTTGGGTAAATCTCATTTATGCATTTGGGCTCTCCTTGCTGCAGCAATAACTTTCTCAAAACAGTAAATCCAAATTTCATTTTATTACTTGATTTTAACATTTTTTTAATCCTGGTTTTATCAGACCTATAACAAATGTCAAAATTAACTGGTTATTTTTCCATTTTACCTTTTCTGAATTCACCTCTTAAGTCAATGTAGGTATGAATAATTATACATGATGCTCAATCTTTTTCTTTAATGTTCTTTTTTAGCTGAAAACATCTTCGTGTTAGCATTTCTTATTTTTATGAGCATTTGCTACATAAAGACTTCATTAGAGTTGTGATAGTTAGCATTCACCTCTGTTCAACAATAAGTTCCTAAATGCCCCGGAGCTGTGACATCAGAGTGGAACAGATCTGGGGACCTGTTTCTGGATGGGAACTTAAGAAGTGGTACTCGCACAGAGCTTCTGTGAAGTGAGGTGCTGTTGTTGCCCTGCTGAAATGAAAGAATGGAGCCCAAGAAGTTTTAACTGCCATTCTTTTTTATTCTTTGCTTCTCTCTGCTTGAAACAGAAGTGGTCATTTTGGTATTGACTATAGAATACTAGGAGCAGATTTAGGCACCTGGTTAAGAATGTTGTATACTTAAAGCAGGGCATGAATGACAAAATCTTGAGAGCACTGTAGCATGGAGCTGAAGTGGAATAATATTGAAGGCAGAAAGTCTAGATAAAATTAAGTTGCCTTATGACCAGTGCTTGACACTGTTGACCCGAAGAAGAAATGAAAACATTTCTATTTTTATCTTATTCTGACATAGCTCTAGTTTTAAAACTCTACGGAATTATTTAGTTTTACTAGGAACACAAAAAATGTGGTTTTTCTTTCTTTCAAGATATGGCTAATTTATCATGAAACACTGTGGAATTGATTTAGGTAATGGATATACTAAATGAAACTTTGACTTTTGAGGATGGCATGAAGTTTAAGGAGTATACATGTGTAAAGGAGCATGAAGATTATACCGACAAAGCATTTGAAAAACTCCACTGCCCAGAAACAGGCACGTGTCTCTTGAAAGTTGTAACTGAGAAGGAACTGTTTTATTAGCAACCCGTCTTGAACTCTGTCCCCATGCATCTGCCTCGCCTCCACTGTTACTTGACCCTCTCTGCTCTCCCTGAGCAAGGCAGAAACACTTCCTATTCTCCTGCCACCTGTGCAGAGGCGACACTCCCTGAGATCCAGCCCTCCTCTCTTGCTCCACACCCACTCCCTCCTGCAGCTTCAGCTTCTCCCAGGAGCTCCAGAGTTACCAGTCTTTCTCATTATCCTCTGGGAAACTCCATGGACAAGTGTTGCCAGTGTCTGAAACTCAGCTGTGTAAAGTCAAGCTCTTCTGTGCTCTTCCTTTCCAATGACCCTTTATTTTGGTCAGTGTCACAGGTGTGACTGGCTGGGGCTAGCGTCATGGGCAGTAAAAGAATGTATCAAGACAATTGTAGGTAAAGAAAGGCAGATTTATTAAAGTATGAAGATACATTGCAAGAGTGCAACAGGCAGCACAGCAGAGAAGGGGCTGTCTGCCAAGAGGCAGGAGCTGGAGGGAAATTTTATAGGATCATACTAGGGGAGCTACATGCTGATAAGGTGTGTGGATAAGGTTGTGCTGCTGGGGCTACATGTGGAAGGAATGAGGTATTTGGGAACAGGATATGCCAGCAGCTTGTCTGTGATTAGCCATCTCTCAGAACAGTCGTTCCCTCATCCCCATGTGGGACCCCTCCCCTGTTGTTGTTTACTCATCTTATGAGAACTTCACTATCAGTGCTGTCCCCAGGGTGCACTCTCAGCATAGTGTCTACTCTGAGATGTCTCTGGAGTCTTCCTCTTCTTTCATTTCCTCTGCTACTAGTTTAAGGCTCTGTCAGTTGTGTGATGTGGGCTTCAGAGACAGATGGGAGTTTGAATCTCGGGTGTTGCTGCCACTTTCTGGTTATATGAACTTTCTTTTAAAAGTTATTCCAACACTCAGAATCTCAGTTTTATCTTAGGAACAGGGATAATAGTAGGAGGAACAACCACACAGGGTAATTGTGAGGACTGAAGTGAGCTTTGATGTACAAATGACCTGGCACATACTAGGTGCCTAACATAAATGCTGTCTTTTCATTTTCGCTTTGCCTTCCCCTCACTGTATTGCCTTATTCTCTTATGTGACCTCCTTTTCTCTAGTATTTCCCATTCATTCTCTAAATGAAGGATCATGCTGGCTCCAGAGCAAAGGATGGCCTGAAGGGTGAGACTGAAGGCAGGAGAAGAGTCCAAGTGCATGAGCCAGAGTGGTGCAGGGAGAATAGGTATTGAATGTGGGGCCTGAAGAAGTCAAGGGGCTCCAGGATATTCCCAGCTTTCTAATTCAGATGCATAAAGCTTTCGCCAACCAAATATATATCACATGGAGGGTAATGGGGTCAGGAGAGACAAGGTAGTGATCTAAATTTGGAACATGTTGAGATTTAGGTCTCTATGGCATCAGTTGCAGATGCTGTGTAAGACTGAAAGCCTGGGGCATATCAGGGATAAAGATATAGCTTGGCGGCCCTTAGCATATCCACGTTTTTTAACCTTGGTGATGTCAAAATACCTAGGCAGAGGGACTGGAGTGAAAGACAAAACTCTACCACTATATAGACAAATTTTGGAGACTCAGGAAAGAGTAAAGCCAAAGGAGGAGAGACAGGTCATGGAGGAGGCACAGGAATTGGCAGCATCAACTGGAAGAGAAAGGCCAGGTGAAGTGGGTGGGATTTGGCCCTTCAGGAACCCTCGGGAAAGCAGTCAACTGTGAAAGGGGTAAATTCAACTGTTGTCTTTGTGTCAGCTGGGAAGAAGAGACCGAGTTGGCTGTTTTTTAGATGAAAGGGGGAAGAAAAACCCTTCGTTAGTAGTATACTGAAAATTGTCTCTCATTTTAATCTGGATTCCTGTAATTATTATTCAGGCTGAAGAATTTTTCCATATATTTGTTGACCATTCATATTTTTTCTTTTTTATTTTTTTGAGCTGGATTCTCCCTCTGTCACCCAGGCTGTAGTGCAGTGGTGCGATCTGGGCTCACTGCAACCTTCATTTCCTGAGTTCAGGCGAAACTTCTGCCTCAGCCTCCCCAAGTAGCAGGGACTACAGGTGCACACCACCACGCCTAGCTAATTTTTTTTTTTTTTTTGTATTTTTTGTAGAGACAGAGTTTCACCATGTTGGCCAGGCTGGTCTCGAACTCTTGACCTCAGGTGATCCACCGCCTTGGCCTCCCAAAGTGCTGGGATTAGAGGTGTGAGCCACTGTGCCTGGCCAACTATTTATATTTCTCCTATGAATTATGTACTCATGCCCTTCCTCCTTTTCTCTACTGAAAGCGACATGTTTGTTTTTTATAAGACTGATTTAAATCAAATCTTTTCCTGTAATATGTATTGCAAGTGTTTTTCCCAGTTGGTTGTCAGATCTCATTTATAGTAATAACAGCAAATATGTATGAATGTGTGTGTGTATATTCATTCATTTAGGAACAAACTTTACAAGAATTATGCCGTGTGTAGAAAGAAAACTATAAATCCTTACTGAGGTATTTCAAGGCCACTTGAATAAATGGAGAGAAATAATAGTGGTATATATTGGATGTATGTTTTTCAAATAAATATTGCACTATCATTGACTGAAGTATCACCTGAGACAGGCTCTTTGTCTTGTGACCAAAAGAATAAGGAACATGGACACCAAAGGTGAGTTTGGAGTGAAAGTTTAATAAACAAAAGAGGAAAGCTCTTCACTGCAGAGAGGGGACCCAAGAGGGTTGCCATTTTACAGCTGAGTAAAAAGGCTTTTATGAAAAACGTAATGGGGCTGGGTGTTTCACTTGTACAAGGCAAGATTTCTGGCAGCTCCACCCCATCCTCCTACTGTGCTTAATGACTGGGGGTTGTCTTTGGAAAAGGCACCACTCAGAAAATGACATGATGGTTGGCTGGGCGTGGTGGCTCATGCCTGTAATCCCAGCACTTTGGGAGGTCAAGATGGGCAGATCTTGTGAGGCCAGGAGTTCAAGACCAGTCTGGCCAACATGGCAAAATCCTGTCACTACTAAAAATACAAAAATTTAGCTGGGTGTTGTGGTGCATGCCTGTAATCTCAGCTACTTGGGAGGCTGAGGCACAAGAGTCACTTGGACCTGGAATGTGAAGGTTGCCGTGAGCCAAGATTGTACCACCATACTCCAGCCACACTCCAGCTGGTGTGACAGAGCAAGACTCTGTCTCAAAAAAGAAAACAAAAAGAGAAAGAAAATAACATGATAGTGTACAGGACCAGTTGGAGACTTGGCTCACATACTGGCTGAGTTTCAGAGTGATGGTTGGTAGAGGCTTGGCTCACAGTCCAAAGTACGGTTCATAGAGACTTGGCTCACAGTCCAAAGTATGCCCCAAAAAGAAAGGAACGTGCTCACTGGAGCCCACCATGAACACGCCCACAAAAGGAGAAGGAACTGTTTCCTGGAGGTTCACTGGTTGCACCAAGGACAAAGGCATTTCTGTGTTGAGGCTTGCTCTCTTATCTGTGCAGCTGTGGGCATGTTTTAGGTGAGTTTCCTATGCTAGTTCCTTTATCTGTGTCTGCAGCTTGATTTTTCAGACTGTTCTTTTGCTTAAAAGAATTCTACCAAGGACCTGCCCTAACTGCCTGCCTAACTTGTTCTTTCTTTCTCCACCCTCAAAATGTGGATTTATGGCCATTTCAATCAAAACCACAATAGGATTTCTTTTTATGGTATAGGGAGATCTCAGCAGGTTGGAGAATTCTAGAGCTTCTTAAGTAGCCAAAAATTTTCAAAAAGTACAGTGAAGTGGAATTTACCTTTCCAAATGTTAAAGTATATTACAGAAATTATAGTCATTTAAACAAATAGTAGCACTGAAATAGCTAAAACAGTGAGAAGAGAAAGTTAGAAACAAATCCTAGTATGTATCATAATTCTGTACAAATGAAAAGTAAAAACACAAGTCAGTGTGAAAAGAAAGGATTATTCAAATAAATGCTGCTGGCCAACTGGTTAACAGTTTGGGGAAGATTGTGAAATCAGACCCTAAATAATATGATACAACAAAATAAATTTTAAAAAATCAGAGTTTACATGTAAAAAAGTTATACATTAGAAAATGGAATAAAAGAATATAGGTAATTCTTTGAACAGGGAAGAGCTAGCTGTTCAAAGAACATAAAAAAAATCACAGAATAGGCCGGGCGCGGTGGCTCAAGCCTGTAATCCCAGCACTTTGGGAGGCCGAGGCGGGTGGATCACGAGGTCAACAGATCGAGACCATCCTGGTCAACATGGTGAAACCCCGTCTCTACTAAAAATACAAAAAATTAGCTGGGCATGGTGGCACATGCCTGTAATCCCGGCTACTCAGGAGGCTGAAGCAGGAGAATTGCCTGAACCCAGGAGGCGGAGGTTGCGTGAGCCGAGATCGCGCCATTGCACTCCAGCCTGGGTAACAAGAGCGAAACTCCGTCTCAAAAAAAAAAAAAAAAAAAAAAAAATCACAGAATAAATTAGTAATAATTCAAGTTTAAAAACAAAAAGCTTTAGTAAAGCAAATAATACAAACCCCTAGAATTATCATTTTCAATAATTTAGTTTAAATAATCATAAATGTCCACAAAAATATAGCTACAAATGAGGTCATTATATAATGGTGTTATTAATAATAGTGAAAAATCACCAGCAATGTAAAAATCTGGCAGGAAAGGATTAGTTACATTGTATTACATTCATGAAGCAGAATACTATATTTGCTTTAAAATAGCTGTATAGAAGAATATTCAATAACCTGGATATGATCTGTAGCTGATTGAAAAAAGCAAGCTCTGAGAGGATATGTATTATGTGGTCCAATTTTTTGTTTCAAAACAAAGCAAAAACTGTATGCAGAAGGGTAAAATTGAAATTTTAATAGTCTCTGGACTGTGAGATTATGGGTGATTTTTTCTTCTTCTTCTTAGCTGATTTTCAGATTTTCTTTTTCTTTTTTTTGAGACAGAGTCTTGCTCTGTCACCCAGACTGGAGTGCAGTGGCGTGATCTCTGCTCACTGCAACCTTCATCTCCCAGTTTCAAGGGATTCTCCTGCCTCAGCCTCCCGAGTAACTGGGATTACAGGTGCCCACCACCATGCCCAACTAATTTTTTATATTTTTAGACACAGTTTCACCATGTTGGGCAGGCTGGTCTCAAACTCCTGACCTCAGGTGATCCACCTGCCTCTGTGTCCCAAAGTGCTGGGATTACAGGTGTGAGCCACCACACCTGGCAATTTTCAGATATTTTTATGGTGTAAATAGTAATAAGGAAAAAGTCAGAACAAGTTTTTTTTTTTTTAATTAAGAAAATGAAACATTGCATTTCTGTGGAAAAGTTCTCATAGATGCCTGAAGGAATTTGTTTATTTGTGTCACTGATATTTCCTTAGCATTTAGCTATATTGGCTAGTCAATCAAACACTAAGAATAAAAGTAAAGCAGTTTTGACACCTGTTTGCCATTTCAGTCTTATATATCTATGTTAGAACAAGGGTGGTCATTTTTCTGGTTTTGAATATACCTGCTAATAAACTACCTCTGAGTTCCTAAGAACTGTTTGGAGCAATTAGTTCCACTTTGCTTTTGAATTAACAAGTTATTTCCTTACACCCAGGGTTTTCCACGCATACTGCAGCTGCTGCTGGAAACAGGAGGCAGTGGGAAGGAGGAGCACCTCAGACTCTGCTGCAGATGATGGTAGTGGCTTACATCACCTCCACCTGCCCCACGGGGCCTGACGGTGTGTCTGTGCTTAGTGTCAGTCATCAGGAAGGGAAGACCAAGGCCCCGTAGAGCCTGGTGCTCATCCTGATGTGATAGTCTACTTCTCAGTACAGCCCCCTATAGATCTTGTATTAGACACTTTCAAAGATCTTGTTTTGATATCTTCATAGAGACTTGCCTGCTAATTATCCTGGACAAATGGCCACTCTAGACATACACATATAAAGGAGGAAAAATCTAGGATGTCACCTTCCTCAGAGTGAGGAAGAGTGCACGAGGAAGGCAGCTGACTTGATTTGCCTTCCAAGGCCAGCTCAACTGTCTTGCAATTTCATAGGCTTATTTTTGTTTTCACCAGTAAAATTAGAATTAAAAGAGTAGCTATTCCTATAAGATTTAGAGAGTTAGTAGTTCAAAGATACATATAAATTGCTTTGAAGCCAATGTGCTATTGAAATGTTAAGAATATTTAGGATATGATGATGTTTTCTACCTAAATTCCTTCATTTACATTTGAATCTCTGACATAGCCTTTCCTTAGAAGAGGTTCATAGCAGCCTCCAGTCTCTGAGCGTTATCTTCACAGGTGGTGAAGATTTGAATTACTTATTTTCTATGTTCTTGATAACACTGGGCTGAGAGGGAGCTAAAATTCATATGTGTGCTGTAAGTTGAATTATGTAAGTGTATCACTGAAATAAGCTATTGTGTGTAAACTGAATTATACATTAATAAGATAATTGAGGGGAAGCGCAATTAAAATAGGCAAATAGAATAGAAATTTTATCACACCAAAAAAGCCAGTTTACAAAACTATGACTCTTCCCCTCATCAGCTATGTGACCAGAAGTCGCTAAATTTTTCTATATTTCTGCTTCTTTGTTAATAAAATTAGAGGTGGGGTTAGGTTACCTCCTAACATTCTGTGATCTTATACAAATGCTAATGAGAAGCATTTTTATTTTTAATAACATGAAAAACATCTCTTCAGATGGCCAAGATATTGGGATTGAAGGCATTCCAGAAAATAGGAAACAGTGGCTGCATGAAGCTCCAGGAACCTTAATGAGTATTTTGGCAGCAGCACATCTAACGAGTTTCCCATTTTCTGCTGATGAAGGAGAATTTGGTATGTAGATTATTTTTAACAACATAACCAGTCCCCAGAGGAATTTTGTCAAAGATTTGCAAATTCTGAAAGGGGTTAAAAATGCCTTCAGCTGGGAGAGAGAACTGGGAGGGTGTCTAGCCTTTTCAGAAGCCAATTTGCTTGGTCCAATCCTGTTCCAAATGCAACTAACAAAAGACACGAGCTTCCCGGGCAAGTGGTGTAATTTTCTTTAATGCAATCAGCTGACAATTGGTGAAAAGTTTAATTAGGGCTAGGGGCTTTGTAGCTGATTATCTAGTATTGTTTTGCTCTACCCGAGAGAGTCAGTTTATTTCTGACAGCTATTCACTGGACTCAGATTACTATCCCACAGGCAATAAAAATACACCATAATATCATTTTTTTCCCTCCAATTTTTAGCAAGATTCTTCTTTTGTTTACTTTAAGGCAGGCATCCCCAACCCTCCGGCTGCAGACCTGTAAAGCCTGTGGCCTGTTAGGAACCAAGCCACACAGCAGGAGGTGAGTGGCGGCCAGGTGAGCCTTACTGCCTGAGCTCCGCCTCCTGTCAGAGCAGCAGCTGCATTCAGTTCTGCATTCAGTTCTCATAGGAGCGCAAACCCTATTATGAACTGTGCGTGTGAGAGACCTACCATGCACACTCCTTATGAGAATCTAATGGCTGATGATCTGAGGTGGAACAGTTTCATCCTGAAACCACCCTCCTTCCCTGCCCCTGTGGAAAAATTGTCTTCCATGAAACTGGCCCCTGGAGCCAAAAAGGCTGGGGACCGCTGCTTTAAGGGGAAGCCAACCATCATTTTCTAAAATTTGAGGGGCCTGGATATAATAGCTCACACCTATAATCCCAGGACTTTGGGAGGCCAAAGGAGGAGGATCTCTTGAGGTCAGGAGTTTGAGGATGCTCTGAGCTATGATCACTGCTCTCCAGCCTGGGTGACAGAGCAAGAACTTGTCTCTAAAAATAAAAATAAAAAATAAAGCCAGGCACAGTGCCTCATGCCTGTCATCCCAGCAGTTTGGGAGGCTGAGGCGGGTGTATCACATGAGGTCAGAAGTTTGAGACCAGCTGGCCAACATGGGGAAACCCCATCTCTGCTAAAAACACAAAAATTAGCTGGGCATGGTAGCACACACCTGTAATCCCAGTTACTCAGGAGGCTGAGGCAGGAGAATTACTTGAACCTGGGAAGTGGAGGTTGCAGTGAGCCGAGACCACACCATTGCACTCCAGCCTGGATGACAGAGCAAAACTCCATCTCAAAATAATAACAATAAAAAAAGATTGAGGGAAATCACATGATAATTCAGTCTCATATAACATACTGAAGTGTGAAGTGGTACAAGAAAAGCTACTGCAGGCAAGCAGGGATTCCAGGAGTATCTGCACGAGTGTGAGGTCTGGGACCTGGTATTGTGGAGAAGTGAGGGTGAGCAACAAGTAGAAAAACTAAGGTACTAGATATTCTTGGAGGCTGATAAATGTTTACAAAGTTAAATACCACTACAAAAACATAGTAATTTTTAATTGTCAGTTGAGTCCCAATAATTAATGAATACACATTTTATAATATTTTGAAAGAGGCTTTCTAGTGGAATTTTTTTTTTAATGTGGAACAGGACATTTTACTAATACATCTAAATATCTTTGTTTCTCTGAAGTACGAAGCCAAAAGTTTAAGATTATAAACTCATAATTTGTCATTAATGTCTTAGCATTATTTGGAGATGATCTAGTTAATGAATACCTGCCATTTAATTTAGCTTAGCAAAACTTGAAAAGTTACCAAAAGGATTTGAAAAACCATTTCAAAGTAAACACCATATAAAACCTAATTATTATTAAAATTTTTATCTGGCCAGGCTCATGGCTGTAATCCCAGCCCTTTGGGAGGCTGAGGCAGGAGGATCACTTGAGCACAGGAGTTCGAGGCTGCTGTGAGCCATGATCATGCCACTGCACTCCAGTCAGTGTGACCGAACGACACTCCACCTGTAAACAAACCTCTTATTTCATTACATTTATTTATTCATTCTTAACAACTATGTTAGGACATTTTCAGGAAACATTGGCAAATCTAACCATCTTCTTCTTTCTTTATTAAATCATTTCTACAGTTTTGTGAATGTTAGGCAGTCATTACCTAAGCAAAAGCCCTAAAGTTAATACATGGATGTTTTGCTGATCAAATGACCTAGCTGCTTTCATTAACCAAAAAACCAGTCTTATTTACCAAAAATTTACCCAAGTTACCTGAATTAAAAGGCATTTGAGTTCATTTCTACTTTCATTGATAAAATATTTCATTTAAGTACTTACTTTTTCTTTAAGCCAATTAACTATACCTCTTTCATATATTTCACTACCAAGTGAAGTGTCAACCAAATACAGGTTTGGCCACCCTCCGCTTGCAAAATTGAATAACGAGAACAAGGTGCAGTAGAAAGAAAGTGACTTTATTTTCCAGTGCTAGCAGTGGGGAGATGGTTCAGGCTCCTGCCTTAATAAAACCACTTCAAAATTCTCAGGCAAAATGCTAGGGCTTAAGAAGGGGAAGTTTGGTATGGAGGGCATGTGGGATGAGGTGGTGCAAGTCTATGTGATTTGTTCCAATGACTTATCTTGTTTGTTTTTTGAGATGGAGCCTTGCTCTGTTGCCCAGGCTGGAGTGCAGTGGCACAGTCTCAGCTCACTGCAGCCTCCACCTCCTGGATTCAAACGATTCTTCTGCCTCAGCCTCCTGAGTAGTTGGGACTACAGGCATGCACCACCACACTCAGCTAATTTTTGTATTTTTAATGAAGACGGGGGTCTTACCATATTGGCCAAGCTTGTCTCGAACTCCGGACCTTGTGATCTGCCTGCCTTGGCCTTGCAAAGTGTTGGGATTACAGGCATGAGCCACTGCGCCCGGCCAGGATGACTTATTTTGAGTTCTTGCCCCATCTGGTGATTGGGCTGGTGCCATCTCCTGCTTGTTTGGGTTGTAAATTAGCTGCAGCCTTGAAGTAATCTGGTGGGGGATAATTTGATAGGCACCTGGATTATCTCAAGATTCAGTCTCTGGAACTTCTAAGCAAACATAATGAGATAAGCTAGCAATGCAAGGGAATGCCTGGTGGAAAGAAAGTCAAGAGTATTATTTCATTACTAAAAAGTTAATACAGAGGGCTACCAGAAGAAAAAAAAAGTTAAAATAGAGCACTCAGTTACAAAATCAGACACACATGATACATATACAGACACACAGAAGAAGGTTTTATAGCTTCATAAGGCTTTCATTTGCCAGTTTTCAAATAATATTTCCTCCAACTTTATTTTTTTTGAGACTGAGTCTCACTTTGTCATCAAGGTTGGAGTCTCAGCTCACTGCAACCTCTACCTCCTGGGTTCAAGTGATTTTCCTGCCTCAGCCTCTGGAGCAGCTGGGATTACAGAAGTGTGCCACTATGTTCAGCTATTTATTGTATTTTTAGTAGAGACAGGGTTTCACCATGTTGGCCAGGCTGGTCTCCAACTCCTGACCTCAAGCAATCCACCTGCCTCAGCCTCCCAAAGTGCTGGGATTACAAGCCTCTAACTTTAGACTATTAGTCTCTTGATTACCTGTTCCATTGCCCTAAACAATAGTTAGCAAGCCAACCCTAAATTTGCATTTCTGAAAGGATGACTCTTAAAGGCACAAAACTTAGATTTAAACACCATTATTTGCTGAAAAAAAAGGCACAGTCAAAGTTTAGTTAAGAGAAGATTGCCAGGAAAGGTGTCTGAAACAAAGGTAAAGTTTGTTATGTGAACTTTAAATTAATGTCTTTCCCATCTTAAAATTTTCTGGTGGTTTGGGTGTAGGGGGAGGCCTTACAAATGGAGATTTCCTTTATATATGTAAAATTTTTTATGAAGAGTTTTAAAACAAGGTCTAATATTTAATATGTGAAAAGCGGACAAAACTGGAAGGCAGTGTATCTAAATCTTTCAAAATCAAGGATCTCACTTCTATATTGAGTCCTGGGTCCCCCCTCCCAAAAGAAGGGAAACAGCATGGGACTATGCTCCTTGCTACACACACATTCCCCCGAGGCTAGTGGGTAACCTGCCAGTCAAGCTAGCCTGTGAGCAGCCCATCCCCAACAGGAGTCTTATACCTTGATGGTGAGTGTTCCCATAACCTCCAAGTGTTCAAACCTGTCTTTTAATCTAAACCCACAAAGAAGTAAGTAGCCCCATCTAGTAACAACAATTCACTGTGTTTACCTAAAATATCTGAGACAGGTGTTAAATATAGTGAACTCAAGGTTTCCCTTCAAAGAATCAGTATGGGGGTATGTTCAGCTCTCTTATTCTTTAATTCTCCATTTTAAAGTTAAACTTCCTTATAGTTTCATTAAACAACCTTTTCCACCAGTTCTAATCAGTAGTTCACAACTGTTTCCTTGGGCCCCTGCTCTGGTCACCTGCTCAGGTCACCTGCTTTTGACCCCTGGTTACCTGCTCTGACCTGTCCTGTAACTGTCCTTCCCACCAAACTACCCACCCTGCCACTCTGGTTCATACCCGTGCTCTCTTTAAAATAGCCAGTCGGAATTAGATTTCACTATGCAGTCTAACCCTAGCCAGTAAGGAACAACACAGCAGTAGGGGTGACCTCTGTCAGGAATAAGAACCCCTTCCCCTCCCTTGTTCAAGTGTGCACTTGCTATTGTTCCATCTGTGAGCTGTACCCTTCTATAGAAGTAAATTGCCTTGCTGAGGAAACTTATATTTGAGTGCTACTTCTTTTGTGGCACTGAAAATGTACAGATAACACAGGTGTCAATCAATTTAGAAAGTTTATTTTGCCAAGGTTACAGATGCATCTGTGACACAGCCTCAGGAGGTTCTGCTGACATGTGCCCAAGGTGGTCAGGGTACAGTTTGCTTTTATACATTTGAGGGAGACATGAGACATCAATCACTATGTATAAATTGTACATTGGTTCGGTCCAGAAAGGAGGGACAACTTGAAACAGGGATGGGTGGGGGGTGGGGGCTTCCAGGTGACTGGTAGACAAGAGACAAAAGGTTAAATTCTTTTGAGTCCTTGATCAACCTTTCACTGAATACACAATTTAGTCTGGCTCAGTGAAGCTGCATTTTTACATAAACAATAGGGCAGAGGAAGCAATCAGATATGCATTTGTCTCAGGTGAGCAGAGGGATGACTTTCTGTCCTGCACCTGTGAAAATCAGCTATCAGTTTACATTGCCAGAGTGAAATTCAACAGAACTGTTTTAGGGTAAAGATCTTGAGGCCTACAAGGAACTTCCTTGTGGGCAAATTGTGAGGGAGGTATACAGCTTTTTAATATTTGTAGCCATCTTACTGAGGAATAAATGGGAGGCAGGTTTGCCTGATATAGTTTTCAACTTGAATTTTTTCTTGCCTTAGTAATAAATTGGTCTGGAGACTTATTTTCCTTTCACAACTGCAACAAGCTGTCAGCCACTTCCAAAACTACAGCTTTTCTCGGTGACTTCTCAGCCATTGCACACACAAAAATCAATTTTCTCTCACAGTACAATGTAATCCCTGGTACTCCAAAGTCAACATGATCAAGTAACTTACTGCAAAAGACAGTAGAGCTTTAGATCTGAGAGGAACCTGCCCATGACGCTGTACTCCACAAGGAAAACAGAACAACCTAAGGAGGGATGAGTGGCACCTTCTCTGCATTCCTCAAAGGGTCTTAGAGTCATTAGAAGTCTCCAGATATTTTCATGTGTTATTGAAAATTGCAAAAGGAAGGAGGAGCAGAAGTGGAAGGAAATAGAAGAACAAGTCACAGAGGAGTTAATTTGGGAAGGTTTTTAAGATACCTAAGAGGCCAATGAGAAGTTTTACACTTTTCTCAGCAAAAGTCATGCCAAAAAGATAGGAAGCAAGCGAAAAAAAAATTTCTGGAAACAGCATCCAAAAGAAGAAAACAATTTTGTATGGCCTAAATATTAAAGTTTTAATTAACCTGACTTCTGATCATAGAGTTCTAAACAACGATCACACAACAACAAACCAAACAAACAAAAACCACCTTCCAAATCTCTTACCGGATTTCAACCAGGACAGAAATAAAGTAGGTCTCCCATTTAGTTTGTCTGGTTCTGAAATTAGCTTTTTTTTTTTTCTTTTTCTTTTTCTCTCAATTGTGCACACAAAATGAATTATTTTAGACATCTGAAAGGATCTCATTTTGGCTACTGCTGCTTTTGACCATCCTGAGTTAGGTGGCCTCTGATTCCTAGATATTTATGAGAGGACACCCCATAAATGTTATATATAAGTTCACCTGGTATTTTACTAACCGGAATTGGTCACAGATGAAAAACCAACACATAATCTCAAACAGTAGAAAACAGTTGCAATCTTAAAAGCACACTATGTAAATAAGAGTACCAGTGCCACACTGTCAATTCCTTGATTCAAACTTTCTCTGTGGAGGCAGGAATGAAAAAACCTTGACCCCAACCTTCTGCTGTTAAACAGAGGAAGAAAAAAGGCAATTTTCTGCAGAGCTCTTTACTCGAATCTCCTGTCCAAAGACAGAGACTGAAGCCCTCCCTAAGAGAGAATTTGAAAATATCCCAAATAAAGTCTAGAATTTCAACCAGAGTGGAAGGGCTGAATTCAGGAGAACTTACCTGAAGCATCTGATAGGACTTTTTATTTTTTATTTAAAAAAAAAATTGTGGGGCCGGGCACAGTGGCTCACGTCTGTAATCCCAGCACTTTGGGAGGCTGAGATGGGTGGATCACAAGGTCAGGAGTTCAAGACAAGCCTGGCCAATATAGTGAAACCCCATCTCTACTAAAAATACAAAAAATAAGCTGGATGTGGTGGCATGCACATGTAGTTCCAGCTACTCAGGAGGCTGAGGCAGGAGAATCACTTGAACCTGGGAGGTGGAGGTTGCAGTGAGAGATTGTGCCACTGCATTCCAGCCTGCCTAGGCAACAGAGCAAGACTCCATCTCAAAAAAAAAAAAAAAAAAAAAAGCATGCTGAGATAAAGTCTATAAACATTCTAACAATAATTTATATTTAGGGAATATAAATTCTAAAGGCTAAGGAAACATGCTATTTCACTGGGAACATTTTTTTGTGATGATATATGAAATAAAATCATATCTTATAATTGTAGAATCTTAGAGTAGTTGAGGGGATGCTGCATTGCTATAAAAAAATGAAAATTGATCAGCCTGACTAACATGGTGAAACCCCATCTTTACTAAAAATACAAAAATTAGCCAGGCGTGGTGGTGCATGCCTGTAATCCCAGCTACTCAGGAGGCTGAGGCAGGATAATCACTTGAACCTGGGAGGGGGAGGTTGCAGTGAGCTGAGATTACGCCACTGCACTCCAGCCTGGGAAACAGAGTGAGACTCTGTCTCAAAAATAAATAAATAATAAAAAATATATTGTTCTACCTTCAGTCTAATTCTTTTCCTAAGAGAAAAAGCACATTTTAAGCAACAAAAATAACTTCAAAAAAAAAAAAAAAGATGAAGGGGTGTGTGTGTGCTTTGGGTTTTCCCTGCAGGCATTCACGATGAAGCCTCACCATGGTGGGATACTCAGGGCATAGAAACAGTGGAGAATAAGAGTGGTCCAACTGTGGTTAATCTTGTTTTTACACAACGATCTTCTTAATTTTTCTATACAATCAAAGCCTCTGTCCCAAAAGTCGAGGGATTTTGTCTCTTCCTCTCTGATCCTTATTCCTGTCACTTTTTCTTGTCTGGTTGTGTTATCGTCCCTTTCTTATTCTGTTTTGATCGATATGGCTAAGAGGTTTACCATTATATTGATGTTCACCATATGATTTTTGGTATATGCTCCTCATTAGGTATACAGGCTGGGATGCATTAATATCTTTCTCTGTCATTTCTTTAGCAATGGGAACATTAAAACAATGGCTACCGAAAGAAGATGAAGGAAAGGTAGAAATGGTCTCTGTCATTGAAGTAGATGAGGAACAGCTAGAACCAAGATTTGATGATGATGATACGTAAGTAGATCATTCGCTGATACCTAAGTCAAGCACTGGTACCAGGTGAAAATGCTGCTGCTGAGACATTGGAAATAACCATCTGAGACCTAGCTACAAAAAAAAAGTTTGACAATGCATGGGTTTGGTTCTGGGCTCTCCATTCTTCTCCAGTGGCATCATTTTCTACATTTGCCTCAGTGATATTCTGTCTTAATTTCCATGGCTTTATCGTGCCTCCTGATATCTGATAGGGTGAGTTCTCACACCTTGTTCTAGTCTTTACAGCTTTTTCTTCAAAATTATCTTAACTACTGTTTCCCATTACTCATCATACACTATATACATCAAGCTTGTTCAAGCCACAGCCCAGGACGGCTTTGAATGCAGTCCAATACAAATTTATAAACTTTCTTAAAACATTATGAGATTTTTGAATTTTTTTTTTCTTTTTAGCTCATCGGCTGTCATTAGTGTTAGTGTATTTATGTGTGACCCAAGACAATTCTTGTTTTTCCAGTGTGGCCCAGGGAAGCCAAAACATTGAACCCCTGCTGTACATCTTGGCATTCCCTTACAAAGTATGAGCAACTTCGTTGGGATTTTGGTGGGAATGACATTATATTTGTTGATTAAATTATGGGAATTGGCATATTTGAGATTATTAATCTTTTAAAAATTATTATTATTATTTGAGACAGAGTCTCACTCTGTTGCCCAGGCTTGAGTGTGGTAGTGCAATCACAGCTCATTGTAGCCTTGAACTCCTGGGCTCACTGATCCTCCCACCTCAGCCTCCCAAGTAGGTGGGACCACAGGCACATGCCACCATGCCTGGCTAATCTTTTTTATTTTTTGTAGGTAAGAGGTCTTGTTATGTTGCCAGGCTGGTCTTGAATTCCTGACTTCAAGCTGTCCTCCCATGCTGGCCACCCAAAGTGCTGGGATTACAGGTGTGAACCACTGCACTTGGCCAAAAAGAAAAGTTTAATTGGCAAATAAAAATTGTATTAATAAGCTGGGCGTGGTGGCTCATGCCTGTAATCCCAGCACTTTGGGAGGCAGAGGCAGGTAGATCATGAGCTCAGGAGATCAAGACCATCCTGGCCAACATGCTGAAACCTGTCTCTACTAAAAATACAAAAAATATTAGCTGGGCATGGTGGTACGTGCCTGTAGTCCCAGCTACTCAGGAGACTGAGGCAGGAGAATCTCTTGAACCTGAGAGGTGGAGGTTGCAGTGAGCTGCAACTGCCCCCCAGCCTGGCAACAGGGTGAGACTCTGTCTTAAAAAAAATTGTATTAATATATATGAATGGCATACAATATGTTTTGAAATATGTAAACATTATGGAATAGCTAAATCAAGCTAATAAATATATGCATTACCTCACATGCTTATTTATTTGTGGTGAGAGCACTTAAAATCTACTCTCTTAGCAATTTTCAATTATACAATAAATTGTTATTAACTGTAGTCACCATGCTGTACCATAGATCTTCTGAAATTATTCTGCGTGTCAAAGTGAAATTTTGTACCTTTTGACCATCATCTCCTGGCTTTTCCTTCCACCTTCTCCCACCCCCAGCCCCTAGAAACTAGCATTCTACTCTCTGCATCTGTGAGTTCGATTGTTTTTGGTTCCACATATTAGTGAGCTCATAAGGAATTTGTCTTTCTGTGTCTGGCTTATTTCACTTGGCAGAATGCCCTCCAGGTTCATCCATGTTGTCACAAATGCCAGACTTTCCTTCTTTTTAAAGGTTGAATAGTATTCCATTCTGTGTGTCTACCATATTTTCTTTATGCATTCATGTATTGATGTGACTATAAATCTTAACATCCATAAATATAGTATAGCTCTCTATTTATGTCTCTCTTTTCTTTGTATTTTTCAATATTTTTACAATTTTCTTTATGGCATAGTACCACTTAATTTTGTTGTTGTTGCTATTATAAATGGAATTTTTTTGTATTTTAATTTTATTTATTTTTTATAGAGATGGGGTCTGTGTTGCCCAAGCTGGTCTTAAATTCCTGGGCTCAAGAGATCCTCCTGTCTCGGCCTCCCAAAATGCTGGGATTATAGGTGTGAGCCGCTATGCCTGCCTAATTTTATATTTTAATTGAAAAATGATAATTTTACATATTCATAGAGTACATAGTGATGTTTCAATACATACAATGTATAGCAGTCAGTTCAGCATAATTAGCATATCCATCATCTTGAACATTTATTGTTTCTTTGTGTTGGGAACACTTAATATTCTCCTTCTAGCTGTTTAAAACTATATACCAGGTATTAATTAAACTGTAGTCATCCTACAGTGGTATAGAACGCTAGAGTTTATTCCTCTTATCTAGCTGTAGTTTTCTGTCCTTTAACAAATCTCTTCCTTTTTTTCCTCTTGTGTTTTCAAATTGGCAACTGCTAATGTATAGAACACTACTGATGTATCCTGTAACTTTACTAAACTCTCTTATTAGTTCTAAATTTTGGAGTCCTTTGAATTTTTAAAATTTTATTATAATTTACTTAAGAACATTTGTTTTGAGACAGGGTCTTTCTCTGTTGCCCAGGCTGGAGTGTGGCAGCATGATCATATTCACTGCAGCCTTGAACTCATGGGCTCAAGTGATCCTCTTGCCTCAGCCTCTGAAATAGCTGGGACTGCAGGTGGCCAGTGATTTTTTTTTGTTTTTTTTTGTAGAGTCAGGGTCTTGCTATTTTGCCCAGGCTGGTCTTGAACTCCTGGCCTCAAGTGATCCTCCCACCTGGGGCTCCTATAAAGTAAATTATGAGCCAAATGCTGGGATTACAGCAGGAGCCACTGTGCTTGGCCCCTAATTTACTTTTAAAATAAGTTCCAGGGCCAGGTGCAATGGCTTACTCCTGTAATCCCAGCACTTGGGAGGCTGAGGAATGCATAATTAGCTGGGCGTGGCAGTGCATACCTGTAATCCCAGCTACTCAGGAGGCTGAGGCAGGAGTATCACTTGAACTCGGGAGGCAGACGTTGCGGTGAGCCAACATAGTGCCCCGGGATTCTAGCCTGGCAACAGAGCAAGACTCCCTCTCAAAAAAAACATGTTCCAAATTTTTTAAGTATACCCTTTTCAGCCTTCCTACTACCTCTTTACCTCAGCTACACAGTCCTCCTCCCTACAGTCAGCCCATTTAATCTGCTTCTTGTGTATACTTCTCCAGAGGAATCCCATACACACATAAGCAAAAATATATTTCTGTGTAAATGTGTTTGTTATAGAAATGGCTCCATAGCGCACTGTCCTGTAATTTGCTTTTTTTCCCATTTAACAGTATTATGTTGAATACATATTGTTATTTCAAAAACTAGTAGATGTATAGTTAAATTTCCAGAACAAAAAGTATTGGGTCAAAGAGCATGTACATTTTGTAAAACTGTCCTTCACAGATGTTACACCTGTGAACATCAGTGTATGGAAGTGCCTATTTCCACACACATTCTCTTCCTCAGTGTGTTGCCAGATTTTTGGATTATTGCATAATTGATAGGTTAAAATAAAAGTCAGTTCATGATAGTTTTAATTAGGATTTCTTTTATGAGTGAGGCTATCTTTCCATATGCTAAAGAGCCATTTTTATTTCCTCTTTCAGGAAAGTTCATTCGTGGGACATTAATTTAAAATTTAGGTATTAACATTGTATTGATTTGGGAACTTTTCACACTTTAGAGAAATTAGTCTTTTTTGAGACCGAGTCTTGCCCTTGTCGCCCAGGCTGGAGTGCAGTGTTGCAGTTTCGGCTCACTGCGACCTCTGCCTTCTGGGTTCAAGCAATTCTCCTGCCTCAGCCTCCCGAGTAGCTGGGACTACAGGCATGTGCCACCACGCCCACCTAATTTTGTATATTTAGTAGAGGTGGGGTTTCACTTATTTTTGCCAGGCTGATCTTGAACTCCAGACCTTGTGATCCACCGTCCTTGGCCTCCCAAAGTGCTGGGATTACAGGCGTGAGCTACCTCGCCCAGCCAAATTAGATATATTTTGTATCTTCTCAATTATCTCCAATAATACCCAATTGTACTTTCATTTTTTATTCTCTTTGTTCCTTTCCAAGTAAATAATTCCTCTTCTTCTTTCTTCTTCCTTCTTTCTTCTTTCTTCTTCTTTTTTTTTTTAAGACAGAGTTTCACTCTTGTCTCCCAGGCTGGAGTGCAGTGGTGTGATCTCAGCTTACTGCAACCTCTGCCTCCTGGGTTCAAGTGATTCTCCTGCCTCCACCTCCCAAGTAGCGAGGATTACTGGTGCCAGCCACCACGCCCAGCTAATTTTTGTATTTTTAGCAGAGATGGGGTTTCATCATGTTGGCCAGGCTGGTCTCGAACTCCTGACCTCAGGCATCCACCCACCTCGGCCTCCCAAAGTGCTGGGATTAACTGTGGGTGAATTCTTGACTACTGTTTTCTATTCATATCTTCGTACCATCTATTGAGTTTTTAATTTAAGTAATTATACATTTCATGTACAAGATAATTATTTTTTCTTGTATTTATATATGGTCTTGTTTCATTAATGCATAATTATTTCTCATAAAAAAATTAAATAAGGCCGGGCGCGGTGGCTCAAGCCTGTAATCCCAGCACTTTGGAAGGCCGAGACGGGTGGATCATGAGGTCAACAGATCAAGACCATCCTGGTCAACATGGTGAAACCCCGTCTCTGCTAAAAATACAAAAAATTAGCTGGGCATGGTGGTGCGTGCCTGTAATCCGAGCTACTTGGGAGGCTGAGGCAGGAGAATTGCCTGAACCCAGGAGGCGGAGGTTGCGGTGAGCCGAGATTGCGCCATTGCACTCCAGCCTCGGTAACAAGAGCGAAATTCCATCTCAAAAAAAAAAAAAAAAAATTAAATAAATGCTTTGCTTTAATTATCTTTTTGAGAATACTTTAGGAGATTTATCAAAATCCTCCATAAAAGTAATTTCATCTGGAGTTAGTTCATGGCCCAATTTTTTCTTTTATTAATTTTATGCCATCTGTCTTACCATTAGATTTGTTTAGGTGTTAGAATTTTAGTTTGTGGGCTTATTTTGTTTTGGAGGGTATAAAATGCTTTTTCTTCCTTTCCTTCCTCTTCCTGCATACCTCCTAAATATCTAACAGGGTCTTCTCATATTCCTTGGGTTCCCCTCCATTCTTGCTAGTTGGGACCCTTGAAGAGCAAGTGTGGTCTAGAAGAAAATCCCAGTAATGTGGCTTGTCTGTTTAGCCCAATCTGTGGAAGACAATTCTCCCTAAGACATTCATAACCATAGACTTGACTTCACTTGTGTTCAGAGCTTGAATTATAATACTTGTATGGGCTGGAAGCATCCATGTTGAGAAATTAACACTAAAATTAACATTAAGGGGTTGTAATATTCCTAGGACTTTTAGAAGTAAATATAAGACACTCTGGAGGGATAAATGTTGGATTTTTTCACTAAAGCACTGGTGAAGATGAACTTACAATTGAATATTTAAAAACAGAAGCCACTGTGAAAGATCGCAAATACAATAAATGCCGATTAGACCATGAAGAACCTCAATAATATAATGATCTTAGGAAGACCATAATATTGTACATTTAAAATTATATAATTAAATTTAGGAATCCAAACATAAGAAAAACATAGTCCCTCAGTAAAGAGCAGGAAGATTTTCTTAGCCTGTTTGGGCTACTCTAGATGAGTTAACAAAAATTTCAGAAATACACTTCTAATTCTAGAGGCTAGAAAGTCCAAGATCAAGGTGCCAGGAGATTTGGTGTCTGGTAAGGGCTAGCTTTCGGCTCCATACCCAGCACCTGCTGTGTCACTTGGTGGAAGGAGCAAACAAGCTTGGGCCTCTTTTATAAGGGCACTAATCCCACTCATGGCCTGATCACCTCCTAAAGGCTTCACCCCTCAATACTATCACATTGAGGATTAGGCTTCAACACATGAATGGGAACAAGGGAACACACATTCAGACCATAGCAAAATTTATTTTTCTTTTTTTCTGTTGACACCTGGCCCTTTATTAGTGGGGAAACTCACCTTGGTCTGGTGGAGAGACTGGGATGGACAGGACCAGCGCCCATCTTGAGGGGTATTTTCTGGAAGATCAGGTGTTCCTCCTTATAGGTTTAGAGAAAACATTGTGGATGGAAACCCCTATAGAGAGCAGTGCTGCAACTGCCCGGCATCCGGGATAGGAGGGCCACCCTAGGCACAGCTGGGCCCCTGGGACAGCAGGGCTTCCATGTCAGGCTCGATGTCAATGGTCTGGAAGCGACGGCTGTACCTGGGCACGGGGACACTATTAGGGCCCACCAGGAAATTCTCAAAGTTTCAGGTGACATCATTGCAGCACACTGGAGATGAGGTGATGAGCTTGGGGTTCATCATGAGCACTATGGTGTCGCTAGGCGCTGGCAGGGCCTCCACGGGAAGGCGGAGAGAGGTGTGTGACCCCGCACCCTTCACCTCGCACTTCTCGAAGAACATGAAGTTGGGCTTGAACCCACCACCAGGCTGGACATACTTGAGGGAATTCAGAGTCTCTGTTCTTGGCGTTCTCCCAATGCCCAAACTGGTTGCACGGGAAGCCGAGCACCACCAGGTCCCGGGCCCGAGGCGCCGCTGCAGCTCGTTCATCTGGGAGTAGTCCTGGCCCACGGTGCCTCAGAGGGATGCCACATTTTCCATAAGCAGCACCTTGCCCCACAGGGAGCTCAGATTCACAGGCTCCCTGCCGGCCAGCAGGTGCGCCAAGAAGAGGTACACCGACTGGGCCACCGCCGCTAACCCAGCAGCACACATGGCCAGGCTGGGAAAAATTCTATAATTAACTAACTAGAACTTATGGAAGTTGAAAAAAACTTTATGAATGGAAATTAAAATTCAACTGGTTTAAAAAACAGAATAGGTACAGGTAATGAAGGAGTTAGTAACTGGAAGACAGGTCTAAGGAAAACACATGGAAAACGTGATAGAGAAGTTAAGAGGCATGAAGTCAAATGCATACGAAAAGGAGTTCCAGAAGAAAAGAATATGAGAAAACAATATGCAAAGCAGTTCCAGCTGTGAACTTTCTATAATTACTCAAAGCCAGGAATCATATCTGGGAAATGAAACAATTACCAAGCAGCAACAATGAAAAGAGATTTATACCTAGACACAGCATAGTTTAAATAGTAGAGGAACAAAGACGAAGGAAGGATCTGTGTAAAGCACATATCTCAGGAATGGTAACAGTGTGAGCTGCACTTACTGGTCCACCCAAATTTATGGTCTCTAGTTTTAGTGGGGTTCTCCATGATGACTGGCAATCCTAACCTAAGCCTGGTCCGCTTCCTTCCCTGTGTAATTGAATCAGCGATTCCAAACCCTCATCCCTCACCTCACTCCCATCCACCATGCTCTCATCGTGGGACTGTGCCTCCTCTTTCACAGAGATAGTATGCGGTCTGCAGAAGGAATCGTCTCAGTTTTCTAGCTCCATAACTTCTCTATATCTACGAGTGCTTCTTTCCTTTTCTCTCCCTATCTTCCATTTCCTAGGAAAAACTGTCCCTCTTCCTGCTGAAAGCCCATGCTTCACAGGTGCTCTAAAACCCAGACTCTTTTCAGTGACCTGGCTCCTATGGTTATTCCACTTGTCTCCTGTTTTCCATATCTATTACCTCCTTTCCCTCAGCATATAAACATGCCCAAATCTCTCCACCACCAAAAACCATTGCCCTATGTTCTCTAAAGAACAACATTTCTTTCAGAGCCAAGCTCCCTTCAATAGGAGTTTAAACTCATTGTCACTGCCTTTTTTTTTTTGAGATGAGGGTCTTGCTCTGTTGCCCCGGCTAGAGTGCATGGCATGATCCTAGCTCACTACAACTGCAAACTGGGCTCAAGCAATCCTCCTGCATCAGCCTCCTGAGTAGCTCTTCCAGCACTTTGGGAGGCTGAGGTGGGAGGGTTGTTTGAACCCAGGAGTTTATGACCAGCCTGGCAACATAGTGAGACCTCCTATCTGCTAAAAATCAAAATAAAAAGCCAGGCATGGTGGCACTCGCCTGTAGTTCCTGCTGTCACCACTTTCTTAACCTCCTATTGCTTTCTTGACCCACGGTACATTGGCTCCTGCTGTGTGGCACTTCTCTGAAATATTCTCTCAAAAGAATTACCTTGTAATTGCCAAGTCAGATAATCATTTCTCAGTCCTTATTTGGCTACTCCTTTTACGTCTATGATACACAGCTGCTTGGTTCTTACCAGCTCTTTCTCGGTCTCCTCCACTTGCCACTTTAAGAGTATTGCCATCTCCCAGGCTGGAGTGCCGTGGTGAAATCTTGGCTCACTGCAACCTCTGCCTCCTGGGTTCAAGTGATTCTACTGTTTCAGGCTCCCAAATAGCTGGAACTACAGGTGTGCACCATCATGCCTGGCTAATTTTTTGTATTTTTAGTAGAGACAGGGTTTGGCCATGTTGGCCAGGCTGGTCTCGAACTCCTGACCTCACACTTGCTACTTAAATGTTCAGTTGGTGCCATTACTTTTAGGTTTTATTTAGGTTGGTGCAGAATCTTTTCTTGATCTCCTATTCCTTTTCCTTTCTAAAAATACCAATGTTGCAGTCTTAGACATAATTTTAATTCCTGGTTCTATGAATTAGTAGCTGTGAGATCTTCAACACATTTTTTAACCTCTTTGAGCCTCAGCTTCTTTATTTACAATTTGATGATGATAATGTCTACCTCAAAATGTTGTTAGTATTACGTGAAATACAGTATAAGTACCCTAGGACAGTGACAGACCTATAGTAAGGGCTCGATGCATGGCAGTTGTTTTTTCTTTTTTTCTATACTCTCTCCCTCTCCTCTTAAACATTAGATGATGGATGTTAACAAGTATAACAAAGGGTGTTTAACATAAGTGCAACTAAACAGAAGACTAATTCTCTCAACATTAGTTGTTTATTATGCATAGAAAAACCTGGCTGAAAATGCAACTTTTATATTGCTCAATTGGGGATGGAGTGAAAAGGAAACAAATTTTACATGTATTCTTTAGTGCTTTCATATCATGATGCTGATTTTTACTGCTTATTATTTCAGAAATTTTGAAGAATCTGAAGATGAACTGAGAGATGAAGCAGTAGAATCCTTAGAAAAACTCGCTTCTTTCAAAGGGGAAGACAACACAGACAAGGCCTCTAGTGCCTCTCAGGACTCTGGAAAGTCAATAGAAAAAGACGAAATAAGTGTGCAGAAACCTGAAGAATTAAGTGAAGGCTTGGAGAATATTTCTACTCCATCTAATGACCACATTTGTATTACTGATGAAGACCAAGGAACATCAACAACCAGTCAAAATGTACAAGTGTGATTATTGTACTTTTTCTTAGTAAATTAGTATCTGTTACCCATAGTATTTGTTTGGGTACAAGTCATAAATGCTCATTTACTGTAAGGGTTTTCTAGTAATCGCAAGGATTTATTAATTTTTCTTTCAGTTTAGAAAGTGTAACTTCTGAATGTAGACATTAATATTTCTAAAGTTTCGATTAAGAAATCTTTCAGCTAACACATGTGGTAGGCAGAGTAATGTGGCTCAACAACCCCCTCCAGAATGTGCTCCGTCCTAATCCCCACAGTTTGTGAATATGGCAAAGGAGAATTAAAGTTGCAGGTGAAATTGTTTGCTCATCAGCTGACCTTAAAATAGGGAGGTTCTCTTGGTTTATCCATGTGAGTGCAGTGTAATCGCAAGGGTCCTTACGAGTGTAAGAGGAAGGCAAAAGAGAAAAGTAGAGAGATGGCAGCATGAAAAGGACTCAGCCTGATGTTGCTTGCCTTGAAGATGGAGGACAAGGCCATAAACTAAGAATTCAGACAGCCTCTGGAATCCGGGAAAGGCAAAGAAATGGATGCTTCCCTGGAGCCTCCAGAAGGAACACAGACAGCCCTGCCAACACCTTGATCTGAGCCTGGTGAGATCCACTTCAGATTTCTGACCTGCAGAACTGTGAGATAATAAATTTATGTTGACTAGGTTTGTGATAATTTGTTAGGACAGCAGTATAAAACAAATACAATATACAGATTCATTCATTTAACGTAATAAATCTGCCATTTTATAAAAGTGTGAAATTTCTTGTTACATTGAATATAGTTTTTTGAAGCTGACATGACACAGGAATAAGGCAATTAAGCAAGAGCAAGGCATGATGTTTTAATTATGCACTAAATGACCATTTTGTTTTATTGGATTAGTTTCCAGTAGTTTCAAGTGTATAGGTTGAGGGCAGGGACTATATCTGGTCTTTATATCTTATAATGATCTCTTTATATACAGTTATTAGCACAGTCAGAAATGTTTCTTGAATTAGTAAATGGAAAAACATTTCTTTATTAAGACTGTAAGCTGTTTGGTGTAGAAAACTAGACTTAAAATTTTTTAATTGATCATTACAATTCCAGTGTCGAAGTTGTGCCTGGAGCTTACCAGATGTTTATTTAAACACTAATGAGTGTGTCTGGGCTTAGGAAGGATAAAGTGGTTGTATTTCAACGTGGTAGAATTCTGCCTGAAATATCTGCTCTATAATAAAAGTCAAATGTCTCATTGATGCATTGTTAAGCTGAGAAAATAAAAATGAGGTGAGGTTGATCAGATAATTTCCAAGGTCTGTTTACTATTTACATTTCATATAATTTTCATTAAATGTGGAGAATGCAAGTCATTGGAGTCACCTGAGATATGTCCAGTTTGGAGTATCGTTAATGGACTATCTGCAGCTCTTTCAGTGCTCAGTGTGTATACGTGTTTATTTACTTTCAGGACTAGTTCATAGGAAAACTGTTAGTGACTTCATTTCATCCTTATTCTGAACAGTATTTGAAAGCAAGGGAAATGAAACATGATTCCTAAAAACCCCAAACATCCAAAGATCAAGTCAACTAAAGGAAAAAAAAAAAGGATGTTTAAGGATGAACAGGCCAGGTTCGGTGGCTCAAAGTGGTAATCCCAACACTTTGAGAGGCTGAGGCAGGAGGACTGCTTGAGACCAGGAGTTCGAGACCAGCTTAAGCAACATAGGGAAACACCCATCTCTACCCCCGACCCCGCCAAAAAGAAAAAATTAGCTGGTGTGATGGTGTGCACCTGTGGTCCCAGCTATTCAGGAGGCTGAGGTGGGAGAATCACTTCAGCTTCAGCCTGAGAGGTTGAGGCTACAGTGAGCCATAATCCATGATCACATCACTGCACCCCAGCTTGAGTAGCAGTAAGACCCTGTCTCAAAAAAAAAAAACCAAAAAAACAGCTCATCAGGTTATTGGTTTGTACCCATGACAAGATGCTTGGCTAAAGTATTTTAGGTAATAGTCACCAAGCTTTACTCAACAATTTTGAATTCTTTGCTGCAAACTGGAAGTATTCACTGTAATAAGTATACATAACATTTTCAACTGGTTTTAGTCCCTAATTCTAGACCTTACCCATTTTATACACACTATTAGCTAAATTATGTTCCTGAGGCATGTCTCTGACTACTTTGCTCTGGCTTTAGCCTTGGCCTCATGTGTTAAATTGAAACTGTTCATCAGAGCTGTATGCGTTACAAAATTATTTATTAGAAAAATCAGCCTCTTGTTATTGATGTATGATAGTATCAAATTGATCATTCTGTAAATGGTAGCAATAAGTGTATCAATACTTCGACCTCCTCCGTATGTAGTAACATTTGCATATAGTCCAAGTGAGCACAGAGCAAGAATAGTGAAACAGGTGCTTCTCCAAAGCCAAGGGTGGCCGTACATTTAGGGTGGGAAAAGACGCAAATGAGTTAGCGGAGGAGCAGCGGGAGATGGGGGGTAAATTGCAGGACATAATTTGCTTTTAAAAATTTGTGTAACATGTTATATAATAAATTTTTATATTGTACTGATTGACAGATTTGACACAGACATACTCTCATTTATTGTGAATATATATGAATATATCAGAGTTCTGGAGTCTGGGGCATATTTACATAAACACAAATATTCTGAAAACATCGATAATTATACTGATCTCTATCTCATAATTTTGCCTATAACTTTATAAAATTCCTCAAAAATGATTTAAATCAAGTATATGAAGCTCTGTAGTTTTTTGTATGTCTGAAATATTCATTAAAAGTTTATTAAGCCTGATAACCTATTCTTAACGTTCCATAAGCAAGACAAACTTTTATTTTTCTTTCTTCTTTTATTGGCATATGGAGCTTGGGAATATTCGTGGGAGAACAAGATGTTCATGTGAGGCGTACAAAAGGCACCATGCTGGAAAGAATCCAAGGGAATGAAAAATCACTTATTTAAATCATATTTAGACAGACTTTATATCTCCTAGATGTAAATCATGTCTAAATACAAATCTTAATCATATTTACAAATAATTATTACACAAAGCCTATGTAACACATTTTATAGTACACAACTGTAAATAAGAATACAAATCTCCACTGCTGTGGGTTCAAAGCATAGCAGGCTTGGACCATCAAAAATGACATTTGAGAGAAATTAATAGTCATCCTGAAGTTCTGCAGACAGATACTAGCAGACGTACCACTTTGACACTTTTCATGCTGTCATTCAGAAAAAATAGAATACATATAATAGCACATTGGGAACATTGATAATGAACATATATGCAAATTTTATCTTCCAACGATTTATCTGTGATATATGAAAATTATTTAGAAGATGTAAGCTTAAAATATATTTTATGGAATTCCGGAAAACTCTTCACTATAGCCTCTCCTTTTTCTCTGGACATTTCAATTTATTTATCTTTGGTCCCATAATTTTCTCTGTGTAGATAAGTAGGCTGAGTGGTAACAGTATGAATCCTACTTCAAAGTGTGGCTACAAAGTCAGAAAAAGCACTGGGCCAGGAGTCAGAATATCCAGGTTATAATTTTGATTCTTTCATTAAACAGCTTTGTGACATTGAAGGAGTCTGCTAAATTCTTTAGATTTAAATTGTTCTTGTCTGAAAAGCTGAAAATAAGAGAGAACTGAGCTAGAAAATCTGTAGGGTTCCTTTCACTCCAATTTCTACCAGTCTTTTTCTAAATGGGATCATCTCTAACACAAAGTTACAATGGTGTGTCAGAACATCCTGTGACTGACCCTCTGTTTTGCTACTTTTTGATCTGATGACAGATGGCCTGCAGATATATCAACAACCTAATTGGGAGTAGATAAACTGGCCAGATTGGTGAATGACTGAGAAGAGACTTCAAAGGAATAAATATACCCTTTCATTTGCCCCTTAGCACAAAGATGAATCAGGCTATGGAGGCGGTCAATTCACTGTACTAGAAAGGATAATATAGGCAGAAAATGTAAAAGTTTTAGGTCTTTATAGCCATGTCTGCCCACATATGTATTCACTTTTCCATGCTAGTTTTTCAGGATAGAAGTTGCATTAAATTTATACCAATTCCTAGCTACTACTGGCCTAGTAACTAAGAATCTACATTCCGTTGTAATGCATTAATAAAGATAGGATTATAGAAGACATTTACTATGTAACACGACCTTTAATTAAAGTAACTCAATTTTCCTTTTTAAAAAAAAATTTTTTTTTTTTTTTAAAAGACGGGGTTTCACCATGTTGGTCAGGCTGGTCTTGAACTCCCGACCTCAGGTGATCTGCCCACCTTGGCCTCCAAAGTGTTTGGTTACAGGCGTGAGCCACCACGCCCGGCCAGTAACTCAATTTTCAAAGTAGTTTCACAAACTTTCCATCTGATTCCAACTCTAAAAGGTAGTAGGGACTGGAATTAACAACTCCAGATTACAGATGAAAAATCAGACTCAGAAAGATAAAGGAGCTGCTTTGGTATCAAAAGGTCAGAAGTTTGTGAATGATGAAGCTGAAGGTAGGCCCAGATATGCTAACTGCTTGCCCAGTGCTCTTTTCAAAATGCCACTTCGCTATCTTACGATGCATTATGCTGGTAAGACACCCTGTGGATGTATCTGTATGTCGCATAATCACTGTCAGAAAAACAACCTGAAGTTCTCTTAAATGATTTAAAGCTGACTTCCAGGCTGTAATGCAGAGCTGTTAAGGGATAATGAGACCCACACAAATCTGCTGACAGCACTAAACAAAACAATTTTCACCAGTACCTAGTATGGAAAGGACTACTGGCAGCACCTTGGCCTCTACTGTCCTACCTACACACACCTATAAAGCATCAGTCAGTCTCACCTCTTGACTGTATGCTTTGTGAAGATGACTAAACAAGTTTGTTTAAAATTTTTTTTTTTCTTTTAAGGAAATCATTAGGTACATTCAAAAGGGTCAACCACTGTATTGTTTAGAATTTAAATGTACCAAATTTTTCTGTTCTAAAAATGTCTGATAAATTCTAAAGTGCTAATTAATGGTCATCGATTTTCTTTTTTTTTAAATGTGGCTCAACTACGTGCAATGTGCTGAACCAGTTTTGGAATCCACCCTGTAGCAGAGTAAAACTGGACCAAAGGAAGTGGAGTCGAGGCTCCAGGCTGTCACTCCTCCAGCTACTCAATCTACAGAGTTTTTCTTCAGCTGTTGTTTGTGACATGTGGTGATTTGTTTTGGATTTCTCTGTATGACAGACAGGTCTGACCTTGAGGAAGACTGGTAGCCCACATCCTCCGCTTTTATGGGCTTAATGATATGGCCGGGCTTGGTAATGACCTTGAGAGTAGTCAGCTTTTGAAAAGCCCTCTGGGTGTTCCATGTGGATCCTATGGGGGTCTGGATGGTCCTTTCAAATTGCTGATGGTGGGTAAATGGATATGGAAGTACTCGTACCTGATGAGCCACTGCATGGATGTTGCACTTCTCATTGATGATCACGTTTGGCAAATTCTTATCTTTTCTTGGAGGATCCTCTGGGGCTTTAATGAGAAACCGGCATCTTTTCCTGGCACTGGGCTTTAGGCCCACACCACCCCACTCACCCCAGCCAGGTAGTATCAGGTCCACGTCTTTTGGCTTACTCGCCTCTGCGGCTTCCTTCTTCTCTTTCAAGAAATCTCTGATGACATCATCCCCAGCAAAAGCTTCCTTTATCATCTGCCTTTGGTCTCTCTCCTCTTCATCTTCCAGCTCCTCTATTGTTGTGGGAACTGCCAAAGACCTCATGGAAGGAGATTGTGTGGTTAGGAGGTTCTGTAGGTCGATCATTTGCTCCTTCTTCTTCTCCTTAGGGGCATCAGGCCAATTATTTGGGGTCCTCTCTGACTGCTGCTCTTCTAACACGGGTCTGGGAAGCCCCTTATTTTGAAAACAATCTTCTTTTCCCAGCTCTTCTAGCTCTTCCAGAGAAGTCTGTACTCTCTCTGGCCTCTCTAGCAACAGGGACTCCTCTTCTTCTGGGGCAGGTTCCTCTCTCTGGACCTGGGGAACAGTCCCCTCTGAACTTGCTTTTTGTTTTCTGGACTGACGGTTTTTCTTCAGTTTTTGAGTTAGTGCCCTCAATTCAGACAGCACCTCCTGGCTGCTAGAATATTTTGTTTTTTGACTGCCTGCTGGCTCAGCATCCTGGTTGAGCTCAGATCTTTTTCTAAGGGATCTCCTTTCCTCAAATCCTCTCAAAGGAATTTCTTCCCCTGCCACTGGTCTTTCTTCTCTCTCACTTCCAGAAACCTCATGGGCTGCGGGCTCTGGCAATTGCTCAGGGTCCTCCTGGGTTGCAACCTCTTTGGTGTCACTGGTGTAGCTCCTGAGCATCCAGGGATTCAGTCCATCCACATTCTTCTGCACTTCATTTACTACCTCAGGAACAAAGACTTCTTCTTCTTCTTTTGTGCCTCCCTCCTCTTCTTCACTCTCAAAGGCTACCTGGAGTTTCTCTGTCAGTTCTTTGTTCTTGGCCAACTGTTCCTGCATAGCTTGGCGAGCCTCCAGGTCGTATTTGGCCATAATTGCCTTTGACTTGGCCCATTTCCCACTGGATTGGTGCTTAAGGCTCATTCTTTCTATGATTCTGGCATTTTCAATTTTTTCTAGTTCTTCCAGTGCTGCAGTTGGATTAACCTTCTGCAGTTGTTCAAAGTCTTTTAAGGCTCTCTTGGCCTTTCTTTTCTTTACAACTTTGTGATACTTTTTATTTTTTATTTTCTTCTCTCTTTGAGCCTTGGCCTCATAGTAGGACAGCAGAGCCCGGGCCCTCTGAAGCTCTGCTCGGTGCATCTTTGCCTCTTCCAGGTTCATGGCTTGGAGAGAGGCCTTTTCCACGGGAGTCAGTAAAGGGTCTGTCACTGGCTGCTTGTTCTTGTGGAGGAGGGTAAAAATTTCCTGCTCCAGGGGAGTTCTTGCCTTCCAGCCACTGAGCACATGTTCAATGGGAGCAATGGCTGGCTGCTCCTTCCCTAGGGGAAAAGCCAGCTGCTCTGCCTGCCGGTTCTTCAGGATGACAGGGTCCCATTTGGAGAGGATTTGTGAGGTTTTACCGAATGCTGCTTCTCTGTGGATCTGTTCAATCTTTTCTTTGTTAAGAGGTAACTCCACTACCTTCTTTGATTTGACTCTGTTCAGTTGCTTTTTCACAGTGGCCAAAAAAGATGAAGTTTTAACAGGCTCAAGCAGATCTGCAAGGACCAGCTTTTCTCCTGATCCTTCAGAACTGACATTGAACTCTGACACCTTCATTCCAGCCTCAGACCTCTCAGTCAATTTCTGTCTATTCTTTCCATCAAGGGAATGGATTGCTTCCAGAAGCTTTTGATGCTTTCTCTCTCCATCACTGTCCCCCTCATCTTCACTCTCACTCAAGGAGTGGTCTTTTGGCAAATCCACCAGTTCTTCCTGTTGGCTCAAAGCCAGAAGGCTCTCCACAACCTGGTTCGCACTCATTTCAGCAGCCAGCTTCTCTCATGTGGACCAAGAATGAAAGCCGAAGTCTGGTCATCTATTTTCCTTTCAACACTTCCTTTTATTATAAAAGGAAATTTTCTTTCTTGTTTTCTAAAGTAAAGTGATTTGACAAATGAGATTGAATTTAGAAAAATATTTACATATGAAGGTTTTTAACCATTTTATATAAAATATCTCTAATGTTACAGATACGAGATTACTTAAATAACTTTTCCACAGATGACAGAAATGCCACTTCAAATTCCTGATCAGAGAATCTGCTTACAGATGCACGGGCACTTTTTCTGATTTGGAGTCTCTTTTCTGCAGACATGGAAAGAATGTGAGCCATAGTTTCAGCATAGCCTTCTTCACTCTCAGCCAGAAAGCCAGTTATATCTCCTTCGTGAGGAACAACAATGTCAAGCTTTGGGCCCCCTGAATTGTGTGCAAGGATAATTGTGCCAGCTGCCATACACTCCACAACTCCTGAAAAAGAAACAAAAATCATGTAGTCTTTTAAGTTTTTGAGTATGTTCATAAGAATAAGGATGAGTACAAATCTTCAAAAATTTTAAGGGACTTATGAGAAAATTAAATGTATGTCTAGACATTTGCTTAACTTCTATAATACAAAACAAAATAATTTTAAGTTTTTTAGTTTTCAAAGCTTCACAATAATGCTGCTTCATTCTTTTTTCTTTTGTAGAGCTAGGGTCTCAATATGTTGCCCAGACTGGCCTCTGACTCCTGGCCTCAAGTGATCCTCCCATTTTGGCCTCCCAAAATGCTGGGATTTACCAGCATGAGCTACCACACCTAGCCTGCTGCCTCACTCTTAATTAAAATGAACAAGTAGATGGAAGATTAGCCTATTAAAAAACAGATATATTGCAGATCATTAAAAAAGACTAGAGAATGTTACCAAGATGGTAGAACATTAACAGGCATTAGAAAAACAAAAGGAGTATAAAGATATCAAAAATAAAATTTTAATAGTTCAAATTACATTATTAGCAGAAAAAATAAAAAATGTGAATCACCTAAGTGAAGTATACTATTGCGGCGCTTATGTTATTGCCTGGGTTTCTGGCAAATTTGAGACTACTGTGTGCCCAACAGCAGTGTTGAACTAAATGGAAGCTGTGGTTAGTTTCTGCTAAATGATACACATGAAATATAAATTACTCTAGCCAGCGTTTCTTAGCTGTATTCCTAAGAGAATTAAGCCCTTCAGAGAATGATTTAAGTGACTGCTTTCCCAATTCTCTGAAGGATGATACAGAGCTGACATCATCCTGGATGTATAGGAGAGAAATGAAATAATTCTAAATGTTTTTAAAACAGTGGTAAAATCCCTGTAGAACAGATTTCAGTAGCTCATACCGTATTCTGCTTGAGGCTGAAGAGCATCCTGTACTTTCTCAGAGACCCGCGTCTTATTAATGTCACCCTCTCCCTCTCTACTGGCTCCTTCCTATCAGCATTAAAGTGAGGGCGCCACATGACCTTCCTCAGGTCCTACAGCAACACCCCTAGCCACTGTCTCTTCTTCCCTGCTGCACTTCACAAACTTACTGAAAGTGTGGTTTGCACTTACCAGCTCTACTTGTTCACTTCCGAGTGCTCAACCTGTAATTTTTGCTTACTGTCTGACTTTTGCTTCTAGTTCTCCCTTAAGACTGCTCTTACCCAGGTCACCAGTGACTGCCTTACCTTCCCCAGTATCTGGGCAGCATCAGTTGGAATCTGCCCTCTCTCTGCTTCTCAAAACACTCTCTTCCTCGGTTTCCAAGACACTGCATTTGGCTGGCTTTCCTGCTTTCTCCATTTCTTCTCTCAATTTCTCAGCTGTTCCTGTTCTCTACATTTTGTACTGAGAGCCTCTTCTCGCTCTATACACATTCCCCAGGCGATCATATCCCCATCCACGGGAGCTTTGATAACTACCTTGTACAAGGACAATCCTCCATTTCTATTTCCAGAACTGATTCCTCTCTTCAACTTCAGAGGTATATACAACGACCTCCTGGACACATGCCCTCACATGTCCCACAGACGAACTCAAACTCTGCAGGTTCAAAACTTGGCTCATCAATGGCATTTGCTCATGGATTTCCCCTCTGGGAGAAAGCCAACACCATTCTCATAGCTGCCCAGCTCCCAAAACTCTAGGTGGTCTTCTCTTCCTCCCTCATTTAACACATCCAATTAATCACCAAGTCTTGGTCAATACTACAGCAGAATCTCTCTCAAGCATGTTCCCCTACCAAGTTCAGCTCACTAGCACCTCCGCCTGGGCTGCTACAGCAGGCCAGTTCATGTTACTGCCTTTCCAGTCTTGCTCTCCCTGCTCCTCACTGATCTACTCCCCATGTAGCCAGAATAGACGGGAGGAATCAGAAAGCTTTTACATACAACACTTAAAATCCTGACATTCTTTTCTGCTGGCTTAACCTGGCCCAGATCACCTCTCTGTTGTTTTCCTGCTGAGTGTTCCTATGGATGTATCTGCTGTCACTCCAGTCACAGTGCTGTTCCCTCTACTGGGGACTCTCCCCTCTCCTGGTTAACCTCTAATTATTGTTCGGTTCTTGCTCAAGTGTCACATCACTTCCTTGGACAACTGTTCCCTGCCCCCTTAGGTGTTTCTCTTTGGCACTCTCACATCACCCTGCACTTCCTAAGCACAGCACCTGGTACAGGACATGGCATAGCACTTGCCTGTGTAGCCTTTTGGTACCATCAGAGGGTGGGAAGCCTCTGACAGGCTAAGCAGCTCTGGTCTCCACAACATCCCTAGTATCCACCCAAGTCCCTAGCACAGAATGAAGGCTTAGTAAGTTTCTATGTAAGGAAGCACAGGAGGTCAGATCCCATGCAAAAGGTTGGGTCAACAAGTTCTTGCTGAATGTCTGGGCCTAGTACTATACTACTAACTAGGAGTAAAAAAAAGTATAAGAGAAATTGCAGTCTTAGTTTAGGAAATGTCACTTTTATGTTATCCTCATTTTCCCTAACAACTAACAGTGTGGGGCACAAAGCACTTAAGAAACATACACGGACCCACATTAAACACAAAGCAGTACTTGATTTTATAGCGTGCTTAAAAGGTCAGAACAGAGATAGCAGTTTGTGCCAGAAAAAACAAGGCTAAAGGGCAAGGAGATTGAAGTTGAAGACTTATGATGGGATCTGGCACAAAGCAGAGGGCCATTTCATTGGTGAGGGTAGAATCAATAAAAGACTAAAAGAATTACTGTGAGAAGGCCCTATGCAAACAGTGGTTTTCAACTTTTGATGCATAACAGAATCACGTAAGCAGCACTATCAAAATACATCTACCTAGGCCTGGTCCAGAGATTTCCATCTGGCCATTCAGTAGGATTAGGGTAGAGCCTGGGAATCTGTACCAGTAAGTATGTAGTGGGGTTAGATGGGGAGAGAAAATGTTACCGTTAAGAGCAGGGGCTATCTGGGTTAGAATCCAGGCTCTACCCACTTAATTACTGTGTAACTGAACTTGAGCAATTTCTAAATCTCCCTGTGCCTGAGTTTCTTTATTTATAAAATGAGAATAACAATAACACCCATCAAATAGAGGTTTAGAGGGGTTTGAATTAGATAATATGCGTAAAAATCTCAACAGTGGCCCCCACACAGGAATTGGTCAATAAATACTAGTTGCTATTATTAAGTACAATCTTACAATGTCTCAAATGAGGAAAATATATTTGGTGGGTTAGGGGAGGAGAATTAGGGCATGATGCAGACTTCTAGAGTATTGTCATTTTATCAAAGGAACCTGAAGTGTGTATCTCACGGCACCAAACAAGTTGTTTAAAGGCCAAACTCACCAATCCCAAAATGCTCGTTCCACATGGTATGCAGACCAATTGTTGCTTCAGACAAATAATTCTTTAATTCATCAAATGGAATGTTTATTTTAAATTCCACATATTCTTGAACTCCTAAATCCTCAGACAGCCTTCTCAGTTGGTTTACCCTAAGTTCATCATCTTTGTTACGACAACCTCCAATGAGGACAAGTTTAAGAGAAGGAGATGACTCAACCATCTTCTTATTCAGCAATTTAGCAAAGGCTCTGATCTGCAATGGATGATTCTTTTCCGGCCTAAACTGGCCAACAGAAACCAGCAAATGTCCTGGGGTTGTCTTTTTCTCATGTAAGGGAATGTCCAGAAATGTCTGCACATCGCAAGGTGGATAAACAATGTTAGTGCAATTCCCAACTTTCCACAGTGAGAGAATGTGGTTTAGTGTCCAAGAAGAATTGACCATGACTACATCACTGCAAGAACCAACAAGTCCATAAATAAAAGCAAATAAATAGTAGTAGATGAGCTTTACTTTGCTGAGAAAAGGATTCCTGGTAATGAAGGCCGTATTATTAAGTCCAACATTTTGATTCTTCACTATAGAGAGCATGTCGGTGCTGATAGTAGGGTAATGAACATAGCTTCCAACTTGGCAACCCCCTATATACTTAAACAGAGGAAGTGTAAAAGCGTATCCCATTGAATCGATGTAAACATCAGGAACACATTGCATTAGAGCTTCCCAGCCGAGAAAAACAGATCCTAGACTTTGGCCCAGCAGTGTGAAGTGAGGATAGAGTGAATCTTCCACAAGATAGCGTTTCCTTAAAAAAACAAACTGGACTGGGTGAATTAATCTGATGTTAAATCTTCTGAAAGCACCTTCTAGTATCTGTTGACCACTGACATTAACATCGCCGGTATAAACAACATAAACTGCTTCAGGATACCTAAAACAGAATGTAGTGGTTAAGAATGTATTAGGTTACAAAACTTAGCCGGACATGGTGGTGGGCACCTGTGATTTTTGCTACTTAGGAGGCTGAAGCAGGAGAATCGCTTGAACCCAGGAGGCGTGGGTTGTGGTGAACTGACATTGTACCATTGGACTGCACAAGAGCAAAACTTCGTCTCAAAAAAAAAAGTATTAGGTTAAAATCAAGAAAAAGTTGTAGATAACTGTTTTCTTACAATCATAAAGAAGCTTATTTTTATAGTAAAAATGATGTTTTCTCTGTTTTTTATTTACTGAATTAGAACTACAGTCCCTCAAATTAGACTGTGATTTCTAGTTCTTTGCTATTTCCTCCACTTAGAGTTTCACACAGAACAAGCATCAACAAAAAGTGTTGATTTATGAATGAGATGTTCTCAAGAAATACTCAAAAACTTTGACAGTGGTCTTAGTAAAAAATGGTAATAAAATATCATCAACAAACATGTCTTTTGATAGGCTCGCAAGGCTAAAGTAATGCTCAGGGTTTTTATATGAAAAATGCAAAAAGGCTTTAAAAGCTAGATCTTGTGCCTGTATCACAACTAATCAGTCTGAAAATATCTAAAAGTATATTCTTAAGACTTGTAATGCTTTGGTCTCCCCTGACTGTTTATATTATTCTTTAAGTCATAAAACATTTTAAGCATCTAGTATGAGGTGCCAGGTTTTGGGGATGTGGAGAGAGAGAGTCTTTATCTTTAGGAGCTCAGTCCAGTGGAAAAAACAGATATGCAAAACAAATAACTGCAAAACCGTGTGCTATGCGCGGACAAAGACAGCCACAGGGTGCTGCGGAGGCCTAAAGGATGACAGTCTAACTGCTCCTCTCTGGCCCTTCCCAGTTACTGTTTACCTAGCAGAATGAACCTTTTAAAACAGAAAAAGATTGTGATCTCTGGTGGCCTAAAAATGCCCACAAATTCCTTTTTTTTTTTTTAAAGACAGGGTCTTACTGTCTTGTTGCCCAGGCTGGAGTGCAGTGGCATGGTCTTGGCTCATTGCAGCCTCCACCTCTCAAGTTCAAGTGATTTTCGTGCCTCAGCACTCCTGGGATTACATGTGTGCACTACCATGCCCAGCTAATTTTTGTATCTTTTAAGTAGAGACGGCGTTTCGCCATGTTGGCCAGGCTGGTCTCAAACTCTGGCCTCAAGTGATCTGCCAGACTTGGTCTCCCAAAGTGCTGGGATTATAAGTGTGAGCCACTGTGCTCAGCCAGGCCACAAATTCTTTGATACTTTTCCCACTGAGAGGTGGCATCTATGTCCCCTACTCTGGAATAACACTGGGCACATATTTGGACCAACAGAATATGGCAAAAGTGACATTCTGCCAGTTTCTCAACATAGACTCTAAGGGACTGGCAGCTCCTACTTCCTGTCTCTTGGAATGCTCATGCTAGGAGAAGACGGCTGTCGTGTACGAGTCTAACCAGCCCGTGACTGCTCTGTTGCGTACAAGCTCAACCCAGTCACATGAAGAAGCCCCTCAGTGAGAGATGCGGGACAGCCCACAGCAGTTCCAATCATCCCAGCCCAGGAATGAGAATGTGAGTGAAGAAGGCTTCAGATGCCTCCAGCCCCAGCTGCCACCTAACTGCAACAGTATGATGGAGACCAAACATGGCAACCCCTAAACTATGTCACAGAACAGTCAACCCCAAAACTGGCTTACTATAGCACTTAGAATAAAATCTGAACTAATTTCCCTGCTCACTCAAGTCCTGTGTGATCTGGAAACTGCCTCCCTCTGTCACCTTCCTTCCCATGCTTTCCTTTGCCCTCCAGGGTGCAGCCAAACTGGCATTCTTTTCTTTGAACATGCCAAAGCTCCAACTGGCCTTAGGGGACTTGAAGTGGTTGTTTCCTCTACTCTGAATTCCCTTTTCTCATTTTCACTCTGTCTTTTCATAAGCCAGGCAGTTTAGCATGTGGTTCAGAACATGGGCTCTAGTGCCCCAAGTTTCCTTCTTTGTCAAATGAGAATAATGGTAACAACTGCATAAGGCTGTTGTTCTGAGGATCAAGTAAGCTAACACGTGTAAAGCACTTCAAACAATGCCTGACATAAAATCATCAAGCAATAAATGCAGCTGTTTTTATCATTCAGATTTTGGTTAAGTGTTATCAGCGATTTTCCTGGTCACTCAATCTAAAGTATCAAGTCACTGCTATATTCTGCATGTTGGAGCAGAGTACATGTGAAGGAATGGGGAGGGATGAGAAACACAATGCAGCCAGAGCAAGATGAAAAAGTATCTTCCAAGTCATATTAATGATTTGGGTTTTTTTCTGCTGGGGACTATGTGTACGGATAGCATGAAACTTTACCATTGCCCTCAAGAGGTAGATAATCTAGTTAGAGAAGAAAAATGTAGTACCAATGAGAGCTGGAAAAGCATCAAGGAGTTTGGACTTAAGAGAATTCTTTGTATTTAGGCAGTTACAGAAGATGGCAGAGCAAATACAGGGCTGGAAGCTAGGATGGGCCAAAATTACAGAAAGGTACAGCTGAGGGAATTCTGTGAAGGCCTTGGCACTGAACGAAGGGTATATACCAGGAAGTAGGGTAACCATGAAGAATAACAGTTTTCCTCATATGATAAAATAATGGAAACTATTATGCTTTTTCCTTTCTAAAAGGGAATCATAAATATTTTTGGGGTATTGGGATGGAGATAAGGAAGACAAAAATATTCAAAGATGTGTAACACCATATTCCTTCTAACATGGTAACTTGAGACTATCCAGCTGGTAATGATAGAAAAATTCGAGTCAAATAGATGCTTTAATAAAGATTATTCTTGTGTGCCGCAACTGCCTGAAAGTATTGAGGCTTAAAGTGCTCTAAGGTACTTGTTATATTTTGGCTTATTACTTAATCTCTTCTGCATACACTCTCCCAAGGAAACCAGTTATTCCCATTAAATTATGCTATAAAAAAGCAGATGTTGGCTGGGCATGGTGGCTCATGCCTGTAATCTCAGCACTTTGGGAGGCCAAGGTGGGCAGATCACCTGAGGTCAGGAGTTCAAGACGAGCCTGGGCATGGTTGTGGGTGCCTATAATCCCAGCTACTTGGGAGACTGAGGCAGGATAATCACTTGAACCCAGGAGGCAGATGTTGCAGTGAGCCGAGGTCGTGCCATTGCACTCTAGCCTTGGCAACAGAGCGAAACTCCAACTCAAAAAAAAAAAAAAAAAAAAAAAAGCAGAAGTTTTCCCCATCCACTGTCCATTATTTTCTTTTTCCTTTTTTTTTTTCCTTGAGACAGATTCTCACTCTGTCACCCAGGCTGAAGTGCAGTGAATGGCACAATCACAGCTCACTGCAGCTTTGACCTCCTAGACTTGGTCAATCTTTCCACCTCAGCCTCTGGAGTAGCTGGGACTATATGTGCACATCATCAGGCCCAGCTAATTTTTTGTATAGACAGGGTTTCACCATGGTGCTGAGGCTGGTCTCAAACTCTTGGGCTCAAGTGATTTACCATGGCCTCACAAAGTGCTGGGATTACAGGTGAGAGCCACCATGCCTGGCCTTGTCTAATTCTTTATCATAGCAACAGAAATTGAATAGGATCATATAAGGCATGCGGGCACATGAAAGAAATGTTTTCTTATTGAAGAACAGTTTAAAAAGGAATTCAGTTTTTACTACTAGGTGCTTCAGAAAGATGAATTTCTGGGTAAAAATTTTTAAGAAATGGAACAATATAGCAAATTAGCTAAGACAGATGCATACCTACTTTTTCTGCAGGGCTCTTAAAGCACACCATAAAACTCTTTCTCCTCCTCCGCCAGCATTGCAGTACGGATGAAAAAATGCAATCACCATTTGATTTTTCCCAGTTTTCCTAGTTGACACTAATTTTTTCTTCCTCTGTAGCAGCAGTCTGATTCCCCAAAGGACAATGACCAAACATACACATAAAGTTCCACATACAATTAGCCCAGGGAAGAATAATGAATTTAAAAACCTGAAATAAGAGGACAAAGTTGAGAATCAATGTGACATGTACATTTAAAAATTTATAAATTAGAGTCTGCTTTAACATATCTACTTTATAGATTAGTGACAAAAAATTGTCTTTAACAAGTCTGCTAACCCCAAAATACTCAAGTATGAAAATTCTAATGCTGCTAAATATCCAATATTAAAAGGATAAGGCCCCTTTAATTCAAATCCCCCTAGCATGTTACCAATTTAACATACTTTAATCAACAGTGAAAATCAACACTGAACCCCTTTTCTCCTAAGTTTATGTGTTATGGGATTAAAAACAAATGTAACTTAATCTAAATAAAACATGATTAAGAATGTGTTGCATACTGTCATTTTGAGGGTTAGATGCCAAAGAAATATGTCTTTTGAATGATCAATATTCCATTAGTTAAAAGTCTGGTAAGAGAGTAAATCTTCTTCATTCTGTCACTTCACCTCAAGTAGAACCATTTCTGGGATAAAGGAATGTAACTTAGATTTCTCCACTTCTATTTCAGTTCTGTATTTGCTCTACTTACATGACCTAATACTACTATCTTCCCTTATGTGCCTCTGAATGAGCTGCCAGAAACCCACTAATGTTCTACTAATATTCATTAATAAACTCATTCACAAAGTGACTGTTAAAGGTTCTCTATTACTGTCAGGTGGACTGAAGCTCTGCAAAAACAAGGGCCCAGGCTTGCTCACTATAATATCCCCAATGCCAAGTATGATGCCTGGCACAGAGAAGGCATCCAATAAATATATGACTGATGCAAAAGTTTATTACCTCTTCAGATGTTGCTTAAAATATGTTAAAATAAAATGTCAAGGTGCTTTTCTTTTAGGGTTGCCAATACAGTTGGAACCTAACCTAATATTTTTCATATTCTGCCTGTTTTTTTTTATAAGGGATTTGAGGAGAGCTTACAAGATTTAAAAATAATAAAATGCCAAAAGTTAAATAGTGAATAGCAGACTGGCCTGTGGGCTGCTTAGTAGGCTAAGCAAATAGAAACTAATGCATAGTGTATCAGTTCGTTTTCACACTGCTGATAAAGACATACCTGAAATGGAGAACAAAAAGAGGTTTAATTGGACTTACAGTTCCACATAGCTGGGGAGACCTCAGAATTATGGTGGGAGGTAAGGCACTTCTTACACAGTTGTGGCAAGAGAAAAATGAGGGAGAAGCAAAAGCGCAAACCCCTGATAAACCCATCAGATCTTGTGAGACTTACTCATTATCACAAGAATGGCATGGGAAAGATGGACCCCCATGATTCAATTACCTTCCCCTGGGTCCCTCCCACAACACATGGGAATTCTGGGAGATATAGTTCAACTTAAGATTTGGGTGGGGACACAGCCAAACCATATAATTCTGCCCATGGCCCCTCCAAATGTCACATCCTCACATTTCAAAACCAATTATGCCTTCCCAACAGTCCGCCAGAGTCTTAACTCATTTCAGCATTAACCTAAAAGTCCACAGTCCAAAGTATCATCTGAGACAAGGCAAGTCCTTTCTGCCTATGAGCTTGTAAAATCAAAAGTAAGTTAGTTACTTTCTAAATACAATGGGGATACAGGTATTGGGTAAGTACAGCCATTCCAAATGGGAGATACTGGCCAAAACAAAGGGGTTACATGGCCCATGCAAGTCCGAAATCCAGTGAGGCAGTAAAATTTTAAAGCTCCAAAATGATCTCATTTTACTCCAGGTCTCACATCCACGTCACGCTGAAGCAGGAGGTGGGTTCCTATGGTCTTGGGCAGCCCTGCCCCTGTGGCTTTGCAGGCTACAGCCTCCCTCCTGGCTGCTTCAATGGGTTGGTGTTGAGTGTCTCCAGCTCTTCTAGGAACATAGTGCAACCTGTCGGTGGATCTACCATTCTGGGGTCTGGAGGGGCCCTCTTCTCACAGCTCCACTAGGCAGTGCCCCAGTAGGGACTCTGTGTGGAGGCTCCAACCCCACATTTCCCTTCTGTACTGCCCTAGCAGAGGGCCCTTCATGAGGGCCCTGCCCTTGCAGCAAACTTTTGCCTGGGCATCCAGGCATTTCAATACATCTGAAATCTAGGTGGGGGTCCCCAAACCTTAATTCTTGACTTCTGTGCACCCACAGGCTCAACACCATGTGACGCTACCAAGGCTTGGGGCTGTCACCCTCTGAAGCCACAGCATGAGCTCTATGTTGGCCCCTTTCAGCCACGGCTAGAGCAGCTGGGACACAGGGCAGCAAGTCCCTATGCTGCATACAGCATGGGGACCAGGGATCCAGCCCACAAAACCACTATTTCCTCCTGGGCCTCCAGGCCTGTAATGAGAGAGGCTGCTGTGAAGGTCTCTGACATGGCCTGGAGACATTTTCCCCATGGTCTTGAAGATTAACATTAGGCTCCTTGCCTCTTATGCAAATTTCTGTAGGCAGCTTGAATTTCTCCTTAAAAAATGTGTTTTACTTTTCTACTGTATTGTCAGGCTGTAAATTTTCTGAACTTTAATGTTTTCCTTTTAAAATGGAATCCTTTTAACAGCACTGAAGTCACCTCCTGAATGCTTTCCTGCTTAGAAATTTCTTGTGCCAAATACCCTAAATCATCTCTCCCAAGTTCAAAGTTTCACAAATATCTAGGGCAGGGGCAAAATGCCACTAGTCCCTTTGCTAAAACATAAGAAGAGTGATCTTTGCTCCAGTTTCCAACGAGTTACTCATTTGCACCTGAGACCACCTCAGCCTGAATTTCGCTGTCCACATCACTATCTGCATTTTGTTCAGTCATTCAACAAGTCTCTAGGAAGTTCTAAACTATCCCACATTTTTTTATCTTCTTCTGAGCCCTCCAAACTGTTCCAACCTCTGCCTTTACCCAGATCCAAAGTCACTTCAACAGTTTTGGGTATCTCTTCAGCAGCACCCCATTAGTTCATTTTCATGCTAATGATAAAGACATAATCGAAACTGGGAACAAAAATAGGTTTAATTGGACACAGGGCACCACGGTTACCTGAACTTACAGTTCCACATAGCTGGGAGGCCTCAGAATCATGGCAGGAGGTGTAAGGCACTTCTTACATGGTGGTGGCAAGAGAAAAATGAGGAAGAAGCAAAAGCAGAAACCCCTGATAAACCCCATCAGATCTCATGAGACTTATTCATTATCATGAGACTTACTCTCTATCACTAGCAGGGAAAAGACTGGCCCCCATGAATCAATCACCTCCCACGAGGTCCCTCCCACAACACATGGGAATTCTGGAGATATAATTCAATTTGAGATTTAAGTGGGGTCATGGCCAAACAGTATCACATAGTTTTCACAGTCCACATGAAAATATACAAATTCAGGAGACCCGGAAGATGGCGGGGTAGGAGCAGCTCGGGGTTGTAGCTCTCAGTGAAGGCGTAGAGGGTGAGTTCAGGCCGCATTTTCAGACGGATCTTTGCTGCCCACAGAACGGGGGGGATTCCCAGGTGTAGGAGAGACACGGAACGCCAGCGTGGCGGTTTTGGCCGGTGCTGCCATTTTGGCCGGTGCTGCCATTTTGGCCGGCGCCACAGCACAGCAGCACTCCGCACAAGGCGCACTGGTCTGGATGCCCTGTTAAACCAGCAATCTGAGATTTGGGAGGGCAGATTAGCATATCCATCTGATTGAACGGGACTTGGACAGTGAGCCAGACCAGGAGATTCCCATGAGGCAACATTTGAGCCGGCGCAGTGGTTCGCTGCACGGGAAATCGCACGGATCCCGGTCCCCTATCAGCGGGTGACTGAAATACCTGGGAGAGAGTCAACCATTCAACTTAAAAAAGGGAAAAAGAGGGGCTCTGAAACAGTGAGCCAGGTGACCAGGCTTGGCGGGTCCCACCCCCACAGGGACAAGCAGGGTGGCAATTCGATACGCTCGAGGTTGAGAGTTTCACTGCAGACACAACTGAGCCCTAGATGGTGCAGCTCGGTGGGGGAAGGGCGTCTGCCATTGCCGAGGCATTCTGCCCCTACAGAGGTATACTCGCATTGCTGACCCAGCCTGCCACTGCCAAGGCAACCCGCCGTAACAGAGAGATTCCGCCAATACAGAGGCAACAGAGCGGAGCCCACGACAGCAGGGTGGAGCCCACAGCAACAGGGCGAATCCCATGGCAACAGAGCAGAGCCCACAACGGTAGGGCGGAGGCAACACCAACAGGGCGGAGCCTCAGCAGGCAAATAGTGACTAGACTGCCTCCTAGCTAAGCAAGAAGGTGCAACGGATACTCATAAAGAAAGCCCTAACGCCCCGAGACAGAGCATCTGAGGAAAAAAAAAGGGTTTTATGAGTTCTGCTGCAGCGGACATAAAAGTATCTGCCTAACAGTCCTGAATGAACAATAGAGCTCACAGCTCAGCATGTGAGCTCCTATAAAGTACAGACCGTCTCCTCAAGCAGCTCCCTGACCCCTGTATATCCAAAAGGACTGATCAGACTGACATTTGGCAGGCATCATTCTGGGACAAAGATAGAAGAAGAAGAAACTGGTAGCATCCCTCACTGTTCTGCAGCTGCTACAGGTGTACCCCAGACAAGCAGGGCTTGGAGTGGACCTCAGCAGTCGTACAGCAGAGGGGCTAGACTGTCAGAAGGAAAACTAAGCAACAGAAATACTTCACCATCAACAATCTGGGTGTCTACTCAGAGAGCCAATCGAAAAGTCAGCAACTACTCAGACCACATGTGGATAAACCCACGAAGATGGAAAGAAACCAGTGCAAAATGGAGGAAAACACCCGAAACCAAAACACCTCGCTTCCTACAAAAGACCAAAACTCCTCACCAGCAAGAAAACAAAGCTGGACAAAGAATGAGGGTGATGAAATGATGGAATCAGACTTCAGAATGTAGGTAATGAGAAACTTCCATGAGCTAAAAGAACATGTTCTAAATCAATGCAAAGAAACTAAGAACCTTGAAAAAAGATTTGAAAAAAGATTCGAGGAAATGATAA